GGTTGTGGGTTAGTCGCCACGTGGCGGCTGCATTGTGGAGTCCCCGGTCGGCCATGTGCTGAAGCATTGCACGGCAGTACTGCAGTACATGTTGTGGGTTGATGTACGGTCCTCCTAGTAGGTTGTTTATGGCGTGGATCATGCAGAGCTCTTTCTGTTGTTGCTCGTGATATAGAGAGCCGTCTGAGTTGTGCGGGTTTGTCGTTATTGGCCACGTCACTTGTTTTGGTGGGGTCCCAGGTCCTGTTAGCAGCCATGTTGGCGTGCTGGCGTGGGGGCAGGGTAGCTCGGTTTGTGTGGTTTCTTCTGGTGGGCCCGCACAGTGGGTGCTGTCCGCTTGTTCAGAGCGCCTCATTATCTCAGGGGCGGAGTTTCCATTCCACCTGGTAATCGTAATCGGTGTAACAACGAGGGTCATAGCGGTGCCCACCAGCATGTTCTGCGGTATCGCCAGGCCGACTATCAGGCAGATGTTTATCAGTCAGCGCGCATGTCCCCTCAGCTCCGGTATGAGATTTAGCCCTTTATCTATAGTGGGGATACTGATCGCCAGAATGGGGGCCATCGGGGCTGCTGTGGCGAGATGTAGGCATAACATGACCAGCGCGGCCACTGACACTATCATCTGTCTAATCACCCCCGGGTGTTGGTATGCCCAGTAGCTGGTGTCAGCAGTGTGGGCCACACAGGCGAGAGCGAGGTCGATGGCTGCTGGTATGGCGCAGGTAGTTATTCGTTTAGTGAAGTGTCGAATTACCCAAATCAATCCTGTCGTCTGCACTACCAGGGAGATTGCAGTGTCCAGGGGCCATATCGCTATCACGAGTGCTAGGGGGCCCCAAAGAATAATCATGAGTAGAACTGCGTTACTAGTCTGAGGTATTATTTTCCACATGTTCATACCTCGGCGAGTGGTGGTTCTGTAAATCTTACGAACGGTACACAGGACTCCCATGCTCGCTACAGCCATACAGACAATGAGAGCGATTACGGCAAGCACATACCGAGTGCCTGTCCAGGCTGTACAGGCACTCCGGTACAGACGTCCGTAGATGGCCCTAGCTGTAGATGCCGCAATTCCGCCCGGGGAGTGTGTGCTAATGTTGTCCCCAATCGATGTCGCCAGGAGTTTCTGAGTGCTGCGAGATATAATTCTCGAGTGGCCCTGTTGATACGAGGTCTCGCCTGCTCTGTTGCCCCATACCTCTTTCTCCGAACCTGTGCTTGGGTGCGCATTGTCTGTACACCCTGCCTTCCAGTTGTCTCTCAAGGTCCTACGGCCGTCAGTTTCACGAGTGCTATGGTGTGCTAGAGTTTGGTTGTGGGTTACAACAGGTTCAGAGTTGCAGCCATACTGCGTCTCTGCAGGTTGCAGGGGACCCTCACAGGATATCGGCTTGTGTTCCCCCCCTATCCAGCCCTTGATCGAGTCACACACATCAGATTGCCAAGCTATACTACAGTGCATCTCCTTGACTAGCGCATCTGTCCGGCGCGGGCCGGCGTGTAGGTTTGGGCGAACATGGCAATTACGGTGTAGTAGGGTGATGTGTTGGTCAGACAGTTGGCGTGTAGTGCTTATTGTTACGCCCTGATGGCTGCCCAATATCGGCCGGCCTTGAAAGTGGCCAGGAACTACCGCCATGTTCTTGTAAGCTGTATACTGATGTTGATTTGTACAAGTATATTGGCTCGCCTTGCACTTCGGATGGCACCTCCTTTGCGTCGCTCGTGCTTTGTCGGTACGAGTTCTGTTGGTATGATTTTTGCGGTGAGTCTCGTTTTGGTGTGTTATGATCTGAGCATTTGATATACTACAGAATTTTGTATCGTGTTTGGTTATTAGTCGACAGGATGGTGGGGGCGACTTTGTGTTCTTTGCAGTCAGGGGTCTTAGGTCCTGTGGCCCTATCTCCCGAGAATGTATCGGGTCTATATGGTAGTGCTGGTATGGAGCTGGAAATTGATTCCGTTTACGGTCTGCCGCGTTGAGGGTCTGCCATGGTGGGTCACCGGTGTGACAGTCTAAGGGCACTGCCGTCTTTTCTATAAAGTATTTTAGTACCCAGGCATCCTTGATCTGTGTGTTATAATGGGCTGGGGGAGCGTTCCAGGGGCGGTTGGCTTTGCAAAGATCGGAATGCGGAGCCCTGGGTGTAGGCGAGGGCTCAGGGCCCCTTGCTGTAAGTATGCCCGAGTCGCCTGGGGGCAAGTAGTGTTTTCCAGTCGTTGTATAGCTGCCAGCTCGTGGATTGCCGACCATTTTGGACAGAAAGATTCCGCTGATGTGCGAACTCGAGCTACCGAGCCATTGCCATTGTTTCAGAGGATTCATATTAGAGCATATCCTACGCGCTTGATTGTTCTGGCATATCAGTATGCCGGTGTCTTGTTCGCCCAGCATATTGGTTCGGGTGGATCTGTCACGGAGTTCCTGTGGTGCGGTTGTTTTCACAAGGCTAACCGATCTTGGTTGCGCTATGTTACCCATAGACTTCGGCCTGGGGTCAAGCAATGGTGCGTAGAGCAGGCCGGTCCGAACCGAGCCCTTAAGCTCATCCATTGCCCCCTCCTCAGTCATGGAGCGGCCATCGGCGCCCAAAAGAAACACGGTTAGAACAAGCAATACGAACGATTGCATTGTTGCCTGCAAACCGTGCTTACCGCGAAGTGCACAACTTACTTTCACTCCCCCAGAGCGGCTTGACAAGGCGCGTAGTTGTAATTTATATAATTGCAATAGTTGTACGCAGCTACATGCATACGAAATTCCCAAGCGCAACAACCACAACATCCTATGCACATTGTCGCACTGTTTGTGGAGCTTGGACGAGCCACAGTTCTTCGCGTGACGCTAGCGATTCCATTGATAGAGTGAGTTGGTCCGCTACTGCCTGTGCCACCAGACAGGCCCAGAAGTGATGACAGCGAGGGAATACGCCTCCTAGAGAACCTAGTGGACAACCTCCACAACCACACACTGCTCACCGCAACTCTATCGTTCCCTTTGGTCGTTAGTATACTTCATCACTTGTCTCGTTGGAAGTGCGAGGTAGGATGGTGCTTATAGGCGATTTGGCAGCCCTTGAGCCCTCGGCTCGTACTAGGGTGGTTTGCAGGTACGGGGAACGCACCCACGACCATGTAACAACAACAACACACTGCTGGCTGCGACATCCTGAGATGGGAACTTCCTAACATAGGCACCCCATCAACCGTGAGACGCCACCAAACCGCTTTTTGTTCATTTTCCCATCGTAAATGAGACCATACATAGGGTAGCCCAAAGGTTTAGATAGAAAAGTTATCTCACCTCAATCTAATTAGATCTAATTGGTTCTCATCTAAGGATTTGGCTACTTCTCGAAAACGTAATCAATCTTCACGAAACTTGGTACTTGTGTTCCGTGTAGTTAACATATTCTATTGTAAGTAATATTTTGAGCGGCGGGGCTCTGCATGAACTCTAATCTGTAAGCAGCTGCTCGGGGACGCATGGACCCATGGGTCCAGCATCACCTAGACAAGCCTGAAACCTGCTTTTCCTTTCGCACTGCATGCGGTTAAGAAGTTCAAGCTATTGTAGCAACGTACGGAAAAGTCTATCCTAAATCCTGGCCGTCTTTATGTGCTTTATTCACCCTGGTCGCATGTCGACATGCCGACCAGGTCCATAAACGATGGAAGGTCCGTTGCAACGTAAGAATAGCCTTACCCAGTACCTTAGAAGAGCCCGTCGCCTCTTTAATAAACAGGATATGGGCTGCTCGACGAGCCACAGAAGGTGGCGAAAGTCGCATATCAGTCGCTAATTTTACGGATAGATCTTTAGGTCTTATGGGGGCCCCCTCCACCCCATCGCCAACCTACCCTCAATACCGGGGTTTGGGTAACATAACCAATGGACGGCACCATAGCTGCTCTTGATTCTGCACTGAGAGCCAAGATTAGACTCCCCTGCCTCGGTGGCGCAACCCTGGTAAGGGCACTCAAATCTAAGGCCGCGGCGAGTTCTCAATCCTTTGTCCATTATCGGTACGATATCAGCTGCGGAACCACGCCCACACGTCGACTACATCTGCTTTGACACCGCACTTTTGAAACGGCTAGGAGGGAGCGAGCGGGCAAGAGAGCGCCCTGCTTGCTTGCTCCTGGCCGCCCCACCGCACCTGCTGGCGAAGCATGCAAATAGCATTCCCGCTGTTGCATGCCGAGCGAATCACTGACAGGCCACTTGCCGTTGAGAATTCAATGTTAGCCCGGGCACAATAGTGGCCCCTTGGCCCTTAATTGGAAATAAGTGACAGATGATGGTGGTGGATGCGGGCTTGCGCGCATATGAAGTTGCGCGGTTGGAAGTGTAGCCAATCACGCCCCTGATTTAATGCTACATGAAATAGATAGAATGCTCATACGCTGAACTATAGGTTAGATGTATGAAAGGCGCTACAAACAATTTGGCCAAGTTTTGCTGCCGCACGTATCATATGTGCAAGCAAGCCAAATGCCGTTTAAAAGGTAAGCACAACTAGCATCAGACGGTGCTGCGGACGACGTTTGGTGGCGCGCGTGCGTTCGGACACCACAGGACCCATAGACATGGCTGGCTGGTGAGTATAACATGATGCATAAATGATTATGCAATTATTTTTGAAAATGCGTGAATATAGTGAGTGAATTTAGTGTCGAAGCTTGAGCTCGAGTTTGATAATACGGCAAACGGTAGACGATGGTTACCACGGCAAGCGACAGACCTTTAGAGCATCGCTGCACCTTTGCTGCAGCCGCATTACCACACTGTATCTAGTATTTGGGTTGAGGCAATGCTGCGGCTGCCTGTCGGTGAGCTGAACCTAGGACGGAAAGGCCAATTTAAGCCGTCTTATCGCTGCTGCTGCAAGCTACCTTCCTATCTCCTCGGTCGCCAACGACAGCACGCACGTGCTACAGCATGCTCCAGTCGTGACCTCGGTAAACAGACGCCTGGCAGCTGTGACGCCGGCAGCTTTAGCAACGTCCGGGATATCGGCGTCAACAGCACCCACCACTGCAGCAGCAGGGGCAGCAAAGACCGCCGCAAAAGAAACAGCGGATACTGCGGCAACAACTGTCTGGCTTCCATGTCTGAGGGGTCCCAGACGCAGACGCTATCGTTCGGCAACTTCCACAGCGAGCGACTGGCCGCCAAGTTCATGGATGTGGGGTCCGATGGCGTGGTCATCCTATGCCACGGCTACGCCTCCACCAAGGTGACAGTTTTTTCAGATGATTTCTGCTGTGGAGTTAGATTGCCTAGATGTATGATGGGTGCCGTACCATGTACGGAGCCCACGCAAGATCTGGCCGCAATAGCGGTCAGCTAACTTGGAAACCGAACACCAGCACCACCACCAAACACATCCTTCGCTCCCAACAGGACGGTTTCCTGTTTCCGCGACTCGCTGAGGAGCTAGCAGCAAGGGGGTTGAGCAGCCTGAGATTCGATTTTGCCGGAAACGGAGAATCCGAGGTGGGTGCTGTACAGTACGGTGTCGTACCGTGTGCAGGCGCCCATTCCCATGGGTAGGACGTGGACATGGCACTGTCTTTTACTCTTTCTCGCATCCGCCGCTTACGCAGGTCTGCACCATTTGCCACACTTACTCATTGCGTCACCCGCCCCGTTAGAAGGCTCCATGCTTGTTCCCTCTAAAACCCCTCAACTCTTGTCAACTCCTGTCAACTCATAAAGTTCCCCCCCTCACTCAGCACTTCCCTGGACAGTTCCCCGAACAATGTTCAATCTTCGACTGCGTACCGCGTCCTTGTCTCACCTTGGCCACACAGTCCCTCACCCTGCCCTCCACCCCTCCTTGAGTATGTATTTGTCCTTAGGACGCGGGGCCACGTTCATCCTCCTTCTACTCCTACTCCTACGACTCCTCCGTGTTGGGCCGGGCACCTCTTATCACCCTCGCCCCCCCCCTCCTTGCACTCAGGGCACGTTCAGCTTTGGGAACTACTTCCGAGAGGTCGAGGACCTGCGGGCTGCCGTACAGTTCGTACGGGACATACTGCAAAAGAGCGTACACGCGATCATTGGTAGGTGTGCTCCGTGCGGTGTCTGGTGGTGTTGGTGCCTCCATGTGCTGTTGGTGCTGCTCGTGTGTAGGAGTTGTGATGACCGCTTGAAAGGTGAGAGGGCTGGCAGCAGTGAGGGAGGCTCGCTGGGAATGAGAGGTGGCGGCCGACGTGGCGGTGGGAACCGGCACAGGGCCACCACCCAGGAGCTATCTTCGATGACGTGATGCTAAGAACATGCCCATGTCAGATGGCACCCGTCATTGTACCCCACCACTCACCACCACACCACACACCACGACCACCACCACTGGCATGCTATGCGCGCCTGTCGTGGAGATAGCCCCATGGCCTCACGCCCCGCCTGTGCCGGCCGCGCGTGCCTTGACGTGTTTTTTTTGGATAGATGTATGATAGAGTATGAGCTGTGACAGCTGTGGTAAATCAAATGGACCGCGGGGTGACGTGACCGCCTCGTGTACATGTTTGTGATTTTTTGCTCGTAGGTCACAGCAAGGGCGGTAATGTCGTACTGTTGTACGCGTCAAGGTACGGCGATGTGCCGTATGTAGTGAATGTCGCGGGTCGAGGTGTCATGTCACGTGGTATCAAGGTAATTTCACCGCAACCCCGGGTGGTAGCTTACGGCACTGACATGTACTGGTGGCATGTACGGGTATCACATCATACCTGCACACAGGCACACAAGCCATGCTTACCTATCTATCATGACGCCGGTCCTCCTTTCTATAGGGGCAGCAACATCTGCCTATGACCCATGCTTACCTGCCAGCCCGCGTGCATGCCCGCATGCCAGCCCGTTTGCTGTGTGCCTTCCCTCCTTGCACCTGTCTTTTTCACGAGCACATCATCGCGCATCTGCAGCTCTGGCGCCCGCCGGCTCTCACGCCCTCTGGAGCGGCCACTTCCAGGTCGTCCCGTGTTTCCGCCGGTGGTTCCTGTTGTGGCCCAGTTCCGAAACGTGGTTATGGTGAAGATGGTGTGAATGATTTGTTGCTGCAGTGGCATTTCGATGACTTCCAGGTCTGAGCTCCCCCCATACCCCTGTCCGGATAATAATGTGACAGGAGCGCTTCGGGGCGGATATAATGGATCGCCTAGCCGAGGTTGGGGCAGTGGAGCAGGAGGTTCGGCAAGACGGTGGACGACGGATTATCAAGTACTTGCTGACCAAGCAGGTAAATCTGAGCGTCTGCCTGCATGTCTGTCTGTCTCTATGCCTTTCGGCCCTTCTAGCTGGCTGGCTGTACCTATGCACGTGCGAGTAGAAGTGCCGTACATGCCCATATACATGCATCCGTGTACAACAGAGAACCTAACCGTTTCTTTGCTGAAACGAAACACAGCACTGCCGTATTCCCATTTGCCATCTTATTCTTAACCAGCGACTGCCGTATTGTACTGCTGCCCTACGTGTACAGAATGTGGACGAGCGCATGCAACTCGACATGCTGTCCGAGGCCGCCAAAATCTCGAGAGGCTCTCAGGTGCTCACAATCCACGGCAGCTCCGATACCGTTGTTCCGGTGGACGATGCACGACGGTTGGCAGGCGTTATGCAGCAATGTCGGCACACGCTGGTGGTGGTGGATGGAGCGGACCATAACTTCCGTCCGCCGATGGCAGCGGCGCGGCTGATTGAGCTGGTGCTGGAATATCTGGCAGGTCCGGAGTCCGCGGAGACGAGGGCGCCGGAGGCGACGGGAAAGGCTGCGGCGGAGGGTTCGGAGTTGCCATGTTGAGGGACCTTAGAGCGGAGGTGTTTCGGTGGCTTGAGGCGTTTCGGACAACATTGTAAAAGGCACTGACGACTCAATATCGGCATCGACGGCATTGACGGTAACATAATATTAACGAGACGGGAGACGACCCACATGACCGGAAGATAAATACACGGTATTGGCTGGATGGGTGTTGTGGGTGTGTGAAGGAGCTGTTTGTGAAGGATGTTAGGACAGACGGGGTTTGGGAGTCTTAGTCCACAACTGCTGCTTGCAATCCTTGCCCGTACAGCCGTACAGCTGTGTTGCCAACATTCCTTCATTAGGTGAGGTGCAGGCCTTGGTAGGGCCCCAGCCCTCAGTACCGGTGCTGAAAGTAACAGGGCGGGTGGGGGGCCAAAACCTGCAGCTCACTGGAGTGGAGGGCGATATAAAGCTCGCGTTGTTCGACTCTCGCATGTTGCGACACGCTTGCGTCACGCGCATCCTGTAATAGCTTGTGGTGTCGCGACGCGATCACCATTATTTTGTCCGCATGCTTAGGATGAGGGTAAGCAGGCGGTGTGAGATAGGTTTGAGACATTTCATTTCTCCCATTTTCCCTTTCTTAGAATCAGAAAGGCGCCGGCCCCCCTCGGGTCCTATTACTGGTATATGAGTGTCGGTCACTTTTTAACAATTATCCCGTTATAACTACTGAGTCATGGGACGGTATGAGTCATGGGACATAGCTGCAGACTAACGACACAAGATCTCGATGCTGCAAACTAAAGGTAAGCTGCGCATCAGGCCAGTTGTGCCTTAGCACAGAGAGAAGACTGTGCTCAAAGAGTGGGCGCAGACAGCATTATCTGACAATGCAATCGAATGGCTATTGTAAGCGATCATGTTTGCCGAATGTATCGTACCAAGTCAAACTGCAGTTATTGTTTGGACACCTGTATATCATCATTGTTTGAAATATCTTTGAGCATGCTGGCAGATAGATAATAGTTCTTTTCATTCAAATAAAAGTGATTATTTCATCAGCAGTAGGCATGCCGGCTTGATATGTCAGCTGTAAGATTTAACCTGCCTAGGACGTGAGGTGAGCTGGCACCGTGACGCTGACGATGTCCAATCGAGAGCAAGGGCGCGGGGCCACGTTCGTTACTTGCTGGTCAGCTAAAACCTGTTTGAGTGGTTGCCCCGAATTCTTTGCCTCGCGATCCCCTGCGCTTGCCGTTGACAAATCAGATTTCATCTTGCTAGTAATAGAGAACAAACAAGGAAATAGAACACACAGCGATAAACTGTCCTTGGGTTAGGCTTTTGGCGGGTGTATTCGGCTGCTGGATCGATAGCTAATCAGTTGCCTGGAGTAATTGTACCCAGTAGCTAACAATCGCGAGCTCAAGAGAAGTGATTAGCATGATCCACGAAGGCGTTTTTGATGTCTTATGTAGAGATCCTTACTTGGGTTCCCATTGCCAGGGGTAAGCAAGCTTTTGCGGGTACGAAAGAATGCTCAAGAAGCTGCAAAAAGGGCTGACAGCCTTTTTCCAGAATCGATGAAGCTGATGACACTTGCCCAATTAGTCCGGTGTGGATGTGCATGAGAGGGGATGGCCAGACAGAGCAGGCAGAGAGTGGCAAAGCGTATAAGGGACGTGAATGTTGAATTCACGTCCCTTATGCGCTTTTTAACGAGTACCGCCGCCGCCTCGTGCTTGCTTGCATCTCGATACATTCGAAGGTCCCCATGCATCATGCTGTGCAGGTTCGCGACGCTTGATTGCATCATGAAAAAACTTCTCTGAATCAGAAAATTCCACCGGAACATACAAAGCAGGTTTTTGAGCGTGTCCGAGCGTACGCACGTACCTGCTGGGATTAGAAGGTGCGTGCGGTGTGCAACATCGATGCCAGTCGTCACAGCGCTGCCGTGGATGGCGACAGTTAGTCTCATGAGAAATGAGTAGATGGATACCTTTGGGATTCTTATAATTTAAGAAATGGAAACTACGGGAAGATGCACAAGTATCTTTGGGATCACGGCGCGTATGCCCGTTCGTGCATGGCGCATCGAACGTTTTAGCGAGGTAGGAGAATTCCCTGGATCGACGACGACAGAGGTGCGGTATAAATTGCGAGACTGTGATGTTGAATATCGATCTGACGGCATCTTCATAAACATGATATATGTATATGTCAACATACTGCTGCTGTAAGGACTAGTAATAATAATTTGTCGGTGCGTGCCTGCCACTTCTAGTTATCTCATTAGCGATAGAGTCATTTTTCATCGCCCTTAAGCTGTTATAAAGTCTGGGAAGTATACTGTAACAGACGCCGGAAGCGATGGCGTCCTCCAGCCACATGGGCCAACTGGCGATACACAGTTTCTGCGGAATAGTTCTCCTGAGCTTAGTGTTCTCCGGTAAGGACCGGCACATTGCAATAGGATGGTTAAACCTAGGCATCCCGATGGATTTTGCGGGTGTATGTATGTTCCACTTTCGCTGCAACATGCATGCTCCTTATACTAAGCACTACGCTGCGAACAATCAAATGCCTCATCTGCTGTCTGAATATCCTGGCCGATGAAAATATGTTCACAAGATTGAAAAAGATGCAGTGTTGCACCACGCGCGAACGGCTTTTTCACCAATACCGCCAACCCTTTTGCAAATAATGTGTCACTCTCAAGAGCAAGCTCGCCCGGTCCTGGTGTTTTGCCACCCTGCCTACCTACATATGCAGCCGTGGCCTCGGGGGAGAATGCGGTCTCTTTGCAGTGGAGCAGTCGGCATCTTCTAACGAAATCTATCGGGGGCGACTTCCCGTATTGCAAGTGAGTGTTTGCACCGCAGTTTTGGTTGATATCATTTGGGGGATGTGAGCGAGGTGTAACAGTTTGTCGCATCTGCTGCAAAGTAATCCAATTCAATAGGTACCAATCCACACGACTACTTCATGCAGGTGTACGACGTACAACTGTCTCTCCTCGCCGTACAGACTGTCATACACGGGCGCGTACCCGGTGAGTGCTCCAGATAGAGCCCTCCCAACACTTGCCTTTCGTGTCGCATGCCAGGCACCATGACTCCACTGCTTGAACGCGGCTGCCTCCAGCTCACGTAGTTGCTTGTTTGAGGTGGGGCCATCTTTCACTCGCAAGCTCAGCTGTCCTTAGATGAGTGTTGGTGGCTTAAGGCCGATCCCTTCGCTTGCGCACCACGCGCTTGTTCGCCTGCTCCAGGTAATGGCCGGCACGAGGCACTGCTTCATGGTTCAGTATGTTGGTTGCACCACGAACACGACGTGCTGTGCGGCTTTGCAACACAACGTGGACAAGATATTCTTTTCCATTGGTACGTTGATAGCTGCTCAGGAGCTGGAGATTTGCCGTGATTGTGCTAGCAGGTTTATATTGCCAGGGAGTAGGTGGATAGGCGAGGGCAAGGAAAGGGTTGAAATAATGAATCCGCCCAAGGCAAGGCAGGGGTCCAGATGGCAAGGTGCCACGTGGCTCCGCATTCCGCGTGCACACTTGGACAACATGTCACGAAGGTTTGGCCAATTCCTACTATGGGCCTGTGCTTGCAAACGTATGCACGCGCACAGGTGCGGGATGTTTGAAGCCGGTCACGAGTCAGGTGGAGATCAACGGCCGCAAGTGGTCCAGCTGGTCCACCGTGTCCACGAAGCGGGGAACGGATACAAACGGTACGCAAGCGCCCCTATTTCCGGGATGTAACAGGACAAGGTTCCTTACCTTTGGCTAGCGTATGTCCATATGGACCTAGGGCTGGGTAGGTCGGGGAGAATATTCCGCGACACATTTCTGGACCACTCCGCAAGGGAACCAAGTACCCATGCACGCGTGCACGTGTACAAACGCGTCGGTTTCCCGCCTTGCAGGTACGGTAGTGTTCGGATACGATGTCCGTATCTACGACATGCAATTCAATGCCACCACGTTTCCCGGCACTTCCATCTGCATGACAACCAAGGAGCCCTGCGCCAGCATCCAGCAGCTGTGCGGCACCACTACAGGAACGTGCAAGTGAGTATGGAGAGACTTGCACGGATCGAGCTCGCCTAGCTGGGGACGGCCAGGTGCTGGTTTGTGCGGGCGCCTGACACCGTTGTGCACCTGCTTACCTGTTTGCTCGCAGGTACGCTGTATTTGACAGCCATAACGCCAGTCGATGCTGCCCAGTCTGTACGGTGGCACCGGTCCCCCCACCGGCGCCGCTGTCGCCCGAGCCACCGTCACCGATGGTGCCGCCCCCTCCACCTCCACCTCCCCCGCCCCCTCCTCCCCCCACACCCATCTGTCGCTCATGCGCTAGCATTACGATTCAACCCCCATCCAACACCAGGCCTGTCAATACCTTCTTCTCCACCCCCGAGAAATGCAATCAGACATCAAGCATCATTATTTCAAACTTCACCGCTGCGCTAGAGGCTGCTGGCGTCTCAATCCGGCAACCTTTTACCTGGAATTGCACCGGAAACTACGAGCCCGGCCAGTCATTTATGCTGCGGCTCTTCGTGTGCGGCTTATATGATGTTCCCACCAACCGCACTATCTTGGAGGAGGCCCTGCGCAACTTGACGGCGAGCTGGGTTGCATTTGTAATAGGCACACCCGTGGTTCTCGGACAGAAGGACCGTGCTGAATGCCCTGTGGGTCTTGAGGGATACGTTTTCGAAGGCGCGTTGGATTCGGGGATTAACGCTGACCCCCGGTGCCCCTATGGTTCCTCGATAATAAACTGTACCGAACGGTATGCGCCTTTTCCCCCGTCGCCATTGCCACCGGTACCGCCGCCGTCACCGGATCCTGTGAAGGTGGGTTGCGCAGGAGCACGGCTAGCCTAGCTCCACTTAACGCGCCTCATGACCATAAGCGTTCCCTATCATTGGCATCGTGATTGAGCGAATATGCATGGCAAGCCAGCAGGCCTTAGCAACGCTCTTGATTTTTTCACAACGTAAGAAACATCCGACAGCTGTCCTCAGAGCATCTTCATGCCGCCACGCCAGAACCCTTTGAGCTCTGTCTTCATACCCGCGCCATGCCCGTGTCTGTTTTGGACTGCAGACGCACAACTGCTCCCAGGCCACCAAAAATGTGCCCTATTACCTCGACAAGATCGAGACATACAACACCACGGCCAGCAACGGGCAGCGGCTGGTCGCTATGTGTACAACGATTCAGGAGATGGACTGCAATGACGGCTCCAAATGTTGCGGCATGGAGGCGGCCAAGGTGAGTGATGGGCCTGGCACGGATGCGTGCTGGTACATACGGTGGTAGCTGTACCATACCACCGATAAAGATAGCTTCTCACGAAGCTGGCTGGAGATGTAGGTCATAAGCATGGTCATTGGCGAGGGCGTGGGGACCTTAGATTGCAGTGTTCCGTCCAATAGTGCCAGCCGTACCAGACGACCTGCTGCCGGATGTCATGCTCCAATTTATACATATCATGAGGAGATGCCAACCTATTGATAGCACGACGCTCGCTCCCCTCCGGAACCTCCGCGCATTAATGGCTGGCAACCTTATCCCACCCATCCTCACCCTGGCAGGTTGAGGTCATTATGAAGCCCTCGTGCCAGGGTGCCCTCCGTAGCATCACCGTCAACGGAAAGGAAATTGCTTACAGCCGAAGCTTCTACACGGGCTTTACAGCGCTCAAGTTTGTGAAGCTGTTGACGTGAGTGGTGGCGGCAGGGGCATTTCAAAGCGTTCCATGGTTATTTGGCCACGCTGGCTCGGATGGGTGGGGTAATCGAGCCATACAAAATACAGTCAGCGGATTCCCGTTCCGTATCGTATCGTTGACAAGGTACTGCAGCAGCAGGCGGTAATGTGCTCAGCTTGCTAAGGGCGAGTGTTTGGGGCCACCAACCCTAGCTACCTCGGTACTTGTGGCGAGCAGAAGTTCGAGCCGTAGTCGTGATCCGTAGTTGCGGCAGCTGCCATAATGGTTAGGAGTGTGTGCCGGTCGTTCCGATGGTTGGACCCTTGGCACTGCTTTGGCTCTGCCATCGTGCATGGTCACAGACAGGCAGCCGAGGGCCCGTCAGCTTGCCCGCCAGCAAGATCAGCATAGTATTACTGCCACGAAGCAACTCTCACACATGCAAGCTAACACCGCTGACGTGCGTTCAACCCGCCCTCGTTCTTTTCCTATCTGCCTGCCTCGTTCCCTAGCTAGCTAACTCCGCCGCCTGCCCTTCCGATGTCCCTCCCGCATGCGGCCCCTGTCGTCACGCAGCTTGGGCGACCCCACAGCCATGCGACTTTGCTGGTAAGAGCTGATGGCCTTCAACGCCATAGCTAGCACCTATCGGTCTGCCGTCAAGAACCCAGCTCTTGTCCAAAAAATGATGCTGCACGCACCGTGGTGTTGCACGCACTACTGAGTCGCATAATACGTAGCAGATATCGTGTATTATTATAACTAACCCATTAGTGGTGCTTGGGTGTTACCTGAGTTTGCAACTGAAAGTAGTACGACTTGCTTGCGTATCGAGCTGCGCCCTGCTGTCTTGTCGCGTCCGGCGCCCTCCACCCGCTACCTGCAACAGGTACGCCTCGCCTGGACCATGCGCTAGCCCGGGGGGCTTCTGCTACAACAATCGGTGCCAGGTGGGTGGGTGGGCGGGTGGAAAGGTATGCTCTGGGTGGAACGGCGTTGGCACAGACATGCTGACGTCACCTGTTAGTTAATGGTACGTACAGATAGACGAAATGTAAGGTATCCTTGCTTGATTCCGCCACTGGACGGCGCCATGGTTCTCGGCCTGCTGGAGTGTGTGTGTGTGTGTGTGTGTAGTAATAAGGATTGCAAGCCCGCATATGCTCTTGAGTGCATAAGGCCGCATCATAGTGATCATCGCTGATGACATGATGATGGCATGATGTTTCCCTGCGGCGCCGGCATGTTTTGCAACTATTATTTAAGGCGATGGCCAGATCACACAAAGTGAGGTCCTGGGTCGGCTCATGGCTGGGGTTCTGTAAAACTTAAGCACAGCACCAGCCGGTTCTTGAATACGCACGCACGACCTGCCGTGTTTCCGCCCGGGAATAATGAACTTTTGAATGCCAGCATGCAGCCACAAACGCAGGAACCCTCGACCATCGTGCATGAGCCCTAAACTTAATGTAACCCTATGTATGCTACTACCATATGATGGTGCGCAGGCAAGCATCTTCTCATCGGACAACAAGTGCTGTCCTACCTACATGCTCTAGACATGTAGACGGTTCCCACCAGGGGGGATCCCTGCTGGTTCCGACAGCCATGCATGCATTGTTTGAACCGCTCAGCTCCATCCATTCATTCATTGAAGCAAAATGAAAGTAATTTTGTTATTAAGGCAGTACGGCTACAACATTGTATGTGCCGGTAGGGCAGTAGGCATAGTGATTAGTTAGGTACGTTATTGCGCAGGCTGTGTATTAGGCAGGTACTGCAGCAGCTGATGGGTTACAAGCAGGATGTAGGATAGGTGCATACAGCACAGGTCATTAGGTCACATATAGCATTGTAGTTGTCAGGCAGAAATTTTGTATAGGCAGGTTATTAGGTAGCACAGGTTTCCTTGTACTGAGTAAATTTTTTGCTTGGCAGCAGTCGGGAGTGCATTCCTCTGATTCCGTCGGCCCATGCAAGCCGCGGCATTGCAAATATGGGGAGCAGATGATGCACGCATTTGATTGCCTCACACGAGGTGTCGCTTGCCGTGGGTAGAATGTTGGCCAGATTCGTTACCTGGGTTTGCTTCTTTTGTTCAATGGTCAATTTGGTTGGTTGTTAGCATAGGTCCGCATGTCAATTCCTTCTCAGCTGAATTCGTTACCTAGGTTTGTTTGGTCGGTTTGTTCGGTTGGTTGGTTGTTAGGTCAGCAAAATATCAATTCCTTGGATCTTGCTTGGTTCTTGAATGTGGCGGCATGTCACTTACAGGCATGCATGACACGTGATGAGATTCACAGGCATCAGCAGCTGCTGTACTTTTTTTTTGAAAATTGATGGTTGCAACACAACATGTTGAAGTCTTGCTCGAGTACTTGAAATTTGTGGTTAATTTGGGTGGATGTGTGGGCAAACTATCTTTCTCGCCCGCGCCGGATTATTGGTACAGGGGCAAGCGAACATACCGCTACCATTTTCGGGTTCCCTCCGACGTAGCAGTTGTAAGTCGTGATGACCAGCATAATCGATCGTTCCCACAAACGTTTCTGGATTCATACATTTATATGATGTGTGAAACAGGGGGGTGTATCTTCGCCCGTGGCAGCTACCCTGCGAAACCCTGCCTTCCCCGGTATTTCGGGGCACCCTCATCCAGTCACCCTAGTCAACTTCTCAGTGGATCGCTCAGGTTCCGCACCCAACACCAGCATCCAACGGAATCTGCCGGGTCGACAGCGGCCCAACTCCATTCCTGGTCGGCTCGCAGGTTAACTTTATCCCAGGTCACCACCGTCCATCAACTAGGGGCGCAATGCCTTCCACCATCGGAAGGACTTTTGACCCTAATGGGTACCGATCCCGGGATCTCCCGGGGGCTATGGTCGCGCCTTACCAGTAGTGCCAAACCCTAGTATTTATATGTATGTTGTTACAGGGTGGTATAGCTTCACCAGCGGCCCCCTTTCCCGAGGCAGTTCCCTGCTCTCCCCTGCGAGAGGGGCACCCTGATCCATTCACCCCATCCGACTTCAGAATGTATTCGCTGGGTTCCGCAACTCACCACCAACATCCAACTAAATCTAGCGGATCAACGGCGCCTCACCTTAGTTCCTGGTCAGCTCGCAAGTTGATATAATCACGTCCTACACCATCCACACGATGGGGGGCCACCTCCCAATTCACCACCCCTCACACACCCGAGGGGTCAGCAGGCGGATTTGAACCCGGACACTCCGGGAGCAGAAGTCAGGCCTTCACCTCTGCCAGCCACCTGCCTATATACATTTATATGTGTACAAGGAAATCAGGATAGGATCGGTACCTGAAACTATCTAGTAAGAAACCCCGCATACCAACCTCGGGTAATACCTCACCTTCGCTCGAGGACTATCCTCTCGCGTGCTGTTGCAGGTGCATGTCACAGAGTACATTTCAGCTTCAGTGGTTAACCAGCGTGGTAAGGACATGGCAGTGGGGCATGTCCCAGTGGGTCTGCTCTGCAAGTGATTGCTATATCTATGTTCCACTAGTGAAAGCCCTGATTGTGGTCTTACGTTTGTGTACACGCAGCTCCTGGCATGCTCCAGTAGCTCATGCGTGGACAAATCACAGGAGCCGGCGATACATCTTCCCACATGTCTCTGCAGAGTTTGGCTCTTCTTTTGCGCACATGTAATGTGTGAATGACTGTCTTGAGGCGTTTAAGTTGACAAAAAAAGTTTAGCTTATAGCTGCGGACAAGGCCGCGTCGGTCAAAGCTTCGAGTTCGCGAATTGGAAGGAAATAGCATGGATAAACCTTTTCTTCCTGAGTAGCAACAGCAGCAATAACAGCGGACGTTTCTACCATAAATGTGAAAGTGTTTCAGGCAGCCGAGAACCAAAATATGTTTCCCTAGACGCGGCTGTACTTTGTCTGCCCCAATTATGTGTACTCATGAAAGGACACCGCTGGGCAACGTCAAGTGTAATTCATCTTCGTCATCGTCCGTACATTGTGTTCCGGGAGAGAATGCAAAGCTGAAGCCGAAAGGCTAGCAGATTGTGGAACTTGTACAGAGAAATTTCCTTGGTGCGTATTGGTGGCAACGTCGGTTCCGCGGTCACTTGGAAGGGTTGGCGGTGAATCGGCTGTGACACCTTCGGCACAAACATGGCGCTAGCAGCCGCCGCCAAGCGAGCGGCGGCTGAAGGCCTACCCGGAATTCTCTGCATACTGCGCTTGGGCAGGCTTGGCGTGCACACGACATCAAGCGCGTTCAATCCTGCGGAACCCAAGCCCGTGCCGCTTGCCAAGCTTAAGGACTCATTCAATGAGGGAACTAGTATTACATATCTCGAGGAGCTGGAAGAGCGGTACCACAGGGACCCCAGCTCAGTGGACCGCACTTGGCAGGCCTTTTTCCGCAACTTGGACCAGGGCGTATCTGGCGAGGCCATGGCCGAGGCGTTCGATGCTTTCGAAAAAGGGAAATTGCACATGTCTCCATTTTCTGCAGCGGCAGTCTCCAATCAGACAGTGCAGGAGAGCATGCGTCTCCTGCTGCTTATTCGCGCTTACCAGGTATGTCTTCATGGCTGGGATATTCGCCTCAGCATGGTCATTATCTTGCCATGGACGAAGGAAATGTCGGAAATTTATGTGAGCGTCCCGCCAAACCTTGACTTGCAGGTGCTGGGGCACTTCGCAGCAGACCTCGACCCGCTGGGTATAAGCGGCCACGCTCACCCACCGGAGCTGGATCCATCGTTCTGGGGCTTCAAGGAGACGGACCTGGATAGGGAGTGAGCTTGCTAGTAGTCCCATCTATGCTCTTCTGCCTTTCCATTATCAGTCTGTCAGTGTCAGTACTTAAGGAAGCACCGTGCCATGTGATTGCGAATGGGTACACCTCACGCCCTGGGCCTTTACTGCAGTCCCAACCCCTCTGTAACGCCTTTTTACTTCCCGCATGGTCCTATCTGGCTTTTGGCATTCGCCATCAAATTCACCTGCCTTACTTTTTAATTGGACACATGCAGATGGTCGTCTTTGGTTTCGTTGCATAAGATTCCCCACCAACTTCCGCCACCACCACCGTCCCCGCCAGGTTTTACATCGGCAACTGGAACCAGGCTGGTTTCCTTGCGGAGGGCCGCCCCATGCGGACGCTTCGTGAAATGCTCACGCGCCTGCAGGAAACCTACTGCAGTAACATTGGATACGAGGTGCGGTGGTGGAGTTGGCGATTTGGTGGTTTGGGTCGGGTCCCCTAGGTTCCCCGGGAGCCATGACCTGCGTGTCAGGTGTCTCGAGCGGTGTTTGGACATGGCCCACATCGGGTATGCCAGTTCAAAGGATTGGGCTGATGATTGGATTTGTGGAGTGTACGGTGAAGATTAGGGAGGATACTGGAAACCGGGTGAAAGGTCGTCCGCGTGTTGGTTCCTACGTAGGAATAGTAAAGCAAGGTACGGGGGCTCGAGACCAGGAAAGAAGGGGCCTGGATCCTATTTAGGGTGCTGCCTGCTGCGAGCACTACAATAACGATGTTGGTAATTTAGGAAGCAAGTTCATTGATAACCTTGGCAGCAGGCACTTCTTACCAACAGACGCCACCGCACGTGGTGCATCGTAGTAAGTTAATCGCGAGCACGTTTACCTTTTTACGCTTATGCGGAGTTCTAAGCGTTGAGTTAGTTCGGACACGAAATGCGCTGGTGATCCGTCAGCGTTGCAGCATCCGTTAGCTCCAACGATAAGCGACATGGTGCTGCTGCGTGGTTGACTCCGGGTTTCTTGTGGGGGCTTTCAATGGAAGCTGCGGCTCGCTGTCGTGCAGACCGCTTTTCCGCGCTCAGTTTTCATGTGTGTCTCCAGCCTCGAAAAGCATTCCCCGCTCACCGGTAGGGTCCGATCACCCAAGCTTGTCCCCCCCGGTCCTCTCCCGGCCTTCACTTTCCCGCTGGCTCCTCGCAGTACATGCACATTCCGGAGCGCGACAAATGTAACTGGATCCGCGAGCGCATCGAGACAATTGATAAGGTGGGCGTGTGAGTGCACACGTGTACACTTGATGCATGGGCAACGGATGCTGTGTATCTGTCGTGCCACCGTTGGCACTTTCGGGCGCTCGTGAAATGGCCGTATTCCACTGTGCTTTTGAGAGCCCCTGCATCTTTATGTGCCGTTCGGATATCCATGTGCCATACAACAGCCAGGTGCTGTGTGCCCAGACCTACATCATACACCCACACCAACACGGCACATTCCTTTCTGCAGTCCCTGCCCTTCAAACAGGGCATGGGAAACCCGCAGATGCGCTACGCCTGTACATGCTCCCAGTCTCCAGTACCAGGAATACTGTCCCCTTGGCGCCAAGCGATATCCCCTCCCTTCTGATACGCCGCACTAACCTCCTGCCCTCCCGTGCCCGCCCGCAATGGTACGTACTCTCGCACATACAGGTCCAATTCACCAAGGCGCAGAAGCAGCACATGCTGGACCGTCTGGCTTGGTCGGACATGTTCGAGACGTTCCTGGCCAACAAGTACACGGCGGCCAAGCGCTTCGGCCTCGAGGGCGCTGAGAGCCTCATTCCGGGCATGAAGACCATCATTGACACGGCGGCGGACCTGGGTGTGCAGTCGGTGGTCATTGGCATGCCGCACAGAGGTGAATGGAGGGAGGGGCAGAGATGGGGGAGTGGAGGACCTGGGCATGGCCGCAGAAAGCGCTGTGGACTGGAGTACGAGGGGGGCCAGGAGGGAGGGTGGACGGGTGAAGCCTGAGGGCTGAGGGTTGAGGGCAGGCGTGCGATGTTCGTCATTTGTTGGGCTTGGGTGTACTGGGAGTCGGCTTTTGCTGAGTAATCAAACACGGAGTGAGGGTCAAGGATGTGGCGTAACGGACTGGACGCATGTGCATCATGATCCCGTGAGCTTGTGCAGGCGATTGTCAGGGAAACTGCTTCCAGCATGACAGCTCCCTTTCGCTTCCTGTCCCGGCTTCACCTCGTCTTCAGGTCGGCTTAACGTGTTGGCCAACGTGGTGCGGAAGCCGCTGGCACAGATCTTTAGCGAGTTCACGGGCAAGATGCACGAGGCGCACGAGGTGAGGCCCAAGCCGGTGCTTGTATGCACAGGAGCTGCCAGGCCCACATGTTAAGTGGCTGAGAAAGAGACGAACAAGGTTTGGAAAAGGAAGCATAAAGAACAGGCGTTGTGACAGGGGACAGATCCCTTCACCACGATGCGTCTCTATCCCACTAACCTGACAAAATGCTTTCCACATGAAGACATCAACGCGTCTGAACCAATCAAAGAATCAGCGCTTCGAAACCAACCAGCCGTTGCTTAAGCTATCAAGCTAAGCAACCCTTGAATTGGACTAATTAATTACCCCTGGTGCTATTTGTTTTTCCCCACCCTGTCTTAGGGCGAGTACACGGGCAGCGGTGACGTCAAGTACCATCTGGGAACCAGCTACAACCGGCCCACTGTCAACGGCAAGATGGTGCACCTCTCCCTGGTGGCCAACCCCTCGCACCTGGAAGCCGTGAACACGGTGGTGCTCGGAAAGACCCGTGGCAAGCAGTACTACAGGTAAGTGGCGGTAAGAGACGAGGCGGTGGGAGGCCGGCGGGCGGTGCATAGCCGCGGATTTCTGTACCTGTCCCGGGCCGTTCCGCTGAAATGTTATAGCTGTGCACATCGACACTTCTAAAACGCTCCTCACAGTCCCGTCTCTGACCCTTCCTTACGCCTCCTTTCCACGCCATACGCAGTGACGACCATGAACGACTGCGCAACATGGCCATCCTGCTGCACGGTGATGGTGCATTCAGCGGCCAGGGTATTGTGTATGAGACTCTGGACATGTCGGGGCTGCCGGACTACACGGTGGGCGGCACCATCCATCTGGTGGTCAACAACCAGGTGAGGCAGGGAGCGAAGTGAGTGGGTGGGCAGGGCGGTCTGTTCGGGCTGCTGTTGGAATGGGCGCGACTCGCAGCGAGTCTGCTCTTGTAGCCCAATACAAACCTGAACACGTGTCGCGCCGAAAGGCAGCCGGGATTAACGCGGGCGCCTTGTGCCGAAACCTCTCCGCAGGTCGCTTTTACAACCGACCCCAAGGACTCGCGCTCCTCGCCCTACTGCACCGATGTAGCTAAGAGCCTCAACTGCCCCATCTTCCATGTCAACGCGGATGACGTGGAGAGTGTCGTGCGGGTGTGCCAGCTGGCGGCGGAGTGGCGCCAGGTGTGAAGGGCCCGATCCGTAGGGACCGATCGGCGCGTGTTACATGTCACCCCTATCCAGTCAGAACTGCCCACAGACCCTTCGGCATTCTCGTGTTATCGTGGCATCTGCCCCCACGCATGCGACCTCAATGGGAGCTCCTGGCTGTTGGATCCCAAGCCCACAACCAAAGAACTACCTTCCGTTCCAAGGGTCCTTAGCCCCTCCGCCATACCCGAAGCTTGACAGAAGCAGTGCCTGCCGGTGGGCCTCGTTTAGCATGCGGTGACGTCAGTCCGTGTATGAGGCTGCCAATGCTTGTCCATTCCCAACAAACGCCCTTACCCCTTCCGGCCTGTGTTCTCTAGGCCTGGAAGTCAGACGTGGTGGTCGATCTGGTGTGTTACCGCAAGCACGGCCACAATGAGATCGATGAGCCCATGTTTACTCAGCCGCTCATGTACAAGAAGATCAAGGCCAAGAAGCACAGCCATGAGATGTATGCGGAGCGGTTGCTGGAGGAGGGCACTTTCACGAAGGTGACTACACTGTGGGATCTGCCGAATGCTGGGGCTTATATGACCCTGCTTGTATGCATACCCGACTGTCTTGACTACTGTCTAAACCCTCAACCCCACAATGCTGTGTTTTTGCTGTGCGCCAGCTATGCATTGCGGACGAATTTATGGACCTGTGATATGCATTTTTTGAAGTTGTCTACAAAATGTTGTCAAAAACCCTTACGTATGCACGCATGTACAGGAGGAGATTCGTGCCATCCATGACAAGATTCAGTCGCTGCTCAACGAGTCATTCGAGGCGGCCAAGGACTACAAACCCCAGAAGAAGGACTGGCTGGCCAGCCACTGGCACGGTTTCATGTCGCCGGCGCAGATGTCGCGCATCCGCAACACGGGCGTGCCGGCCGACCTGCTGCGAACCGTGGGTCACGCCATCACGGCGCTGCCTGAGGACTTCATCGCACACCGCCAGATCCGCAAGGTGTATGAGCAGCGCCGCTCCATGGTCGACACAGGTAAATCTATATAGGCACAGATGTAGCTGGTGGGGCGACCAAAACGCGCTTTCTGGGTAACTCTTTGGGAGTTGGAAGAAAATCTTGTCCACGTCAGTGGGCCCCGAGAAAGAGGGATCCTTTCTTAACTGTGTTCCTGAACCCGCTCCACGTGTTGCCTCCGCATGTTCCCTCGTGTCCTTGGCCCATTGGTCGCAGGCGAGGGTGTGGATTGGGCTATGGCTGAGGCACTGGCATTCGCGACCTTGCTGTCAGAGGGTAACCACGTGCGTCTGAGCGGCCAGGACGTGGAGCGTGGCACCTTCAGCCACCGCCACGCGGTACTGCACGACCAGAACACGGGTGAGCGGATGCAGGCGAAGCCGGTAGAGGACTGGGTGGTGTGCAGTTGTCGGATGCGGGGGAACATGCTTGGCCCGGGGGGCCACTACCGCAAGCGCCCTGGGTGTGCTCGCATAGCAGGCGGTCTGTAGGTAATCCCTGGGGCTACGAAACGTCGAGAGGCCTCACCAGCCCGGGTTTAACGGTTGAGTGGAGACATTGGAGATTCTCGTCCCGAGTCCTCTGATGGAATGGTCATGCTTCACACCTTGTGTCAACGTAATCTACTCCCTTCTTTGCATGGGGGCACTACCTGGCATTGCTTCCTTCCCGGTCCCGCCGCGTACCCGGCCGCCGCCACATCACCAACGCTGATAACGTCCCTTGCCACATCCGCCCGCAGGTGGCAAGTACGTGCCGCTGAACCACGTGTTTCCCGGCCAAACGAACAACAGCTTCACAGTGTGCAACTCCTCGCTGTCGGAGTTTGGTGTGCTGGGTTTCGAGTTGGGCTACAGCATGGAGAGCCCCAACAGCTTGGTGCTCTGGGAGGCGCAGTTTGGGGACTTTGCAAACGGCGCGCAGGTGGGAACTGGCGGTGGGGATGGAGCGGGGTCCAGAATGTTGTTGGGTTGTGCTGGTTGGGTTCACACCGAAGATACCTATGCGTGTCTTAATAGGGTAAAGGAAATTTTGAGTGTTTCGTACCCTAACGTCCCAATGGGACGAATTCGGGCGAATTTGGGGGCCATGCTCCAAAGGAGTTTAAGGATGACGGAAGGGGAGTGCAGAGGCGTCTTCGATTTATCTTTATCCAGGACAAACGATCCTTTTGTCATGGAAAGCATGCTCGTTTCCTTTCTTGATGTCCCGTCTTAACATGCGCGACCGTCTCCGATTCCGTCCGCTGCCCCTTCTTCAGATCATCTTTGACCAGTTCCTATCTTCTGGTGAGGCCAAGTGGCTGCGTCAAAGCGGCCTGGTGTGCCTGCTGCCCCACGGCTACGACGGCCAAGGTCCGGAGCATAGCAGCGCCCGCCTCGAGCGCTTCCTGCAGATGTGCGACGAGAACCCGTACGACATGCCGCACCACGATGAGGCGCAGTGGTTCACGGGCGGCCACCTGGGCACGCAGATCCAGCGTGCCAACTGGCAGGTCGTCAACTGCACCACGCCCGCAAACTACTTCCACGTGCTGCGGCGCCAGGTGCGGCCTGGGTGCGGCCAAGGCCAAGCCTGGCTTTAGTTTTCCCTTCGGGTTTTTGGCTCGCAGATAGCGTACTATCTGGGTCCCTTCCTTGCTGTCGCCTGTCTCCGCTTTTCCTCGCTCAACCCAAGGCAGTCGCAAAATCGTTCGTCCGAATTGCAGAACTTCCTTCCTACTTTGCTTTTAACAGGTGCATCGTCAGTTCCGCAAGCCGCTCATCGTGATGAGCCCCAAGAACCTGCTGCGCCACCCCATGTGCAAGTCGCCACTACGTGAATTTGACGACCAGCCGGATGATGCCAACATTGTGGGCGTGCGATTTAAGCGCGTCATCATGGACGATACGGGTGAGTCTGGCGATAGACTGGCAGACGTGGTGCTGGGAGATGGCCTTCGGGTTGATGTGCATGTTGTGGTTAAGGCATCAATTTCGCGCAATGACTGGCTCTTTGTGCGCTTTTAACGTGCTGTGCATTTACCATGTGCAAAAATCGTCTCGTTTTCCCGCTTGACCGCAGCTGTCTCGAGGTGGTGATCGCTGCGATAATCTCTTGAGCAGTGTTTTGTCACCCTGTAGTTGTAACAATACCTCTTTGTAAAGGCTACTCCTGTTCCTGACACGCCACCATGCCGCTGCAGGTCTCTTGCCCAAGGACCGTGGTCCACGGCCTCCCCAGGAACCCGACGTGAAGCGCGTCGTGTTCTGCTCAGGCAAGGTCTTCTACGACCTGCACGCGGAACGCGAGAAGCAGGGCAAGGTGCGCGATTGCTTCTTCCCTCTCCCTTCCTGCGGATCCGATTCCGTCCATGCACCTTTGATCTTTCCCTTCCCCCACCTTCATTTTACGCGTGCGCAGGAGGGCGTGGTCGCTATTGTTCGTGTGGAGCAACTGGCGCCTTTCCCCTTCGACCTCGTTTGCCGTGAGATCCGGCGCTACCCCAATGCGCAGCTGCTGTGGTGCCAGGAGGAGCCTATGAACATGGGTGCCTATCTCCACGTGCAGCCGCGCTTCGATACGTGCCTGCGGGAGGAGGGCAAGCCTATGCTGGGCAGGTGGGAACATGGGTCAGTGGGCTGCCAGGGCTATGCTTCTTCCTTGGAAGAAGCATAGGAAAGGCACGGGGGCTGTACAGGGCAATAGCCTTGAGTCCACGGGATGTCCTAAGGTGTTCATGACAAGGGTGGTGGTAGACTGGGTACATGGGTCGGATTCCCCGCTCTGGATGCCTGCGACAGCTGTTGCCTGGGCGTGGCAGTAGGTGAGCCATACCTGGCGCTGCAAAACCTTGAGATATTGACGTCTAGCAGCTGGGATTATGGCAGCAATTCACCCTTTGTTTTGTCGTGTTCTCTCCTGCACTTTGCAGGATGCCATATGCTGGTCGCCCGCCCATGGCGGCCACGGCTACGGGCTTTGGCGATGTGCACGCCCGGGAGCAGGCCAAACTCATCAAAGATGCGCTCGACGTGAACTACTGTTACCCTTGAACGACCTGTAGCGCGGGAATGGGCGAGCGGTGGACGGCCAAAGGTCTCGAACATCTGTTCCCGCAAAAGACCTAAGGCAGCAGCCGCACTGTTAAGAGTGATGTGTACGTGCTCCAAAGATGCAGTGCCCGCGGTTTGCCGGGGCGGCATTGTACGAGGCGAAGTTGCGAAGCGGGACGGCACCAGGCCTTTGGCAGTGCCTCTCTTCGCAAGCCAGCAAATGTGTTGTTCCGTTGCAACCTTCCGTCCTGGGCGTCAAAAGGGGCGTTGTCACTTGTCGCCAGCGAGCTGGTCACTGATTTGGCCGAATGTCTTCGTCAGCGGATTTGAGTAACTACGACAGCTGCTGGCTGCAATGTGCAGAAGTCAGCATGGTTGAGTGGGCGGTGTGTGTTTCCGCCTGGGAATACCCGCAGATGTCGCCCGCTTAGACGGTGATGTCGTGCCATGGTGAAAGCATGTGTTTCCTCGTGTGACATTAGACAGTGTGCTAGTTTCTGGCTCAAACGGCTTTTACTTTGGCGACGTGCTTCCTGCATGGTCTTTCTGTACGCCGACGCTGCCGCGCGCCTCCTCTTCGCGCGCGAGCGCACTGGTGCCCTTGGTAGACAGGGCATGCGGCAGCTGCGTTCCAGGCTTACCGTACCCATCTGCTGTCTTTGTTATAGTGCGTTTATGGTAGATGAAAAGTGCAGGTGTGTGCAGGCGTGGTCATGTCCTCCCGAGTGCATTGACACATGCAGTCGCACAACACATTCTTTCGTTAGGCAAACTGTTTGTCAACGGCATGTTGGTATGCCGTAACGTCGCATCGACAAGCGTTATCCAGCCCCCTCCATCTAGCTGCACACGTGGTCTTGACGCTCCGAATATTGCGCGTGGGAGGCGGGAAACGGAGGAACGGGGGAGGCAGGTATTCAAAGTCTCGCATATTGTGGGATGGATGCCTGGAGGGACAGGGAGACAGATTGTCGATCCTGGTTGCGGTGATCCTCTTGACTTAATCGCCATGATCCACACAGAGGCTGTGTACAGGTAATTAAGAGAGCTGAAGGTGCTGCCACAACGAATCCAGTGTACTAACCCTGGAAGAACCGTTGAGGGGATCACAGTACTGCCAACGAATTGTGCTGCTATTATTTCAGGAAGTCATAACGAAGGCGTTAACTATGGATGTATATTTTGCTGATCATGCATCGGAATCTCTGCCATGCGATACTTACATGCGCAAAACCTAGTTAATGGGCCTTCGTGCTATGCACCCGTGGGGAAAAAGTACGCAGTTCCACTGTACGCAGTTCCACTGACACTGGAACTGCGTAACGCCCTAAGTCCGCACGAAATGGCTGTGTCGGAATGTGGCCACGGAGAACAACTTGCGCCTTCCGCTAAAATATAGTCACATTCATCGCCCACCCCTAGTCAATGTCAAAGTCAGCCGCCTTTTGCCTTTGCTCCATTTGGCTTGGGACGTGTCGTCCAGAACGGAGTATGGCAGATCCAGCTGCGTGATAACCAGCAGATGATGGCAGCAGCAGCAGGCGAGGAGAAGGAAGTCAGACGGCGGAAAGAAAGGTGGAAGGTGAAAAACAAACTGAACCATCTGGGCCACGCTGAACCACCCGGGCCACGCATAAAGATGATGTCGCCCATCAAATGCGCACACGCCGTTCTGTCCTTGTTCAGCTGCATCAATGGCCCTGCCGGCACACGCAGCGTTTTCCTTTGTCGCGTGTTTAGGTAGTTGCGTCGGGCTTGTACTATATGCTCATCTCGCCACCCAGTGAAAATTCCCTTTCAATCCGTATTATATGATAGCGTACTCTCCGTTCTCATGGATCTCCCTAACTTACAAGCCTGTGCGGAACGGCCTTACAGCCTTATTCCCTACGAGCCTTGACTTCGGCGTGGCGTCCGTTCTTCCCTCTCTCCATCCACCTTATCTTCCCACTTTCCTGCCTTTTTCCTTCATTTTCCATAATTTCTTCCCTTTCTCACGGCATTTCATCTTCTTTAGTGTACGTCTACACACCTTGAGTTGGTACTTCCCAGGCACAGCCACCTGCAGCCACCTGCCGCCAGCACCCAGCCACACGTCCACCTCGCCCGGCGACGCCACCTCCGGCAGCAGAATCACCACCTCCAGCTGCTGGCTTTGACCATCAGATGATCCCGGTATCTCTCGTATAGTGTGTTCTGGCGTTCGAAGTCCTATCGGACTTTCCCCAGGCCGGGACAAGGTGGCGTCAGCGTCGGCAATGGGTGCTGCCGCAGTGCTGCAGCCAGCGGTCTCGTCATCATCAATGTCATACAGGATCTTCGCTGCCGCCGCCAGAGTGGCAGCGTGTTGTTGTTGCACGGACCGCGACTCGGCTGGCTGTGGGCCGTTAGAGGGTAGTTGACCCTGAAACAACATTGCAAAAGTTCTGAAGTGGAGCGTGGCTGCAGGCATGTCCGATATGTTTGTCGGCCCAAGCAGGTCCCCCAGGCCCCCAGCCCATCGCCAGCCATGCTGGCCCTGCTCCCCGCACACAAATTCCACTTACCCGTCCGTTTCGAGCACCGCTTGCAGGCCCCGTCCCCGCCTGTGACCTGCCCGCCACCTGCTGCAGCTGGTCCAATTGTTGGAGAGTGCGTTCCGCATTCCGCGGAGCCAAAGCGTCAGGGGTCAGGTGCACGAATTTGGCACGACCTCCGGGCGCGTCGCTGCGGGCAGTGTTTGCGTTTTACATCCGCGTTCCAAGGAGGGAGGATGAGGACGACGTGGGGCAAGGGAGCAATGGTACGCCGTGCTGGAATGACAATGGGACGCGGGGAAAGGAGGATAGGGGCGATAAACAACGCATAGAACACGGGGCGTCTATAGACGTGGCCTGTATAAATAAGCCTAGATCTTTCCTTGCGACCCTCAATCCGTTGACGCCGGAAGCATCATTTATGCGGAGCAGGTAGAAAAGCAGCCCGTGTATGGCAGTAATAGACAGTTATTGCAAGGGAAGCCTTACTGCATGGCGCTTCGCGTGACCCCTCGTGATCTGCCCCAAGCGCGGTGGCGCGCCGGAGTGGATGACCAAACCCACCCTTCCACTTGCCTTACAGCAAAGTCCGCGCCACCTTCGAACTTGCCGTCGCCGCGACTACTGACACTAGATCCAGCTCCATCAAGGGCGGCCTTCAGCGCCTTGGAATAATTAAACCCAGCTCCAGCGCACTTGCCTCTGCTTCGGCTCACATGCTGGCCGCCCGATGCGCTTGCGGCGTTGTCCCTCTGTGAACTGTTTTTATTGCAAGTAGTGATGGTGGCGTTGACGGTGCTTTCATTGATCCCCGATCCGTTGGGACTAGCATGAACGAAGTTCGCTCTGCAGGCGAAATGTCGCGAAAGGCCGAGTCAACGCTGTGACTGGGCGCCGTGACGGGGTGCAAGATATAAAATAAACACGAATCTCACTTTGTGAATAGTACACGTCCTTGTAGATTGTCTGGTAACGATGACGCTGCTGGAAGGTCGAAAATCCGAACGTAATCAAACGGCGCTGGATGGGGCTCTGGTACTGCCATACTATATAAAGGTATCCATAGACTATGTATAAGCGGAGCTTTAGCACAATTAACCTGGGTTGGGAATGATCCAACCGATAACCGTACGAGACCAACCACTTTCTTACTGAAGAAACTGCCGGCATCATGCCGTTCGATGCCGGCCTACATATTCAGTTGTTGTCCATAACTAACAGTTAGTCTAGTTTCTGACCTTACTTCGTCAACCCAGCTATATATACGCCTTGCCACGGCGATGCCGGCGCTCCCGTTCTACCCAACCTTGGTATACGTCGGGATCTCTTCCTTGAATCCTGTTCTTTATTAAAGAGGCTGGCTCGTGCGGCTGCCGCTATTTCACAGCGCCTGCGGCCGCCGTTATCAGTGTTTCGGGGTGTGCGAGCTTGTGTGCAAGCTCAACAGAGGGGAATGTTCGTTCAAAAGCTCAATCCTCTGACGGGGGAGGCTGATTGGGTACTCGTAAATGATCCAGGTAAGGAACTACGACAACTACGGCTTCCACGCTTCCCTTTTTCGTCCACTCGACTTCCTTACGCACAGCAACTGCGAAAGTGAACGCCCTTTCCCCCCTCCCCGCTCTCCCCCTTCACGCATTCACACACCAACATTCCCCCGCGCATAGAAATAGCTCCTGACCATGTTTGCACGAGCCCATCCTTCCGTACTGCTGGCTGGCAATAGTGCCCACGAGCAACTGCAAAACCTGCACCTCCCTTCCCCGCTTCCCAAACACACACGACACAAGAATTTACATTCCCGGACTGACACTGCCAGAGATTTCAACCGTCCAACCGCATGTACTGCAACTGCGCAGTATGTTTTTGGGCCTGCAGGTACTGCCTCATTAACCCTGGCCTGCACACACACGCACCCTCTACACACGAATATATTCCAAATCCCATATCCCTCGTAAGGCCTGGGTGACGAGGACGATGCCTCAGCGGACCTCGTGGCCACGTCATCCTACCTGGACATGCTGACAGACAAACGCCGAAACACAGCATACCACGCAGCCCTGCGCCGCGTCATACAGGCCAAGCAGCGCGACGCAGCGGCTGCGGCTGCTGCTGCTGCTGCAACTGCAACCGTTGCCAGCAGTAGCGGCAGCAGCTGTGGGGCCGGTGTTCGTGTCCTCGATATCGGAACGGGCACAGGACTCCTGGCGATGATGGCGGCGAGGTTGCTGGCGGCAGGTGGCGGTACGGCCGCCGCCGCCGCCGCAGTCACCACAGCGCCAGCGGGTGAGGACCACCAGGCGGGGCCGGACACCCCCCCCGGCGCCCCCGTCATCGCTTGTGAGGTGTTTCCACCCATGCAGAACCTGGCCCGTCGAGTGATTGCCCGCAATGGCCTGGCAGAAGTTATACGTGTCGTCAATAAACGGTCGGACGAGATTGTCGTACAGCAGCCGGGCGAAGCGGCAGCCAAGCAGGCGGTAGGGGCGGCAGCGGCAAGGGCGGCGCGCGCTGCCGCCGCTGCGGGAACCGCGGCGGCGGCTCCTGACATGTACGGCCGCGCTGACGTCATCGTGACGGAGATCTTTGATTCAGAGCTGCTTGGCGAGGGTATGATTCCTACCATGCGACATGCCGTACAGCACCTCCTCAAAGTGAGTGGTACGGCACTATGAGCCGTAGCAGCGTGCGATCTGGGAACTTGGGCCTCTTTCCAAATCTTTACCCTGCCGTACACCCTGCGGTACAAAAGCAGCTCAGATCACGGTCCCACTTGCTCATACTCCCCGCTTTCTGTACTCCCAAACCCAGGAGTGGAGGGTCTACCTACGCTGCAATCCCATCCCGCAACTCCCAACCCCAACCGACCATGTCCACCCCCAACCAACCCCCAACCACCTCTGTACCCACACCACTCAGGACGGCGGCGTGGTCATACCGGCCATTTCCCGCGTGTATGGGCAGCTCGTACAGTGCCCCCTGATGCATAATATGACCGGTACGACATGCTTGGGGTACGGCGATGGTTCAAGGAGGAAAGTGCGGTCGCAGAGGCACTCAAAAGAGTATCTCCCCCCCTTCCCCCCGGTGTGGGTTTCCCTCCCTTTGCCTTTGCCTTACCCCAAACGGGTCGGTTGCATGTCCTCGGCATTAGCGTTGACACACACATAGACATACATACATACATGCACACATACGCAGTTCCTGCCGCGCGGCTCAGTTTGTTAGAGCACACACGCGGATGGTGACCTATCCTGAGGGCCATCAAAACTTCCCTGGCGCTACCCGGGCCCCACCAGCTCAGCCACTGGCCAGCTCCCGCCCATGCAGCGGCCGGCACCTTTGACGCCGGTCGGTCGTTTCTTTAACTCTCCCTTTCCCACACACTGTTTCCCCCTGGCACCACCTTACCGCGAGGACGCGCAAAGGGCTGCGGAGGAAGGGGTCGTCGGGCGCCCCAGGCGGCAGTGCAGCCGCTGCAGCTGCTGATGCCGCCTCTGCTCCCGCCCCTAATGGTGCTGCTGCTGCTACCGCTACTGCTACTATTGCTGCTGAGGGGGGTTCGTCGTCCTTCTGCCCCGGGTTAGGGGCGGCTGCAGCTGCGGCTGCCGACCGGGTGCTCGGGGCGCTGAGCGAGCTGGACGCGGGGGCCCGCACGGCCTTTTACTGCTCTGAAGATTTTTACGAGGTGAGCGAGCGAGCAAAAGTTTAAGACGAGGGACTGCTAAATTTGTAAGGTGAAGCAATAATCAAAACAGTTCAGCACTACACCCGAATGGGGAACGTTTCCGGCGCGCTTCGGAAGGGACCGCAACCTCCCCCCTTGTAATACGGAGGAGCACGGAATGCGGGAACGTGACCAGACTCCTACGCGCCCTGAAGGTCCCCACCCTCCGTAACGTAGTCCACCATCCGCCGTACACCAAGTACCCGTTCACCTGGCCGCCGTACTCGCAGGTACGGGAGATGCACGTGGATCTGTTGTACCAGCACGATAAGATCCGAAAGCGCCTTTGCTCCGAGGCCCACCCTGAGTCGCACGTGGATGGCAGCAGCAGCGACGGCAGTAGCAGTGCTCATTCCACCCTGGAACAGCAGCAGCAGCCGGAGCAGCAGCAGCCGCTGCTACAGCCGCTGAGCGAACCTTTCCTGGTGCTTGACTTCGACTGGTTGCGGCCACCGCCGCCCGCAGGCCGCCGTACGGTTTGCGAGGTAGGTGCTTGCTGAGGTGGGGTCGAGGGAGGGGGCCCCCGTCCTACCTACATGCTACCCACCTAGCTGCCTATCTACCCATGTACGGATGCCGTACACAGGTACCTGTGACTCAGGCCGGCAGTGCTCATGCCGTCTTGCTGTGGTGGCAGCTGGGAATGACTCCACCTCCACCACCACCACCACCACCACCGCCGCTGCCGCCGCCGCAAGAGCCACCACAGCCGTCAACCGATGATGCGCAAGTGCAGCAACCGGAGGGCGGCGCAACATCTCCTCCGCGGCCTCCGCCGCTGCTTCTGAGCACTTCCCCAGAGTGGCTGCAAGGCAGGGTGGAGGCGGGGGGTGACGGGGGGCCGCTCCAGGGAGTGGAGCAGCAGTGGAGGGACCACTGGAAGCAATGCTGGGTACAGGTACGACAAAGTACGGGCGGGTAGTGTGGGGGTTATGGTGGTTGTGCATAGCTGTTGTGTGAAGTAGCTTCAAGTAATTTAGTCGGTTGCAGAGCGGATGGAAAGGTGTCAACCGGAGGGATGTTTAGCCGGAAGGTAAGAAGGGAGCACGGCCGCCGTCGCTGGGAAAGGAAGGATCAGCATTCGCAGTGGTGGTGATGGTGGTTTTGCCAGATCTTCCGTAGCCCCTCCCTCAGCTCAGCCGAGCTAGAGGTGTTGCCGTCTGCCTATCCGGAATTCCGCCACGAATGACACGACGGCGAAAGGGCCCCCGTTAATCAACAACATCAATAGAATTAACCACCACAACAACAACAATATTAAAAAACCGACAATGTTGTTGTATTTCAGTTAGCGGACGATGCAGCGGCGGTTCGTTGCGGTGACGTCCTGCGGGTCGCATTCGAACATGACGACCTGAACATCCGGAGCAAGATGATGATGGTGATGGTGACGACGGCGGCGACAGAGGCAACGTCAGCGTCAGCGGAGACAGACGTGCCGACCCCGCCAGTGGCGGCGGCAGTTCCCGCCGCCACCGACGAAGACGGCTCCTCCGTCCGTGGCAGCGGCGACGGCGACGGCGACGACGGCGGGAAGGCGGCGATGTTGACGGGGGCATGTTTGAGTGCTAGGGAGCGTTTGATGGCGCTCCGTGCCGAGGCCGAGGCGGAGGAGGTATCCCGGCAACAGCTGATGCCGCTGCTGAGCTGGCTAGGACCGCTGGTAGGTAGCCCCCGCCGCCAGCACCGCAGCAGAGATATTGCTGTTGCCACTGTTGTTTTGTCGTTGTCGTTGTTGTTGTTGTTGTCGTTGTTGATGGGGTGTTACACTGTGGGCGGCTCTCGTCCCGAGAAAGGACCGAGAGCACCGTGGCCCTGTTGTTGTTGCTGTTGCTCTTCTTCTTCTTCCCCTTCGCCACGGTGGTTCAGCTCAGTCCAGCCCAACCCGAAGGCCCCGCTCCTTCCTCCTGCACGTCCCTGCGCCCCTCCTTTCCTCACCTCTGCATGTATGTATGTATGTATGTATGTATGTATGTATGTATGTATGTATGTATGTATGTATGTATGTATGTATGTATGTATGTATGTATGTATATGTATATGTATAAATATGCTATATATAGCATTTATGTATACCCACATATAGATATGTATATAGGTGGACATATACACCCAAGCGCACATAAAACACATAGGACGCCGGTCCCTCGTGCTGTCGCGTACGGCAATACGTCACCGCAGGCGCTGCTGCAGCTCGGAGATCGCGACCGACTGATCAGCTTCGCAGCAGCGCTTCGAACCGCACTGGAGGAGGCGACAAGGCTGCCGGCAGCCGCCGCAGCCGCCGCCAGCGGCGGCACTGACCCATCCGCCGGCGATGCCGCCGCCGCCCTCAATCCCGGAGGCGCCGAGGTGGTGGTTGTGGACGGCAGTATGTCCCTCGGACTCCTAGCCGCGTCCCACCCTGGAGTGGCGTCAGTCACGCTATTGAAGGTGTGAGGAGCGGGGGGAGGGGGGCACGCAGCGGGGCGTTGCAGTGCAGTGGGGCAGTGGGCCACGGGGAGTATGAGCAGATGACGGGCAAGGGCCGTGTAGTAAGGACAAGGAATCGGGGCGGAGGACCGGGCCGGATGTCCACCGGCCGGTAGGCGTCGTCCCTCGTGGGATCTTGTCTCTCTCCTCCCTCCTCTCCCTCCTCCTCCACTCCGGGGTCAGGTCGGGTCGGGTCGGGTGTTTCTTTCTTCCCGATACCCCCTTCACTGCTCCCCCCTCCCCCAACGCACTCTTACCTCTCCGCACTCACCCCACCCCTTGTGGGTGCCAGGGATCAAGCACACACCGGCAGTTGACCCCCTGTTTTTATTTCACTTCACTTCATATTAAATGACTCCCTCCTCCCCCTCACTTCCCCAGGAGGACAACCTATCCGCTCAGAACTGGCTGCGGGCAGCCGCAAAGCACCTAGACATAACCGCCAACAAGATCAAATCCATCCGCTCCGAAACCTACTTCAAGCGCCTCCGTGCATCCGCCGGCGCCACTGGCGGCAGTGCCACCCCCTCAGCGGCAGCGGCGGGCCAAGGGCCGTTGGTCCTGATTTCAGAGCCGTACTTTTCAGAATTTGAGCAGTTGGTTCCCTGGGCCCATCTCAAGTTCTGGCGGGACTATGACGTCATCCGCGGCTCTCCGGCGGCGCGGGCAGGTCGCCGGGTGGTGGGCTTCCCGCGGGCCGCCCGGCTGGTGGCGGTGGCGGCGGCGCTCCCTGAGCTTTGGCGCACGAGATGCGCTCTCGGTGGGTGCGTGGGTGGGTGGGTGGTTGAGGCCTCACTGTGTGGGAGGGGGGGGTAACTGGGTAGGGGGGGAGTGGGTTGCCCTCTAAAGCGGCGCTCCACTTTTTGCCCGTAGCTGCTCTTCCTGCAGTCCACACTGCTGTGACCCTGTGAGCAGCCGCAGGTGTGGGGGGGCACACTGACAGTGTGGGGTGGGGTGGGGTGGGGTCGGGTCGGGTCGAGCGTGGATGAGGTCATTTTTGCGGCTTTGTTTGGTCTCCTTTTCCCCACCACCCCATTCCGGCCTGCGCTCAGGCGATGTGGAGGGGCTCGACCTGTCCGCGGCCAATGCGGTTCTGGGAGTGGTAGGGGCGCCGGCGGAGGCAGAGGCGGAGGTGGAGGCGGCGGCCGGGGTTCAGAGCGGCGCCGACTCCGACGATGATGTTTGGGGTGATGAAGGCAGCGGCGACGACGCGGAGCGCGTGGGAGATGGAGCCAATGCCGGCAAAGTACGGCAGCCGCTCCCAATCCTGCCGTACTCGGTCTGGCAGGCCGGCGGCGGCTACCAGGAGCTCAGCGCCCGCCAGGAGTTGTTCGTACTTGATTGCGACGGGCACCTGAACGATGTAGAGGGCAATGCAACCCTGACAGTGACCCATGGTTCCGTGTGCCACGCAGTCGTTCTGTGGTTGGAGTACGACTTGGGACCCTCTGCAGCGTCAGCGGCAGAGAACGGGACGGCGGGGCAGGGCAGATTGGTGGTTAGTACGGCACCAGCGAAGGACGGCGGGCCCACGGCGACAGTTCAGGGGGTGTACCTGCTGCGGCAGCCTGTGGAAGTGACCCACGGGTCCCGGCTTCACGTCACTGCGCAATTTGACGGCCTTGATGCGGATGTAGGTGTGGATGTGACGGTCCTGCCGCCGCTGACGTGAAGCTCTGGCAGCTTTTGGCCGGGTGGATGTATGTCTGTATGTTTGTGAGGCTCTCTGCCTGAACGGACGCGATGAGGAGAGGGGAGAGAAGACGGGAGAGTTGTGTGGTTCAGGTGACGTAATGGCCCTGCTGGATGGGTGCTTAGGTCATGAAGTGCATGCAAACATCGACGAGATATGTTACCAAAGCATGCCCAGGCATGCTGCAAGGAGGCAGGGTTAGTTACGTTGGGGCAAGTATATGCCCAGTGATTATGCAGCTGCATTTCACAGGGCTCATAAATTACTGGGTCGGACAATAATTGTGTCGAATTCCTTTGAAGCCGAAGAACGGGCTCGACCCCGGCGCTACCAGCGGACCCTCACGCACCTTTCCGAGTCGACCTCCTACTCAGCAGGACGGCAACAGCAACTTTATTATCAACTGCGCACGGTATGCGGTCTTAAAACAGGTTTGACTACTCGACGATGTATGGCAGCGCTCCACATCAAGCAGACTCTTGCAACCGTAAATGTTTTGATGGTCTCTGCAGGGTGTTTGCCGTACTGCACCAAAGCTATGGACATGTGCACCAGCCATAGACCATAGCGTCAGACTCAAGAGTTGGCCTGGATCAGACACCTGTCTTTCAAGACTGAACTCAAAATTATGCAATACAGAGCAATTATTTGTAGACTCAAAGATGGACGGCCAGGTCACTAAGTGTTGTGAAACGGCAAAGCCACTCGTAACACAAACAGTGCAGCGCACCCATCTATGGTGCCAGGAACCATATCCCTCGTCACAAGGGACAGCAATTAAAGTGCTGCGCCGTAAACGGTGCTGTTGGCTGTTTCCTGCTTGTGTGTCTCACGTGTATGACTGGCCCATGGAGCGCACCACTCTGTGCCGTAGGTGGCAGTCTGCGCCTTCGTAAGTTTGCTGCGGTCGTTGCACGATCGCTTGGGTTTTCCATTCCCCAGAGCAGTCAGCACCCCTGCAGTAGTGTAGGGCCCGTCCAATCCTAAGACAGAGCGCCATTTGCCGTTTCCAGCGTTCCAGTCAGCATTATCATTGGCCTCGCCACAAACCGACAAAGGCTAACTAATTTACAATTGCATATTGACTTCATACACTCCATCCACGTCTACGCACGAAAGCCACATCAGCCAAACCAGGTGGCGGCCGTTACGGGGAAGAATGCAGCTTGAGCTGTTGGGGAGAGGGTAGGAATGACTTTGATACCGACGATGGCTGAAGGTGTAGTTCTTGTTGGTTCTCCTTTTTCACAGTGCTTAAGGAAATGTCCATCATTAAATGTTCCTCATAAAACCTCCAATTTGGTGGGCCGTTGGCAAGCGAACAGGCCGCAATTTATGCTGCCGCGATGTGATGAGCATGTGGATACACTGTGCTGGATTTACGAAATGCGTGGATCGGATAGCTTCGGACAGCTTTTCGCTGGCTTTCCTTGTCGAAATCGACTGATTTTATGGTTAGGTCCAGTCCACTGCGCGTGATAGCTGATCTGCAAGTGAGAAAGTCCTTCGGAGTAACGCTGAAGCTGCCTCGACCCTCGAGCTATACCAGGATATCCCCAAAACCGCAGCCAGGGGGCAAATAAGCATGTAAGGATTTTCAATGCCCAATTTCTTCACGGCCACTCCTGTGCTTGAGACGACTGGCCTCCCTCACGCGTTCCACATCCCATATATATAGCGGCCGGACGAACGCAAGCACGGCAAAATGCACTGTAGTAGCCGGAAACTGATAGTGCTCAAGCAACGCACTATCACCCCGTCAACACCCCTCCACGTCCCGCTCCGCCGTCCACACCTTTGAGGGGCACGATGCGCTACGGCTATGTGCCATCTCCAGTCGTACTCCGCCTGGCCCTCCCCGCGCCACGTCATTCATCTCCGATCCAAACTGCACGTCCATCACCCATTTCCAAAGCCTCCTCCTGAGTCCCTCTGTCCTCCAAACCCGTCCAGCCGTTTGTCTAAGGCCTAGATCCATTCTCAGGATCCATCGGCTGGATCTGTTCCTACTAGCTTCCAGTAGCTAGTACACCAAGTCTGATCTGCCCACCGCGACTATACCCCCCGTTATTAACCAACCCTGTTCTAAACACGAGGCTACCTTGCCCAGGAATCAATGGCAAGCAACGATTAAGAACCGGAAGAAGAAAGGAGGCGGCACTAGGACGTTGGGCACGGAAGAAGGAAGACAGGACGGGACGGCAAATCGACGAGTCCTCCCTAACTGTTTTTTTTATCAAGATCCTACTACATAGGAAGAGGAGTAAATAGGGCTACGGATGCTAGAGAGATCTGCAGGAAGCCGCACAGCCCGAGGTAATTAAGCTGCCGAGGGGAGACAGGTGTCTCAATTTGGATTGTAAGTTCTAATGCTCCAACCAAGCTTTTTGCCGGTAGCAGCACCACCGCCGCAGATCCCAGCCGACCACTTTGGCGCAGCGCCCATTCCACATATGTAAGTTCTACATCGCCAAATTGGTGTCTACGGCTTGAACAATCATCAATAGTGGGGTCCTGAGGAAACGGCTCCTCCTAAAAGCTAGATTATTGGCAACCTAATGACGCACGACCGCATACATGGACATACATATACCTACATGCGCACCAGCGCCATTGTCACAGTACGGCCATCATGCTACGCTATGGCACGTCACGACACGTGTATATACTACTGCACATATACGTACTACTAACACATACAATCACGCCCAAATGAAAAGTGCCTAGAGGATTAGAGGTCGCGGGGAATCGGATCTTTGAGGTTTCGACTAATACGGCGCAAGAAAAACTCGTCGTGAATGAGGAGACCGAGTAGGGGGACAAGGTGCAGCGCTGGCGGCTGCGACGGATATCTTGTCATGTCCCTTCTTCACGCGCCGCCCTCATGAATCGGGTGCACAAGCAGCAGCCCGGTAGCAGTAAAAGTAATAGACGTAAGTAACAATACTGATACTGAGGCGAAGACCACTACTAAGGCTGCTAACGGAATCGGTAGCAGGACAAAAAGCAGGAGCGCTACTGAAACAGGAATAGCTACAAGCTGAAACAAACCAAGCCTGTACGTTCACACACATACATGCATATTCCCCCCCCCCCCACACACACACTCACATGTATGTGCGCAAATCCATGAACGATATGCAAACCACCACACACACACACACATGCTGACATATAAACACAATCGCAAGCTCGGACACAAGGCGACCAGGACAGCCATGCGGCATTCCATCCGGGTACCCACTGACTGAGGCCCGCTGGTACAGCGACGGTCCAACCCCCCAGGCAGGTAGGGCCAAATCCCTTGTCATGTTAAAAGAAGGACCCCGCCGCCACCACCACCACCACCACCACCAGGGCTCTCACATCATTAAATCCCAAACTTTTAATACAACACAAAACCTCCCGGCCCATCCCATCGCGCGCCAGTTCCCTTCCACTGGTCAGTATCCTACCCACCTCCGGCCACACGCACTACCCATGCACGCGCACTAATCATGTGCGGCCCACGCACCACACACCACCGTGCAGTCCACTCCCGTCTCTATCAACCTCCGACTCCAGTGCAGAGTCAGCGAGGCGGCAGGCCCTCTCCCCCTCACCCCCCTTCCCAAGCCGACCTACCTACATTCGACACCCCCCGCCAGCTTTGTCAGCTGGCAGCAGTCTCCTAGCCACGAGTGGGCAAACCACTGCCGCTAGTCATGCTGCTGCTCTCGTTACTTACTGCAGCACGGCGCCTAGGACGGCAGACAGCAGCAGCATAAAAGAGACAAATACACATACACACGTACACACACAATAGGGGAAAGATCGCGCTTCTGCCAGCGCGGATCTTCTTTCCTCCCTCTTAATGAAGCAAAAAGCTGCCAACCCACCTGCTAGCCCGTCTGACATCGGCATGCGAACACTACACAGGCCGGTCAGCCCGGGCGACAACCCAGTGGCGCCTGTCACGGCGCGCGCATCTCGCTCTCTCTCTTGCTCTCTCTTGCACCTACTTGCACCATCATCGCACACACATACACAAACAGACCACACAGCATGCACACGCGCGCGCACACACACACGCGCTCCTCCGCCTCACTGCGGGGAGGGCGGGGTTCACCCCGAAGAACGAGCGAAACAAATAAAAAAAGGAAACAGGCCGCCGGAGAGAGGAAAACAAGGCAAAATGGAACACTATAACCCTCGTGTCCAACACCACAGGCGACGCGAGCCCACAAGTCCAGGTTCTTTCCTACCCTTTCCTCAATTGACCTTTTCCTCAAAAATGGTTTCTGAATCCGCAGAAACCGGACACAGTTCCTGGTAGACCTCAGGGCCCTTGCCCTACAAAACCACGATAACCGCCATAACCACAACCCCCGCCAGCGCAGCCCCCGGGCCGGCTGTGGTGGCGTCCTCAGGTGCAGGGCCCCCACATGCCCACCGCCTCTCCGCCCTCCTCCAACCCCGGATCCAACATGCCCAAGTTGAGGCTGCCAGTGGGGCTGTGCAGAGCCGCCAAGTCGCCCAGGGAGCCGCTCCCACAGCCACTGCCCCCTCCCAGGGCCGCCAAGTGGGAATGGCCGTGGAGCTGGAGCGGCATCATCGCCAGCTCCTCCTGCATTACATGGATCGTCATCGGCCGCGGTGCGGCGCGTGCCTTGGTAGCCTGGTAACTGTCGTACAACGGCGGCGCAGAGGCGCCGCCGCCGCTGCTGGCGGCGGCGGCAATGGCGGAGGAGATGGGTCCGCCGATGGGCGCGATCGAGCCGTCTGGCAGTACGTTGTGGCGCTGGAAATGCTGGTAGTTGGGATGTGGATGAGATTGGTTGACGAAGGCGGATTGGAGGAGGGCGTCCGAGGGCCCCAGCGGCGTCAGGGCCTTGCCGGAGGATGTCTTGGGCGTCTTGTAGTACACGCTGGCGGTGCCGTCAGTTCCGCCGCCGTCGCTGACGGCCGCGAAGACGCTGACGTCATCCCCACTCGCATCGACGGCATCGCTCATGTGCTGGTCACCGGTGCCGGCCGCACCGACGTTTTCGGCGGCGGCCGTTGCCGCCACGACAGCGGCATTGGGAGTCTGGTTTTCTGCGTGCAACAACCTGGACGGTGGTCCAGCAGGGTTAGCAGCCGCACCCGCGTTGCCGCCTTGATCAGACCCGCCGTTTCTGAATAGCTGCTCCTCGCGCTGCGGCTGCATTGGCGGCTGCTGATGGTGACACAGCTGGGCAGCCGCTACCTCCATCGCCTGCGCTGCGGACGCTGCGACAGCGGGAGCCATGCCGGCCGCCTCGCTCCGCTCGTGCTGTGTCGATGGCTGCGGCGGCGGTGGCGGCTGCCGTTGCTGTCCGTAGCTCTGCAGGCCCGGCCCCGGCGGTATGGTGCCAAGTCCGGACCGCTGGTAGTGCTGCAGCTGCGCGCGCTGCTGTTGTTGCTGCTGCTGATGGTGTTGTGCGTGCAAGTGGTTATGAGGTTGCGGGTGTCGGTGGCCGGCGCTGGCCGCCTCCTCGCCCTCAACGTCGCTCTCCACCAGACCGAGACCCGACAGACCGGACAAGCCGCCCAGATCTGAGCCGCTCACGGTGTCCATACCGCCGCCATCGCCGCCAGCGACCGCCGCCAGAGATCCCGTCGACGGATGCGGGGGAAGCTCCGCCAACTGGAGAGGCTGCAGCTGGTGGGACTGAGGGCCGGGACCGGGCAGCCCACCGGGCGCAGCATAGGGCGGCGCCGTGACACCCTCGACAAGAGGGCGCATCTGCGGGGCTTCGTGGTGCAGCCGTAGTGGCCGGTCCGGGTCCTCCACGGTGCTCGGCACTGGACGCTCCAGCGGTCGGACATCCGGGGCCGCTGCGGCGGCGGCGCCGATATCCGATAAGAGGTGATGAGGCTGGTTATAGTAATGTCCGTACGATGATGACATATGGACACTGTACGGGTGGTACGGCTGTGTGACATGGTACGGCGGCAAGGGCGGTTGGCTGCCGTGCGGGTATCCATAGGAAGGAGGCATTGGAGGGTAGCCCAATAAAACGTGGCGGTAGCCGTACAAGTGGTAAGGCATAAACATCTGGGGATGGTGGGGCGGAGGTGGAGGCGCGGAGTGTGGTTGCGGCGGCGGCCATGTAGACCCCAGGCCTGCGTAGCTGTTGCCCGTGTTTACGCCCCGGAAAGTTTGTGGCGGTGGCGGCGGCGGCGGGGCCTGCTGCGACGTCATCGGCGAGCTGTACATTGCGCCCCCGTCACTCAGAGTTATCGCCGCCGGTCCGCTAGTGCTGACGCTGCAGCCGCTGAACGAAGCTGCGGCCTTTGCGCGCGGAACGTAGCCGACCTGAGGGTGGTGGCCCAACGACGTGGTGGACGATGGTGGGTGGCCGCCGTGCGAGTGCGGATGGCGACGAGCGGGTGGCGGGTAACCGATGCCGCCGGCACCGGGACCGCTGCTAGCCTGAGACATCCCAACAACGTCCTGAGGCGCGGCAGCGCCTCGCGGCAGCGGCGGCGGCGGCGGGGAGCCATACATGTCACTTCCACCGGCGCTACCGCCCAAGCTAACCACGCTGCGGTCGCCGCAGCGGAGCTGCTTGCGAGGCGGGGGAAACAGCGTAGTGTCCGTGCCGGCCCCTCCCCCTGCTGCCAGCGGAGCGCTTGTGCCAGCACTGCCGCCCTCCCGGAACCCAGTACCGCTGCCAGTCGCGTTGCGGCCGTGCCATACCATGCCATTTAGCCCATCGGCGGTCGGCGGGTAGGAGGCGGCGCTGCAGCCTGCGAAGGTGCCATCGTCTGCTTTCGCGCCGTGGTACAGCGGCTTTAGACCCATGCCGGAACCCATGGGCCCCAAACCCACCTCCACCTCCTCTACCACCTCCCGCTTCCACATCCCCCCCGCTGACGTGTGGATACGAGTACGCCAACACGCAACTGCCTGCTGCATCGCGCCACCGCCGCCGCCGCCAGGGTTCCCGCAGCTGACGGAGCCATGCGTCGCCGTCGTGGTTGCTGCTGCCGCGGCGCTGCCAGCACCGTCGCCAGCATGGCGAGCGCCTCCGCCTCCGCCGGTGGAAGTCCGGACTGCCTTCACGAACCGCCGGTGGTGTGTGGCAGCTGGTTGCAGCAGTAGTGCATGAGCCTGCTGGCTCCCGTGGTGCTGCCCTTGTCCCTGTCCTTGCCATTGGCTCTGACCCTGATGGTGTTGATGTTGATGGAGCTGCCACGTAGAGCCGTCGTAAAGGGTGTGGTACGGGATTGCAGCGATTGATGGCCCTGCTCGGACATCATCCAGCACTGCTGCTGTACGCAACATGGCCGTGTCGCCGCTTCCCCGCCCCGCATGGCTTCCCATAACATGGGCTTCCAGGCCGGCTGCAGCTGTTGCTGTGGCGGTCGTCTCCATCTCCATATGGCCCCTTGCCGCCGCTGCGCGTTGCTCCGGAGGCGATGCGCCAGCGTGCGCTTGGCCACCACCGATTTCCCTCTCCGCGTCGCTCAGCGGCCCGTCGCCCTCACTGCCGCCCTCTTCCACAGCCTCCATGGCGGCCGCTGCCGCCGCCTCGCTGGTAAAACCCCACTCTAGGAAGGGCAGCTGCTCAGCCGCTGTCTGCGTCGCCCCCGCAGCGCCGCCGTCAGCGGCTGCAGCATCGATGTAGCTGGGCGCGCCGTTTGTTGTGACGGCCGCGGCTGCGGCCGCCGCGGCAGCTGCGGCCGCGGCAGCTGCCAATTGCTGATGTTGCTGTGCTGCGTGATGCACTGCCGCTAGGAAGCTGCCTGCCGCCGCCGCGCCGACGGCCCGGGTGGCTACGATATGGCGGCGAGCTGCTCGTCGGCAGCCTGCCTCGGGACTCCCTGGCTCGCCCTCCTGTGTGCATTTGCCGTAAAAATACATAGAACGAAGTGGAGTGGTGTGATGTGAACCAAGGAAAGGGGACGGCCCGGGGGACCGTTCCATGGTGCTATGTGTATAGGCAGGCGGTTGAAACACTCCTTGCGGTCGTTCTGTTTTGCTGTACTGCTGTGTTGGGTCATGCTGGACGTGTGCATGTCAGAATGGAGGAAAACGGGGGCGGAAATGGTGGGAAAGGCCACATGCCGCTGCGTTGGGGAGCTTCGTGTTCCGGCTGCGTAGCCCAGGCCAAGCCTCAGTAAAGGTGCCAGCCTGCTAGCGAAGCGGCCAGCAGAAGGACCCACCTTGCGCGTCTTTAAGTTTTTCCTGTAAGAGCGAAAGTAAGCCTGGACTTGTTTGATGGTCCTCAGTCCCTTGGCGATCTTTAGCATGTCCTCAACGGTCGGCATCGCCTCGGGTGGCCACACCAAATGGGCGTTTTGGGCGTACCACCTGAACACCACCACAGGGCAGAGCGTTAAGACGTGGTCATGCGAGGTATGAAATGCACAATTAATTTATATCTTAAGTTGTTGCGAAGACAGAGGCCCCGTTGGACAACGCGAACAGACGCACGCCGTAATGACGTCCTTACTCGCGCATCTCGAGCACGGTCGCCCGGCTGCCGGTGCGTTCATGATGATCCCTCCACCACGTGTTGAAGGGCGCCCAAAAGTTGTTGGGCTTCTTATGGCGGGTCGTCCCGTCGTCTCCGTCGTCGCTCTTCTTCCGAGGGCCCATGCCGCCACAAGGCATGAGACTAGCGTCAACTTTGGAGCGGCAGCACCGTTAGGTGTCTCGGTTGGATATATTTTATTATGGACAGGGATTCGACCCTTCCTGGCACTGTCTCAGTCCTCGTCTGCAGGGCCGCGACGACCGCGCTACACCCTACTCCGGTGTCGGTCCATTCTGACATAACATACGGTGATATCGCGGCCAAGCGACCGCTCTAATGTTCCATACAGAACCCTGATCAAGTTCGGCCGCGTTGCGCTGGTTTGCTGGTTGCCGGTTTAGATAGAAAAGCAATGTTGACTCGCTGACTTCTATGCATTTTTCACATTCCGAGCCACCCGCTCCAACCTATGCCTAGAAAGGTTCACTTGTGAGCTGTGCGGGGCTGCAAGACGAATCGCAGGACTGTGTACGGCGCTGCAATCAGACAAGAAGGTTCAGAGTAGGCAAACATTACAGGGGCATCATTTTGACAGGATTGCAACGCTCTAACTTTGCTTGGTGTGACGCTTAACATTACCGACAAGTTTTCTTCCGTTGTTGACCAGCCCCAGTCTGCAGACCGAAGGAGGACAGCTCGACAGCCCCATGGCCTCGCTTGCACGGGTATTTTTAATTGATCGTATTTGGGGAGATAATGGAGCTTACGTTATCCAGTTTTAAGGAGAAAGTTAAAAGAGGACGGCGCATGGGCGCATCCGAAATTGTCGCCCGGGCCAAGACGACGGTTAAGCCTCTGTTGAAGGATCTTTATAGGCTCTTGGAACCATGCGTCGAACTGCGAAACAGCAGCTGGGACTTCCGATACCCGTCACGGCCTGCCCGCGATTCGGCAACCGCTTAAACGTCTTATCGCTTTAAGCCTTCTCGGGGTTCCGCCAGCATCGTGCAAGATTGAGCCCCTACTGGAAGGCACTACCGATATCCCTGATGCCTCCTTCCGCCCTTGGAGGCTTGTGGCCCATGGCCGAAGGAGGCGCAGTGTTATGCATATCCGGTCTGTCGATGTTGGCGGGCCCGATATGCCGAGGGGAAGTGGGTTGCGACATCGCTTTCTCAACATGCGTGGATTCTTATTTGTGCCAGATTTTTCCCCAGACCGCACAAACACATCCTCCAACAGGTCCCCCACGATTATTGCGTTACGTGGCTTAACGCGAGAGGTGCCTGACAGACTGTGGATTGTAAAAGGCACTTGACACACACACAGGCCACTGCCGGCCAGACCACGCACTGCCCGTAAGTAGCGGAAAACAGTCATCACATCGTACCTTACCAAACACCCCCCCTCAGCCAGTGAGCCACACCAAACAGCACCATCCAGGCCGGCACTATCTGTCTATTCCGGATGACCCAATTGCTGCCGCCCAGGTCAGCACCTCGCGAAATATCATTAACAGCCATTAAACATCTTCTCGTCCCATTCGAACAAGAGAAAGTATTCCCAAGAGGTCTAGGAGCAATAATAGTAGCGGCAGTATCCGGCTGCTAGCTCTGCTGCTGCAGCTGCCGCGACTGCTGATGGTCATCATGCTGCTGCGACTTTCCACAACTTTTTCGTCTAGGCTATCTCACCCACCCCCAATGGTTCACATACATGCATGCACGCGTACATCCCGCGGGGCTCATGTACTCGTACACACGTAACCAAAGGCACGCCTTGATGCTGACCGGCTGTTAGGAGCATGTGGCACCCGCCTCGCACGCTACCTTGTCCGGTAGGTAGGAGGCGTTGCGGCCGTTGTGGTCAGATGTTGAGGTCGCCTGCCCCAGGGCCGTGGGCCACAGATCCCGGAGAGATTCGATGGCGAGGAGCGCCCACTTCAGGAAAACTGCGGGCTCTGCCAAACGTGTTTGCACAGCTTGCTGCTGCACACACCCATCGAAAACTCACGCATGCCAGCCCAGCTTGCCACTCGTACAGCGCGCCCTAGCGGCGCGTCCCCCAAAACGCAAGGAGCGGAACACACTTCCAGCATTCCATCCCATGAAATAATAGCTCGGCGAAGAGAGAGGTCCAGGTTCTCAAGCGTCCCCACTTTGACATGCACCTCGAGACACTCTTACTGGAACGCTATCAAATCGCACGGAACCACCTTACCACAGCACACTCTGACCCAACCGCACCCAACCCACGGTCCGCTTTCTTGTCGCGGAGCTTGGACACGGTCTTTGCCAACCCCATCCCATTCCACCCTCACCCTCCTTTCTTCCTTATCACACTTTCTTTCCCCTATACACACACAAGGCGTCCCCTCACGCCGCCACAGGATCCGATACATCCAGACGGCCCAGCGCGGCAGCGGCACCCGGCGGCGCTGCCGCCGCCAGCTGCCGCCGCCACGCTGCCATGCTGTCCGCTGTTGACGACAAGCCGTACACACGCGCCTGCAGCGCCGCCAGCGGCTGAGCGCCGTCATCCCGTAGGCTGTCCTGAACCAACGCCGTGTGTCCGGACAGCATCGCTGCCAGCAATGCGGCCGCCTCGCGGTTGCTGCTGTCCGCCCCCGCCGCCACGGAGTGTAGCAGGGATGGCAGATCGGTCTTCATACCCACCTGTGCACGCATAAATGGACACAGCGGCGCATGGACACAGCGGCGCAGGGGACCGTAACCCCGCGGGGCCCCACGGGAAGCATGCTTACAAGCGGGCTACCAAGTCGCTTTCATATTGAAGGCGTCTGGAGGAGGAGGAGGAGGAGGCGGCACCGCCGCACACTTCCACGTCACATAGGACATATCGCATCTCGGATATGATCATATACGGATATCATATTTCGCGCCACGCCACGACCTACCTGCGCCATGATGCCCGCCAGCGTTCGCAGCTGGTCACCCCCCAAGTACACCGCATGTACGAGCAGCGGCTTTACGAGATGCCGTACAACGTCGTACTGTGCGGCGCGCTGCAGGTCCTCCATGAGGCCAAGTACCAGCTGCACGGTGGCCGGCGAGGGCGCACCCACGGCGGCACCCGGGGAAGAACCTGTGGTCCCCACGCCGCCACTGCCACCGCCGCCGGGCCGCCGGGCCGCCACGACCGCCGTAGCGGCTGCCTTGGCGCTGCTGGCGGCGGCACGCAACGGCTGAGTCCAGTCCAGGTCCTCGGGATGAGCCGGGGCTGTCGTGAGGGATCCGGACACAACGGGGTGAGCCAGGAAAGGCCGGGAGGGGAGAGATGCTATGGTAAGCTACTGAAGACGAAACACAACGATTCCACATACATATATACAGACAGACAGACAGACAGACAGGCAAGCACAGAGCACGTATCGCCTCAGCCTGTCATGTCGCCTTAGTTCGGTGGACTATATCAAGACAACGCATACAGGTAGATAAGTAAGCACAGACAGACGAACGAACACGCACCGTGTGCCGGCGCGCCGCCCTCCGCCATGCTCAGGTCCACAAACTCCTCGCCCAGTTGCGGTCCACCCACACCCACACCGCCGCTGCCAAACGCCGCCGCCGCCACGACGCTGCGGAACAGACCTGCCGCCGGGCGCCGGGTGTAACCCAGCAGCAGCGCCTCCGCTGCTTCCACTGCCTGCTGCCAGTGGCGCAACGCCGCCCGCAGCCGCAGCTCCATGTGTAGGGTGATGCCGGGCAAGTTGGCGGCGGCGGCGGCTCCCCCCAGGCCGTCCATCTCCACCATAAGACCTGCCAGCTGGTCGTGTAGCTCGGGGACCAGGGCGCGGGACGCCAAAGAGACAGCGCCTGAATAGGCAACAAGGCATGGATTAGGCGTACAGGAGTTTGTATGGGGAGACACCAGCGGAGAGTAGCTACAGTCGTCACACAACATGTGCCATGTCCATTTCTTAAACACATGTACGCAGGCGCAGGCGACTCATGCAGATGTACACCAATCGCTCTTTTTTTCAGGTTTTGAAAGGAAACGGATGCTGTCCTCCTACTTATATCGGTACAGATGCGCACACACGCGTCGTCGTAGCTATACACGCGTACGTGTGTCCAACATATAAGCACGCATGAGGCCTACCTAACACAGCGCCTGGGGTAATGCGGGCCTACCCTAACACACGCACCGTGCAGGTCGCCCGCCGCCACCATACTGAAGCACCTCAACCCGGGGTGCGATAGCCCCAGAGCCATCGGCTGACCCAACACCCCAACCATCCACAGACAACCGTCCCGGGGCCCAAGCAGCACCAGCGGACCCGGCGGCCGTACGGCAGGTGGCGGCAAAAGCCCCTCCAGAGCCAGACCGCCGCTGCCTGCGCCGCCGGCAATGGCGGCAGACACGCCGGGTGCGGCGAGGGTGATGAGGCGCGCAGATGGCGAGGTGGCGGCGGCGGCGGCGGCAGCAGCCGTTCCTCCAGCGGACGTGGCGGCCGCGGCCACAAGGGCGGTGGCAGGTGAGGAGGGCGGTAGGTTCGGCGGGTTGGGGGAGACGAGGGCGCAGAGGATGTGGGAGGGCGTGGCGATGAAGAGCTGTCTGGCTGACCACTCCAGGGACTCGGCACCGCAGACGGGCAGCGAGGCTGCCACTTGGAAGATGGGTCGAGCCCTGGCGGGGAAAAAAAGGAGGGTATACAAGTTGCAAGTTCCGCACACATGCGGGGGATGTCCGAAAAAGCTACATGCAAGTCAGGGAAACAATTGCGGATGCCCACAGCACCAACTGCCGGAGCCCAAATCCAAGACGCAGCGAAGCGGAGAAGTAGGGAGCAGAGAGGGGCTATAAAAGAAGTCAGCGGTCCCTGTGCTGTTCCCCAGCACCTGGACGGGTGAATGCGGGCGGCACGTACATGAGTGTACAGAAACCCCCCTCCCTGCGCGTGTCTACTGCAACAGATCAGAACACAACACTGCGCTCCATTTTCATCTTTGCAGTCAGGATTGCCCCTACCTGACCGCCTCACCCCACCAACCACCCCTTAACTTTGGCGTGCTGTGGCCCCCTTGCTTCTTATCTTATTGCACATGAATGCCCAACCCTTTATGAAAGCCCCCTCCCCCTTCCCCTCCCCCTCTTCCCCTCTTCCCCTTTTCCTCTTTTCCCCCCTTCCCCTTTTCCCCCCTTCCCCTTTTCCCCCCTTCCCCTTTTCCCCTCCCCCTCCCCCCTTCCCCCCTTTCCCCCCCACATACAAACACCTGATGATCAGCAGCTGGCTGGGGTATGCCAGGGCCAACATGGTCCGAGCGGGGTCCCAGCTCAGGTGCAGGGGCTCGGGGAGCTCAGGACCCGCTCGCCGACCCGTGGACCAGTCGAACAGCAGCAGTGCGGGAGTGAAGCTGCGGAGCAGGCAGGGAAAGGGGGGAAGGGAAACGTGTTCCAACAGGATTCCGCAAGTCTTAACGTACCGTAGGTCTTGACGACGTCAGCACGCGTGGAGGTGGGAGAGGAGGTACAATTGAGCTTGTGTTCAGGACAGGTACCATAGAGGAGGAGGAGGAAAAGGAGGAACTTGCGAAGCGATGGAGATGTAGAATAGGGCTGAAGATTGGCATGCTTTAAAGCTAAGGGGAGACACCCTGTGTAGAAGGATGAAAAGTTCCCGCCCACCCGCCCACCCACCTGCCCGCCGGCGCCAGATCCGCAGCCTCCGACTGTAACCCCCGCCGTACCGTCACCGCCAGCAGCGGACCCCCCTGTACGAAAGACGGCGTATCGCCGCGCAAGTCCAGCGACACGCCCATGCCCATAGGGGTGCCGCCGCCATAGAACTCCTTGACGCGTACGGCAGCGCTGTCTGCGGCGGCCCTGGCGGCGGCTTCCGCTGCAGCGGCCGCCGCCGCCGCCTGCTTCTCCGCCTTACGTGGGTCCTTGTGGTGTTTGCCCGGCGACACCGCCGCCCCCGCTGCTGCCGCGGACAGTGCCGCGGGCAGGGTTTCCTCCAGCGCGGCGAACACGTCACGGCCGCTGTGCCAGGCGACTGAGGAACCTGTGCCCTGTGCCACCCTGAGGTGTGCGTGCGGTGTGGTGGGTGAGGGGGCAAGTGGGCGTGAGGGCGGGTTTCAGGACAAGAGTATGACCGGTTTTCAGATGCGTCATGGCGCGGATGAATGAGTGAATGAGTGACTGGATACCGGGTGCTGGATGGATGGGTGTGCGATGAATGCGATGAGTGCGGTGTGCGGTGTGCGGTGTGAGGCCGCGCGGCGGCAAGCAAGCGCACAGCCGAGCAGGAGTGGGCGGGGTGGGTGGTGGCGACTTGCAGGAGGAGAAGGATCAGCCACCGCCTCCCGCTCCTTCCCCCTTTTCCCACCCGCGTGATTCTCCTATCTTCATTTCTCCCCCACTCCAGCACATCACCTTTGATTACACCGGCCCCCCACCCCGGCCCGCCTCCCGCCTTCCTTACTCCTTCCAGGCTGACGCCCCCTGCTGGTAGACGGCGTACTTGCGGGCTCCGGGCCATGCTACCGCCACATAGCCCCCGTCGTGACTCACTGTCACAAGGGGCCGACTGACCGGGGTGCCACTGGCCACCTGGAGGGGGAGGGAGGGTGCACCAGGAGGGGGTGGCAGGTGGGGAGGAGGGGTTGGGGTAAGCAGTGGGAGACGGCGCAAGGTGGGGGGCCTACGGCGGAGGTTTAGGGACGACGAACGAACTGCATTGCTAACGTGCATATTGCGAGTGAGTTGTAGTGGGGGGTGTCCATCGTGGGAAGGGGCAAGAAGCCTTGTCAGCATGGGTAGTAGTAGTATCAGCAGCAGGAGTATCAGCTGCAGCTGCTATATAGCTGGTCCCAGGCCGGCATCCGCATACCTTTCCTCCTCCTCCTGGTGGGAAAGTGTATGTAAGGTGCACCTATCCGGCGGAAACGAAGACCGCCACTGCCAAGGCCCCAGGACACAAGCAACCAGCTAACCAGTTTCATGGAAGGCAACGCATGGGTCAGCAGATACGATAATAAGCATTGGAATCGAAGTCCCACGCTGGCCACCATCGCTTCTTAAGCCTGCCGTAGGCCCCTACCCAACCCATCCCCACTCAACCCAGCCCAATCCAACACCGCCAAGCCGCGACCCAAACCCCAAATGGATGTCAGGTTCACAGTTCAAGGCGATATGGCAGCACCCACCTGTAGTTTGCCCATGACTTGGTTGGGTGTGAAGTCCACCAAGTCGTGGTTGGGCAGCGTCGCCGCCGTGACACACAGGACCTGCGGGCCCATGGCCGTGACGTACGTGGTGCCGCCGCCGCTGCCGCCGCCGAATGCCACGCCCATGGCGGCGGCGCTGTCGTCACGCAGCGCCTGCAACGGCGCCGTCAGCGGCAGCGGCGCTGCCGGCAGCGGCTGGTGCGGCGCCGCGACGCCGAGGATGGCGGTGCCGGTGTTTGTGGCAGCCGCCACGACACTGGGCATCAGCGGGTGTACGTGAATGCCGTACACCTTGGGTGTTCGCTTTTGACCTGTCCGTACGATAGATGAAAACAGGCGCGTGGAGCGTAAAATGTGATGTGAGGTGCGGTGTGGCAACGCGATGGCCAACACGGGGATTCGCAGGGTTAAAGTATCATGTATACATATCGGGAGCATGCGGAAGCCTCCTTTTCTCCCTTCTTCGAGCCTCCCCTTCCGTCCTCTGCCGGGACACTCTTACTCCCACTCTCTCTCCCACACCTACAACCTTTTCTCTCCATCCCTTTCCTCCCCTGATACGGCATGTTCTCTCTCTTTTCCTCCCGTCGCTTCTCCCGTTCTCCAAAGTCGCCCCTCTTGCCTTCCTTTTCATACCCCCCTGTTTCCTCTCTCTCCCTCCTCAACGCCCCTTCTCAACCCACCCACGCCCACACGCCCCGTACCGTACCTGCGGGTATGAGCCCAGCCAGGTCCACTGCCCGACGCGGCTCTCCGCCTCCCGGGTGTGCCAGCAGCAGGCTGCCGCCCTCCGTGCCCATCAGCAGGCTATACACGCCGTTGGAGGTGAAGCCGCGGGGCCAGTGGGCCAGGCAGGTGAGCGCCGCGCCCTCCACCTTGGTGCGGACGAGCTCCAGGGAGGGGGAGGAGGGGGAGGCGGACTGCGGAGGAGGAGACAGATGACAGCGGTGCGGGCGGAACGGAACGGAAGGAAGCAGATCCAGCCCCATCGCGTTGAAGTTGGAGGCGCGCGGGACGGCCGGGATGGGAGCAGGAGGAAGGAGAGCGCGGGGGAGGGAAACGTGGTGTGTATGTACAGGAATGTACGTTGAAATACAGGAAGGATGTGTGGGTTCATAACATTTTTGTGTTGACTTTAGCTTTTAGCCCAACCCACTTTCATTTGGGCTACAACCGCATTCAATCTCATTACTTATAAAAGAAAACCATTACAAATACAGCAAATAAGGTTAAGGCAAATATAGACAAAGTAGTAAGGTGGTGCTTAATAGAAGAACAAGAATGTTATACACATATATATCACTCTATCACTCTGCAATATACACAACGCAATATATACGACGTATATTACACCTCATCCTTTTGCAAGCCTGCTCTCTACCATTGCGCCACCATTGCGGCCGCCACCCCACATTCCATTCCCCACATCCCAGGATCTCTGAGGCCACCCCATGTGGACACACCCTCCTTGGCCGGGCCGGGCCGGGCCGCGAACGTACCCTCAGCACCGCAAGGTCCAGTCCACAGACCCGGTTGTCGCTGCCTGGGGTGTTGGCAAAGGGGCGGGTGTGTGCAAGGGTGTGATAGAGGTGCGGGTGCTGGTGGGGTCCGGATGATGGTGCCACACGCACCCACGCTGTATGGCACCAGAGAGAGAGCAGATCTGCCGTGAAATGGGGACGAAGAATGGAGAAAAGGAAAAGCTCACACCGGCAGGAGAAAGCTCACACACGTCCGGGCCCTTTAAAGGGCTTAACCATCAGCTGATAGCAAAAAAACGGTATGACCATCCTGCCATCTTGTGGTGGTGATACAACACCACACGGGTCCTGTGGGGGGTTCAGGTTACAGCTCATCCACCCGCCCCCGCCCCCGCCCCTCATCCCCCCTTTTCTACTTACCTGCCGAAAACAGCCGAAAGTGTCTATCCTCCGGGTCCTCATTCACCGGCACCAACACCAGCGAGCCAGGCAACATTTCCCGCTCATGTGCCCGGTACTCGGCCCGAGGGGACACGCCATCCGCCATGGAGGCAGAGGCGCCGCCGCCGCTGCCAGGCGAGCTGGTCGCGGCGCCGCCGCCTCCGGCAGCTCCGAGACCAGCTCCCCCTCCGCTGCTGCCGCCTGCTCGGGTTCCCGACAGCGGCTCGAATAGCACCACCCTGCCCCCCGCATGGCCCACCGCCAGGGTCTCGTGACGCTGGCCGAGCATTCCCAGCACCGCCATCGCCACCACGGCGGTCTTATGGGCGGAGATCAGGCGAGCGACGGGCTGCTCCAGGGGGGCCAAAGATATTGAGAAAAAGGAGGACAGGGGTGCAAGGGGTTGGTGGGTGGAAAAAAGCGTTTAAACACTGAGTACCAAGCGAAAAACGGGATGTGGGGGTCGCAAAGGAGAGAGGGTAGGGGTCAAGTCACGTATGACATGCCTTGCTCAACTAGTGCAGGGTAGAACCATCCCGGGACCGCTTTGGCCTCTCCCTTGTTCTCTCTTGTTCGGAGCCACCAGGCTCTCTATCCGGGGCTCCAGCCACGCAACCACAATCCGGAGGCCTTTCATCGCAATTCCCACACCGCCGCCTCTCCCCCTGCCCCTCCTGTCTTTCCTGCTTTCTTTCCGCATTTTACTTCAGTCTTGGCGGCTAGGTAGGTGGTTTTCCGTTATCGCCATTTGACTACCCCAACACCATCGCGAAGACTTCTTCTTCTTCTTCTTCACAACAAGCCCCGACTGGTTGATCACTCCTCACACACTTCTGGCGTATCAGTCTATCCTCCTTGGCATCAGCTTCACTAGTTCACGTGGATCGTCTTCTCCCCCTCCCCCTCCTCCCCCTCCTCCTCCTCCGCCTACCTTTATCGGAAACAGCTGCACGCACCGCACGATGCCATCGGAACAGCCCACAGCCAGCACCGGGCTCTCCAACAAGCCCATGCTACCGCCACCACCACCGGAAGTGCCGCCGCCGTAGGTGAACCCTGCGTGCCCCGAGGCCGCTCGACCGGCCCGGAAGAGGAAGGCCAGAGAGGTGGGAGTCTTGCCCTCAAAGACGCCCTTACCCAGCTCCAACACGCGGCGGCTGGCCAGGTCTACCACAATCACTTTATTCTCGCAGGCGATTACAAGAAGCCTGAAGGTTTAGTAGGACGGAGGGAGGGCAACGGGGGGAGGCAGGGAGGAAAGTACGTGCAGTACGGGAAGCAGCCGTGCAGCTATCGGACGCGGCAGAGGAAGTGGCAAATGCACCGCGGGTCGCGTGGACTTAGGGTTAGGGCCTTCCGGTGCTAGGCTCCCTTCGCCAACCCCTCCCCCTTCCTCCCTTCATTTCCTTCTTCTATCCTGCCCATTAAGCCCTCTGCCACACAGCCCTGGCACCGTACATGTCGCGTTTACAGGTGGCCACGTAGGTTGCAGCGACGAGCCGCATCATCACGCGACGTGATGCATGTACGACTGTAAACCTCCGGCTGGGCCTACCTTTGTCCCCGGAGCGCCCTTATCTCCTCAGCCCGGGGGCCCGGGGTGCCGCACCCTGATGACGACGTGTGCTGCCACGTCAACTGGACCTGTGGTAAAGGATGCCGCGATGGCGTGTGATAGCGAGGGAGAATCACGAACACGAAGGAGAATTCGCAGATATTGTCGCAGAATAGGAAAACGACGATTGCAGTATTATTTCCTAACCCCCCGGTCCCCATCCCCACCTCCGAAGCCCCGGAACCCGGGTCTCCACGCCGGTGTTATTCCAGCTCCCCTAACCTCTTTTGTGTTCTGTCGCTTCGTAGCCCACCTGAGCCACATCGCAGTCCAGGAAGCGCACATCGCGCACATGTCCGGTGGGCTCCTTCTTAGGTCCGCTGGGTATGGGGTGCATCAGGGAGGGGTTGGGGGTGAAGGCGGGGTCGCGGACGTGGACGCAGGCCAGCTCCGCTTCCGCACACAGGTCGCCATCTGTGCCGCTTCCCAACTGGGCCTCCCACACCACCTGTGCGCGGGTAGGGGGTAGCCGGTAGGCGATAGACATCACGAGAGCCAGAAGGGTAGCAGGGTGCATGAGGGGGAGCGAAGGAAGAGGGAACGAAGGAAAGGGTAACGGGAGTAGGAAGGGAGAGGGAGGGTTGGAGATGCGGAACCGAGACAGGAAACCAGAACAAATAAACGAGGGGGAAAGGGGAGGAAAAGAAGGGGGCTATGGTAAGGGGGCTATGGCTCGGTAAGGGGCATGGAAAGGGAGGTGGAAAAGGCTGTCGAAGGTTGTCTTCAGTACACTGGCATTAGCATCAGGATTGTATGCAGCACATGAGTAACACAGCATATGAATGGCGTATACCACGAATTGATACGTCCTCACAATGGAGGAAGCGGTGCGGTTAGGTGCAGGGTCGGGCAGGCTGCCGGGAGAAGGTAGTACGTGCAATGAGCGACACGGACCGTGCTCAGGTAGCAGTGCTTGACAAGGCTGTTCAGATTGCGTGGGTTGTTTAGGATTTGTTCAAAGCGGCAGTCAGCAGCAGTGCACAGCATTATGGACATGGTGCAAGGCCTTAACTCAAAGTACGGGTGGGAAGCTCCCTTCAATTCGATCGGGGTAAAGATCCCAGTCCCCGGCCGTGAGGAGAGATATACACGGGGCCCGAGCTCGACACGGCGAGCCCAGGCGGGGCCGGTCCAAACGGCGGTCAATCCCAGGAGATGCACCGGTAGAGGCCCGTTGCATATAGCATGTTGCCCGGCATGTGATGCGCTGGGTTTTTTATGGCGAAGCTCCACTGCAACAGGAGCAACCGACCTGTCTGGTGCGCCAGTCCCAGACGGACACATTATCGCTCTTCGTTGCCGACACAATCCAGGGGAGGACAGGGTGAAACTCCACCTGCCGCACCTGCAAGCATGGCGAAGCAAGTGAACACGATGGCTCAATCGTTCGTTGACCGTTCTAGCCCAGCAAAAGATATCAACTAACTTTTTCGGCAGCTGGGTAAAATAGTTTCAGAGCGAGCATAGTGAAGAAGTTCTTTCTCAAGAGAAGGCAAAATATATGACTGCCTTCCCAAATGTTGCACTAAGTATTTCAGGTCATCCCAAATTCCATCCTTTGGTATTAATAAGGTAGCAGGAGTGTAATGGTCCAATGGATTTCCACGCCAACGCTCTACAAGTCGTGCCTGAACGTTCAACCTATCGGTGGGGACGCATTAAATGTAAAAACCCTACAAGCTTAATATTGTCCAAAATTTCCGTTTGTGCTTTGCTTCTGCACACATGCGGTTGGCAACCGTTTTCGTGACCGTGAACGGCACCTAACTTCCATTTGTACGGGGAGCAGTAGCTGCAATTATTGAGCTTCTGTTCTCTATGTTTTCATACAGCAGGCAGCGCTTGGATGAAACAAGGAGCGCTGCCTCAACTTTTGACAGGCTGAAAAGATCCGAAAGCGGGGAGCTTGGCTTTTGGGGCAGGCGGACATGGATGCATAGTGAATGACTTACAGGCACGCCTGTACATATTCCTTTTTGCCGTGCGCGCTGGCAGCCTAGCTGCCCTTGCTGTACCCCTTGCAGGGCTGGGTCGGGGTACTTCTCTGCTTGCTTGGAGTTTACGTTGCATTGAACGGGAAGCTCCCACCAGGGAATTTCCCTGGTGGGCTTGAAGCCCCTGGCATGTCTGAAGACAAAACTCACTTCGTCACATTTACACAAGTGCGCCCGTTGCGCCGACACAGGTTACCAAACCCATAAAAGGAGAAGCAACTAGCTGCCGCCAACCGGTACTGGAATCAGCCCAAGTATAGCACGACGTTCCTGGCGTCCCCGCCACCTTCCCGCATCAAGCAGCACCTCCACGCGATGAGCAAAATTAACATTTCTGCGACACACAAGGTGCACGCAAGGGGCCTGGATCACAGGATCTATGTCCCAGACGCCTTCGCAGTCAACAGAGATCTAGACCCATGTTGCTGGACCAGCGGTGCCCATTCACACAAGCACACAACGCCACGCCATTCACTAGCCGAATCTATACCGACAATGCGCGCTTAAGCACCTTTCGGCAGCGGCTGCGCCCGCACGTTCCATGGCCGAAGGCTGCATGGATGCATCCTTATGACACTCCTTGACTAGAGCTCACAATCATTGCGCCATACTGCCGCCCTGCTTAAAAAAATGCATATATACCACATCATTCACCAAGGCTTCGCCAAAAGCAAATTGTGCTAGGAACTTTAGCACTTACCATAACATACACCATCGCCCAAACACGCCATCAGTAACAAGGTGTCGTCGTGGGATAAATAGGTTACCAAAGTATTGCACATTCTCCGTGGGGCCAGCCGGGGAAACAAAAGGCAAAGCTCCGGTGTTGGCCCCGCACATAGCACTGGGCGGGCCAAAACACCCGCGTCCGGCAAGCCGAAGCGCTTCTTCCTTACAGGAGACGAATACGCTTATATATTAAATGTCCCCTCGGATACATCTCAGGCATCGACATAGCTCCCGCCAGGATAAGAAAACGGGTACGGAGGCAACAAAACATGTGCCGTCGCTCTACAAACGGAACATTTCAGATTACGACTTCAAGCACTGGTGCAAATAGCTTCGTATTATATATGTGCGGAGCTGGTGACATGGCCGTCTACGAGTCTGCATCTAGCAAACGCGGTGGTGCAGCTGCGGTTCGGCGCCTAGAGGGAAGCCGGAAGCCTATCCGGCCGTCTACGAATAAATCGTATGCATACCTAACGCCGGTATGGCTACACCTGCAATACCTAAGCAAGAATAATCGCGGCGGTGGTTCTCCCCAATGTCATGGTCATAGTGCATAAGTACGGATCGTCCAAGCATTTCCCTATGGTTCACAAGAAGAACACGAACCTAAGGCAAACATATAAAATTAGTCTCACGACACAGCTCGGAACAAGTTGATTAAGTTACGGACGAGGGTATTCCACGTCGGCAGGCTAAGCAGCCTGCATGCCTGTCTGTGAACTCACGCTCAGCATTGCGCGGCGCACAGCCAGTATACTTCAGCAAGCCCTACATCTTCCTTCCAGAACCTAACATGGCAATACTTAAAGGGATTATGCATGCCTTCCGGCAATCATTAGCGTGTGTAAGGACAGTCCGCAAGGTATAAGGGACTCAGCTAATCAAATCTTGACATCACTAAGAGCAAGCCAGGGATATTATAATGGGAAAACCCACACTGCGTTGGGGGAACATTCAATCGCCTAAACAAGACACGCACAACGCGTGCTTTGTGCTAGCTATGTACAAAACCTATACGACCTTTTTTACCTGACTGTACGTGCTGGCGACAGCCGGAACGAAATCAATGGCTGCGGCGTCCTACTTGCGAACAATCATATATACCAAAACCAGCGGAGATGCTGCCACTCAACCCGGCCCCGTTCAGGAGGGAGCATGGTAAAAACATCCTTCTGTGCTTCAGCCCCGCAGGCCGATTCGGGCCAACCTAGCACAAAACATCCCAAGAGTCGCTGCATACGTCCTGCCTCAGCCATTCACATAATCCAACACTACCTGCATTCCCGTTTGCATAATGCACTTGAGCGGTTGGCCCGGGGCTTAAGAACAGCTTGTCCCGAAGAAGGCGACTGCATTGCTAGCTTACGTGCGCCATGCGTATGCGCTTCTATCGTTCAGGAAATCCTGACGGCTAAACCTACTGCTTCATCCAAAGCAATCAAGCTGCTAATTAAACAACACCTTCCTTTCCTCCCAAAATGAAGTACAAATCAGCAGCCAGATCCGCGTCTTCAAAGTCTTCCATCTTCATCTCGGCGGTCTGCACGTGCCGCCCTGGTCCTTGCCCCGGCGACGCCCCAGCGCCGCTCTCCGCTGGCTCAGGCTTGAAGAGCGACCGCCGTAGATTTTCCAAGCAGAGACCCTCCTCTCCAACGGCCATAAAATTTCCTGCCTCCTCCCCTCCTGGCTCACCTCTGTAACGAGACTGCGGAAGACCCTCAGGAACGGTAGAAGCGACCCTGCGCCAACCCGACGGCGGCGGTGGCGGTGTCGACGTCACCGCAGGATCTGGCGCGGCGCGGACAGCAGGTGATGCAGCCGTGGGCCACACAGGCCGTACGCCGTACTCTGCCTCAGGATAAGGCGGCACCGGCCCATGGTAGACGGCCACCAGCTGGCTCGTGCCATCCATAGGCTGTGCCAGGAAGTATTCGTAGCCGTACGGGGCTTGGTACATAGCATGGTACGGCGGGTAGGCTGGGGGATAGCCGTAGCACGGCGGCGCTGTGCTGGGTGCGGTGGCGTCGTACCATAAGGCAGCCGGTTTCCAGTAACCTTCCTGTCGCTCCTGATGACGCGGAGGAGTCATTGACGTCTCCTGCATCACCTGCTGCCGTGGCTGTTGCAGCAGGTGCGGTAATGCCGGGTGATGGTATGGCTGGTACAGCTCGGGGTGCTGCTCGGATTCCTGCTGTTGCTCCTCGTACCGGTAGCGCTGCTGGTGTGGCTGCGGAGTTGTGCACGCTTCGTTGCTCATCACAGACGAGAGAACACGCGCAGATTGGCCGCCACAAGCATTGGCGGATTCGTCTATTGGCGGATACGGCAGCTCACAGATGCCCAAGTGGCTGCGGCAGCATTCTTCGCACATGCATACTTGTTGCTGATACTGGGTAGCCTCGCTACCCCCTTGACTTCCCAGGCAAGCTGCACAAGAGCTACCATAACCGATCTGCGGCGCGGCAATGGGGTCGGTGCCCGTCGCGTGTCCCACCCAGACAGCAGAGGGGTCAGCCTCAAAGATGCTGCTACCCCCAGCGCTGCTTTGGCCGTCGTTCTGGCCGCCTTCACTGGAGCCGTAGTAGCCGCAACCATCAATATTGGTCCGGACGGAAGCCGAACCGACGTCAGCGGTGTGGACCGTGTCGTGGCAGGGCAGCGATGTGAATACGGGTTCGGCCGAGCTCGGCACATGTCCGTTGGCCACGCTCGTGTACGCAACAAACGGCGCCAGGGTTGGAGGAGTAACTTCCTCCATATGGTGTGCTTCTCCAGTCGTATCGCCCCTGCAGCCGTCTGTTTTGGGGTTCGTATCATAGATTTCCGGGGCTGCGACAAGGCTGCGTCCTGCCTGGCCGCTATGCGACTTTGTCCCGCGTGTAGACGATTCCTGCGCGCATCATGCCTATCGATTGAGCCAAAAAACTGGAAGGAGAAGAAAGCATTGCATGTCCAAACTCGCAATCGTGCGGTAAATACATAGGCGAGTGGTTGGGAGTTATTGGCTGATTAATAAAGCGTCCATTGACATATCCTCCCGCTACCGTATGCCGACGCAGTTGAGAGCCTTCAGAATGGCCCTCCAGGGGTCAAAATACTTTCATTTTCGGAGAGGTGAGTTGTCCCGATCAGCCCAAGCAGCATACCTTGCGACTTTTGCACGCTCGGCGGTAGGAACGAAAATACTCTTTCACTTGCTGCAGGGTACGCATGCCCTTTGAAAGCTTTAGCAGCTCATCAATTTCGGGCAGCTGCTCCGCTGGCCAAATTATATGCGCATGCAGGTAGTACCACCTGGTAGAAAGGCAAGGAGAAGAGTTTCAGGATAAGCATGCTACTTAATGATGTTTGTTCGATCAGTTGCTAAACTTACTCCCGGATTTCAGCGGTTGTCGCACGTCTACCGGTGGCATCGTGATGTTGACGCCACCATGTACTGAAAGGTGACCAGAAATTGTTGGGTCTCTTGACCCTCAGCCTAGCATCGTGAACCTCTTTTTCCTTGTTCGCCGCGACCATGGTGGCGGCCCTGGGGGCTGTAACAAAGCCCTGACAAGGAAGGCGCAGCATGACGGCATTCAATACAAGAAAAGAATTTGCACTGCTTTAAAGTTGCTTTGCCTGAAGACATTACCGAATAAGTCATATCTAGCAGGGTTGTTCAGGGTACATGCCAAAAGCCACCATTCCAAGTTCAAAAGATGGAGGCGCACGCTGGAAATTTGACGGCTTGCCTTCAAGTTTCTCACCCACAGCGTCAGTAGGTGGGTACAGTTCTCTTCAGGTGTCGCCAAAGCTGTGAGGTGCCCAAGGCGACAAATACTGTAGCGCTACGGAAGACGTCGATATGGTGGAACCCACAAACGGTATTGAGGCAGATATCTTTTCCATACATAAGCTAGCGGTCCTGGATAGTGCGCATCAATGGATGAATTGCTTGTGCAGGCTAGACCCAGCAGACAAGAGCGGCCGTACAGCCCCAGCCCGGCTATGCCATCATATTAAGGACATGGAGCTTAGCTCCAGATTTGAATTTTAAACCTGGTGAAAAGGCTTCCTATTGAGACACGCAGTAATTGACAAAATACATTTTTGATCCAAAATGCCACGCCACGCCCCTTGGATGGCTATTAGCTTAGCAAGGGAACTATAAGAAAGGAAAAGAGAAGGATTGGGGAATACTGTCCTGGCTTGAATCCTGTAAGCTTTGGCAAACGCGACGGGTTGAGGTGCATGCTTAGGAAGGAAGGCGTTAACCCTCGCCTTTGCAAAGCCGTCAGTTACGGCCGACTGTTTTGTGCACCGTATCATGAATGGGTAACTCCAAATGAATGTAACAGGGTGGGGTCCAAAACGAAGCACTGCAAAAGGGGTCATGTGGGTTTGCCCGAGACGAACCCTGGGTGATACCCTCCGGTTTGCCCCGAGTCCCCACGCAAATGATATCTGTCAAACCGTGGAAGCTGACCATTTTCCTTTGCGCCAAGGGTTGCCCGTTGTTCACTGCTGGTGGGCCAAAAACAAGTCTTGGGCCATGCTCAGCAGGATGATGAGGTTGCATTTTTTCCAGGATTCAACCACAGACTGCCTAACAGAAAGGACGGAATCTGACAGAACGTCTTACAGCAGGCGCCAGGATCATACTAATGAACTTTACGCATCAGCAAAGAGGGGTGGCGCAAATCCCTACAGATAGGTCGAAACCCAGCGCACGATGCCCGGCCTGCGCCAGCCTGCATAAAACAAACTGGACCCACATGTAGCCTACTTTGCAAGCACCATGCCTACACAGCGAGCTTTGATCACGTTAGTTTCTCTCAAATCTTTCAATAGTAAAGCAGCTGGCTGCGGACGACATTTGGAAAGGGGCTACTCCGGCAGACGCCGGGTTTTTCAGCGCAAGAAATGTCCAGACCCCTTTCAGACAGATGCCGGGACAAGGGTCTATGGTAATTAAGGATTCCTCGCACAGCATCAGCCTTAAAGACATGAATACGCTGTACTCAGGGCTGTATGTAGATGCGTCCGGAGCAATTCAGCACCCATGTTCACAAGCGAGGAAACTGTATAAAACTTGTAGCAACAATGGCAACAGGAATGTCCTTTGAGGTTGCTTTATTTGAAGGCCGAACTCTGCTTCGAGGTGGCTACCTGACGCCTCCCAAGGCCAATGGAAACAAATGGAGAAAGTTTCGCTTCTGCAAAGCTTTTGGATGAAGCTGCTGCATATGCAACGCTTCGATATTACATTTTGAACATGGTGGAGACAGGGCAGTTGTACGGCTGCATTTGCGAAATGACATCAACAACAATGAAGCCTGAACAGCATTTGCTCTACGATAGCAATGTAAATAGACTTATGTTTATAATACGCCTTTTCCCGGAAGCCGCTACAAGCTCTAAGGCCAATAAGATTAATATGGAATCGGATACTTTCTAGCGAAAGGCGTTGCGCCCTTACGGCGCATTCTGCAAGATGGACGGTAACTTCATCGCGGACGTGCGCTTGGACGATTCCGATGAGGTAAGTGACTAGGCTTCCACTAGGGGCGCCTACAAGCCGGTTATAAAAGTCAGGCGGTGTATCGTTTTTTCAACGAGCTGCAGGTTCTTCAGCTACCTATTGTCAAAAGCCGGGTTAAGAAGCTTTTGCAAGGGGCTGTTAGGAAGATTGCGCTTCTTGGGGCACCTGTAATTCCATCAAGCGATGATTCCTTGGAGCAATTCTTGCAATCAGCTGGTCGATTTTTTGGAAAGGACCCAGCCAAATGGGACCAAGTCGGTAAGTCCGCATGCGGTCATGTGGTTTCTGCGCACCACCGTATCACGCGCGTAACCTCACTATCTGATAGGGCCCCGTATGATCGAAAAGAGTTGACATTGCTATTCTCTCGCCATGATGTCCTGAGGGCGATGGGCTGACTCGAATGGGCCCTGCACGGGCAGCTTGCTCGTTGACATACACGGTTATGGACATGAAACTCATAGAGCACGTCAGCAAGGCAAGAGGAATAAGCTGGGGCAAGACATTGCATGGGTGCAGCAATTCGGAACCACGCCCCCTATGTCGTGCGTCGACATCCGCCCCTGGAGAGCCCTGGAGCAGCGATTGCCCCTTAGCACTTTTCGACGGGCTTGCTTGATATCCATCACGTGATCGGCTCCTACGAATACCCATTGAAACTTGCCACACGCTATGGCGTACTCAGCACCCACCGTAACCCACAGCCTTAGGTCCCAGCATGAGCAGTTGGGGTTGTGTTGGGGCCATGTAACACATGTCAGTTATTAGCCGCTGGAAACCCACATGGGTAACCGGCACGAAATCCTGGCCTCACGCTCGCGTAAACTGCCTGCGTGCCGAACAAACCCCCTCCGTCCGCGACCAGCGCCTCCAACGCCCATATCACCGCACGCCGTGTCCTCTTTCCCCTCCCCCCACACATACCGATTGCCCTACATTATTCGCCTAATCCTGGCGTATACCCGTCTTTGGTATTTTCTTTTCATCTATCGCCTACGCTTTGTCTTAACACACACACACACACACACACACACACACACACCAACACCAACACACACACAACGCTCTATCATACGCAGGGGACACCAAGGTGGACGTGACGGAGGAGGCGGGCAAGCGGACAACCAAGCTAACAGGTGTCTTCACGGGCACGGAGCTGTCGCTGTTGGTGGAGAACCCGTACTTTGATGAGCGGCTACCGGCACGGGAGGACAAACCGGACCTGAACTTCAGCCAGAAGCGCACGCCCATTCGCACGGATGCCGAGTGGCAGGAGGTAAGCTGCTTCCTGCACCTCTGGACGGGTGCTGAGAAGGGGACTGGGATGGGCTGGGTCGGGTCGGGTCGGGTCGGGCAGTAATGTGCGTTGGGGCCGTCTGGTGTACGAGGGCCGCGGCAGACAGAGGACCTGTGGGCCCCTCCGCGTTCCTGGATGGGATGGGGCTTTGGCTGTGGTCGGCATCGCTATCGGTATGGGGATACTGTCCGAATGGGCCGCAGTGAAAAAGGTAGGCGGAATCTCATCGGTCTTCATGTGGGTCCGCGCCTGTGGGGTGGCTCTGCGGGGGGTAAGGAAGTGACATGGAAGGGGGTTCGGGGGGATTGTGGAGGCTACTGCTGTGGCAGCAGCAGACATGCAGCAGGTATGGGAACTGAGAGGGGCTCTCGCTGGCGGCTGGCCGAAGTCGCCACGGGGTACAGCAGGGTGCATTTGGCGCCCTGCGAGCCACCGCTTTAAGCCGGTGGAAGGAGCTGGAGGCTGACAGGGAGGAGAGAGTGAGAGAAAGGGATATAGACCTATCAGTCAAAGACATAGCTGCCGACGTCCCAAAGTAGGAGTGAGGGGGGATGTAGGCTGCCGGCATCCTTGCCGACACGCTAATCAGTAGCACTGCACGGGGGAGGTAGGCAGAGGGGTTGATGTGGGTTTGGGCGGGCTGTGAGACAGGGACAGTAGGGATGAGGTCATACAGGACCTGTGCCTGGGCGCATGGCGCATGTTGCCGCATGGTCACTGCCTGCCTGCGGCAGCTTTGGTGTGAGTAGGGCACCTGGAAGCTGCTTGCGACGGCGGTGGCGGCCCGGGTGTGCACATTGCCTACCAGTAAAAGAGCTGTTCCTCGGGATGTCGGCATGCTTGTCTAGGGCCTGAGTTTCATTCCTTAACTCTCCATGCCCCTCCGTGTAAGCATAGACGTGTGTGTACTGCCAATCACGGCCCAACTCACCCCGTCCTACATGTCAATCCCCCACTTTCGGCTGCAGCTCATTTCGGAGCAGCCTTGGACGGCCAGTAAGCGGCGGCAGCTGCTGACAGCGTACCTGCAGGCCAAGGTACGCCACAGGGGGGAGGGTGGAGCCGGAAAGAGAGGGCAGCGGCTCGTCAATGCGTTCTGCGTGCGCGGGTGCTGCGAAAGGAGCCTGAAATGGCGCAGCTGAGAAACCGGTATACGGGGTTTAAAAAAGCTGGCAGGGCCACGGCGTGGCGCGAGTAGCCCATGTCACGCCCCGACGCCACTACCCCAAACAGCCATGTCCATTATCCTCGTGTAGCCCCACACGGCCCTTTTCCACCTCTCCTTTCCTCTCTGTCCTCACCTCCACTTTCCTTCCCGCTCCGCCGTTCCAGGTGGAAGCCGAGGACCCTAACCTAGCTTCAGAGGGGGCCCACGGCTTTTGGGAGCTCTCCATTAACAAGGAGCACCACGTAGACTTCCGGATAGATCGCTTGGCGGCTCTGCTCAACCGCTTGTCCGCACCCAACCTGGAGGTAGCCACCACCACTGCTGCAGCGGTATGGGGCCTCGCCACCACTGCACTCAGCCGCAGGGCCCTCGCCGACCTGGACATCGTCTCCCTGCTGCTGTCTAATCTGAAGCGGTCGCTGAAAATGCCGGTCATTCCGGATGAAGCTACGATTGCGGCCGCGGCAGCGGCGGCAGCGGCTGCCGCTGCCGCCGCTGGACCAGCGGCTGCTGTGGCAGCGGCGGCGGCAGCCGCTACCGCCTCCACCAGCGGCTCCGCGGTGGACGACGTTCCCGCCGGCGGCGGCAACGGACGCGGCCAGACCAATAACGCGGTACCGGAGGCGCAGCGCAACCGCTTCCAGTCTTTTCTCCTGGGGGCGTTAAGCGTGTTGCTGATTGACCGCAACTGCCGGAGGGCTTATGTGCAGCAGGAGCCGGAATTCGGGACGCTGTTCACCTTGGCGAAGAATTTGGACGGCTACGCGCCCGACGCCGCGGCGGCGCGGCGGGAGGCGTCGGCGAAGCTGTTGACGACAATGGTGCAGCGCGACGCGGATGCGCGGCGCAGCCTCATTGCCAGCGGGGCGCTACGCAGCGTCATATCGCTGCTCAATCCCAAGGCGAGTGTATGCAAGGACCGTCAAGGAAACAGCGGCTGACGGTGATGGGAAGAGAGCCAGGAGGGTGGCGGGGGTATGGAAGCAGGAGGAGGAAGGGGTGGGGTGGGGTTGAGGGGCGTGGGTCCTCCTGCCTAGGTTTGGGGTTTGCTGGGACGCTGTGTGAATAGGCGGAAGGGGGATATATGAGGCATTACTTCCGGACAAGACCTGCACGGAGATAAAGTGGCGAGTATGTGTGTATGTATATATATGTGTGTGTATGGAGCTAGGGAAATTGCTGCTTGGCTGGCTGTATGGAAGCGTGCGGGGATGGATTCGGCTGGCTGGGTAGCTGGCGGGTCGGCATGGGGGCCGGAGAGATTGGATTGTGAGGTTGGAGGTTGGTGGCTTGCTAAGGATTAACGACCAACTACGACCAACCGGTGCGAGCTGTTTTGATTTTACATATCCGCACATAAACACACGCGCGCTGCACCACCGCTGCATTTCGACACCTTGGTCAACGCGATCCGAATTTGTTTATTTGTCCAAACTGATCACGTTCGTGGGTCCTCGTAGTAAACACCCGCCCCCCCCCAACACATGCACATGCACACGTGTTGAATCCACTCGCCCATCCTCTCCATGCAACTGCTCTTCTTCTGTGTGCACGTGGGTAGGGAACACGTATTCCTTGTCCCCTCACCCACATTTACATATGTGTATATATGTATGTACATATGTGTATATATGTATGTACATATGTGTATATATGTGTATATATGTGTACACATGTGTATATGTATGTATGTTTGTGCGTGCAGGGCCCTGGCGAGTCCATGATTCAGTTCTGTGCGGCCTCCCTGCTGGCCACCATGGTGCTGGATGACGACGCCATGGAGCTGATCCGGGACCGGGGGGAGGCGCCCCTCATGTTCGAGGCGTGTATCGTGCTGCTGCACAGCACGCTGAGCAAGCTCAAGCGGGAGGTGGCGAGATTCTACGGCCAGCTCACACCGTAAGAAGAACTGGAGGGGGTGGGGACTGGATAGATAAGAGGAAGCTAAACTTGGATAAAATAAACACCTGAAGCTGGATAGCAGACCTTGGATAAACACCTGCATGGGCTGGGCTGGGTGGGTGGGAGGGCGGTGTGCGCGGCCTGTGTGTTTCGTTGTGGGTCGTATGAGCGTGGAGGGCCGCGGACGGAAGGGCAAACAAGGAAAGACGCGGTGCCGTGGTGATGGTGGTCGTGGTGGAGGTGGTGGAGGTGGTTGTGGTCGTGGTGGTGCCCGGTAGTCGAGAGGTGGGAGAAAGGCTTGTGATTTCCGCCTCTATGCCTCATGGTCGTGGTGGTGCTGGTGCTAGTGTGTTTTCCCCGTCTATCCCCCCGTCCCCTTCTCATCACGGCCACATTGCATGTGTGCGGCCAGGGAGGAGATGGAGGCCACTCCGGCCTTCGACGTGGAGCTGGGGGTGCGACTGGCGGAGGCGGCGTCTCAGGCGATGTGGGGTAGCGCCCACTACTGCGTGATGATGGACCCCATTCAGGTGAGCCTGGGGAAAGGGGGAAAGATCCACATCCCACCCGGGTTGCGCGTCGGGGTTGCGGACTTTGAAAACAGGCACGTTAACGCAGATATGGCCAGAGAGGCCACTCGCCCAGAAAGGAAACGTCCTGAGTCCCGCGCAGGGGGGCATTTCAGTCCAGGTTAAGGTAGCGGGGCCTTAAGGAGAAGGGATTACAGGAGGAGGCATGGCGGGGTTAGAGCTCTCGTGACTGAGGAAGCTCAGGATTTCAGGGGCTTCCCAGTACGGCTTCCCAGTACGGGTTTGGTTTAAGGTACGTAAAGGAGTGCTGCACGCTGTTCCGTCGGCCTGCAGCCCCCGCCACGCTGTAAAGGATCACGAGAGGCCTTCCCCCGTGCTCGTTTTCGTTGTGACTCTAAATTCACGGGCACCCACCACCCTCGTCATCCCATCAGCACCCCCAATGCTCTCACAACCACCACCACTACCCCTCTCCACCGTCCCCCACCTCAACAACAAGAACAACAACAACTCCCCTAACGTACTAACCTTATTCGCGTTACCACAGGTCAAAATGGAGCACATCTCGCAGCTGGGGGTTATGGGCATGGACTGCTACAACACCGTTGCACTGCCGCTCTCCCGCGTGGCCCACTGCATCACCGCCTCGCTGGCCACCCTCTCCGCCAACCCCGACGCTGCAACCCTCATTATGAACTCGCCCGGCGACGTGGCGCTCAACTTCCTGATGGCCATGCTAGATGCCATCGAGACGCAGAACTTTGAGCAGGCGGGTCACGTCAAGGCGTCGGCGTGTGCGGGCGTGGCGTTCCTGGCGTGTCACCCCATTGGTGCCGAGGGCGACGAGTGCATGTATGGGCCCTTCCGTGCCAAGCTGCTGGCGATGGGCGCTTTCGGAGCGCTGCTGCGGGCGGCGCTGAGCAGCGTCATGGAGTCGGACTGCGACCGTATCATACAGCAGGTAGGAGAGGGGAGAGCGCGAGGGCCCGCGAGGGAAAGAAAAGATGGACAAGAACAATCACAAGCGCAGGGGCCGGGGCCGCATCCTCTCATCGTCCTCCCTTCTCGCTCCTTCTGCTATATATATCCTTCCTCTTCCTAACTCCCAAGGCAGGAGAACACCAGGTCTGGACCATAAGGCAGTCTTTGGGTGATTACAAAGAGGGGGGAAGGAAAAAGTGCAGGATTACACTCTGATTACGGTTGGATCACCTGCAAAGTGACATTCATTCATTCACTACAACCCGGCTCGTTTTTTTACTTCTCATCACTTATTTATATCACTCGGTCGCCCTCACCTCACCTTGATTCTCGTTCTTAACAACTCTCTGGCTCCTGCGCTGATGGCGTGTTGGCCCCTGCAGGCTGCCGCCATTGGTCTGATGTACCTGTCCACCATGGCGGGTGCCGTGGACCCCGCAGAGCTGGCCATGTACGCGGCGCTGCTGACGGACAGCGACAACAGCGAGATGATCGAGTTCCTCATGGCGGGAATGTGGATCCTGCTGCGTAACGGAAACAACAGAAAGGTACGGAGAGGCGGGTGGAGGTCTGGGGAAGGCGCGGAGGGGGCGCTTTGGCGATTGGCGTCTGTGTGTGTGTGTGTGTGTGTGTGTGTGTGTGTTGGAACCTGCTGCCCCACGCACCCACCTTCACCGTATTGCATGTGGTTTAGGTTCCATGTGAGCGGCCCATGGGCGTGTTTGGCGCTTCAGCGCTTTGGGCTGCGCTCACCCTTTTACCTGGTGGCTTTACCCGCCGGCCCTGTCCATGTCCTTTCCCGCCTCAGGTCCTCGGCACGTCCTTCAACCCCTCGCCCGCGAACCAGCTGGCCAAAAATATGATCAACAAGCTGAATGACGCCATTACATTGCACGAAATTAATGACGAGGTAGCTGCTAAGACGGCCAAGCTGCGCCAGGTGGTATCGGCTGGGGCGGAGTCAGCCACGACACAGCGGTCTGCGGCGGACGGCAGCGTGTACGACGGCCAGGAAGGCGGCGACGCTACGGGCCGTGATGCCGGCGCCGAGGGAGTTGACGGCGACGCCGCCGCCGCCGCGGCCATGGAAGATACGGAGGAGCTGGACCGACAGCAGCAGCTGCAAGGGGAGGAGGCGATGGCGGCGGGAGGCGCTGAGGACCGGGCAGCGGCCGATGCAGCGGCCGGGGAAGAAGCGGCCGGGGCAAATCAGGAAGGCGACGCTGCGGCAGTGGAGGAGGGTGCCATGGAGGCGACGGCCTTTGGACTTGAAATTGAGCCGACGCCGCCGCCGGTTGCGTCCGAGCCGAGTGCAATTGAAGCAGAAGATGGCGCCGGCGTTGTCATTGGCGGCGGCGGCAGCAGCAGCCGCTTGCCGACGGCCCCAGGCTCCACCACTGCTCGTAGCGATCGAGCACGAGGGCACTCCAGCACGCGCTCTCGCGAGGGTGATTCCGGAAGTCATGAGCGGCCCTTCCCTGGAGCCATGATGATCCATCGCAGCGAGTCACGGGACCGAGTACGGCGCAAGGCGGAGGTCATGAAGGGCCGCATGCAGCAGGTTCGAGGTCGGGCTGGGTGTGCGCCCCGTCGAATCCATTTTTTCTCATATAAATGGAGAAAAAAATGGGAGATGCTTTTGCAATTGGTATCGGACTTGGTGCAGGTTTGCGCTCATTTAACATGAAGATGGCAAATGATGCAGAGATCAAAGAATATGAAGGTTATAAAAGTCTATAATCCTCACCGCTTAAACGAGCGGCAACCTGTGATAAAGATACATTAATTAATTAATTAATTAATTAATTAATTAACAAAATGGCTGTGTAGTCAAGATGTAGTCAATGGCTGGGTTCAGGCTGAGCTGAGGCTTGCGCTGGACTAAGGCCGAGCTGCGCTGCCTCACCTTCGTCCTCTTACGGACCGGAGGAGGTCTTACCTGGTGGTGTTACCTGTGTTACTGGTTTGGTTGTGAAACCCTGCGATAACCCCTGAATCTCCGCCCTGTCGTGGTTCTTCGCAGCTTGAGAAGCGGTTCGACAAGCAGCTCAAGGACAACTGGGGCTTGGAGACGCTGGTGTCTGTGGGGGAGTCCTGGCTGCCGGCCATGCTGGATCAGGACGAGGTCAGTTAGTTGGTTGGTGGCCCGTGGGGCTTGCGGCAAGCGTGTGGCACAGCCGTTGCGACTTGGTTGTTTTCTGCTATCCTGGTGTGCAACGCCCTTGCTGTTTGGGGTGCGTGGTTGTGCAGGTGGGTGCGGTGAAATGAGGGATAAAAAGCTTTGGTTGAGGATACGAAGACACCAACGTTTGCGTTCCCTTTCTCAGCTCACGCTCTCGCGCGCGTGTGGCAGGCGCGAACATTCTCGGCTGCCGTCGTCACGCTGATGCAACCGCATTGCCTGACTGTAGACGCGTTCCGTAGGGCTGATTGAATGGCCTTGAATGGCTGCTGCTTTTTTGACTGCGGCTAGCTTACCTGTTTTTTCTGGCAGTGGTTGTATGTGTATTTGTTTGGTTGCTCCTGACTGGTTGCGGTTTCCTCCCCCCTCCTGCAGGACGGCGAGGCCACCGACGTTCCCGTGCTCAAGCTGTTTGAATTCCTGGTGGCGTCCATCTGTATGTTCATGGTGGATGATGACGGGGTTCCGGAGCGCAGGGAGCTGGACGTCTTCCGACTGTCAGCACCGGAGGGGGCACGACAGTAAGTACGAGGCGGTGTATGACAAGAGAATGCGCAGCAAACACAGTAGCGTGTGTGAGCACACGGCGAAGGCGAAGCGCAAAGGTTGCATTCGAGCACTGTTGAGGACGTCATATGGCACCTTGCAGTGCCACCACTCGTGCCTTTTCAATGCGACCCGCAGCCTACAGAAACCACCACGCACGTGCATGCAACACGTTCCTACGCGCCAGGGCAGCTTGGACTATTGGGGCAGCTTGCCGCGCTGTGCGTCTCTGCAGCAACGGCAGCGGCGCTGCAGCACACGGAAACAAATGTGTTGCAGTCACACTTGGGTGTTGGCGGTGAAGTGCATATGTGCACGAGTGGGGGTGGGTGAATGGGATAATGAATTGAAAATTGATAGCGGAGTAAGAGATAGATCGATAGTACCTCTATATGGGATTCGGGATTCGTGCCCCTTAACCAGAACCCGTTCCCTGATTCGAATCCCGAAACCAAACCCCGTTCCGCCTTCCGATTGTTCCTGCTGACGTCTCCTGCTGACGTCTCCTGCTGCTGCTGCTGCTGCTGCTGCCGGCGCCTGTCCCTTCCGCCGCTGGTGCTGGTGGCCGCGGTGCGGGTCCTGCGTCGCAGCAAGACTTGGTGGACCGTGGACGTGCGCGCACCCGAGTCGGACGGCAGCGTGGACTCCGACACGGAACGAGCGCTGCGCATTCTATTGCAGATCCTCGGCATGCATCTGTCGGCCGCGTGGAAGTCCATGCAGCTAGGTGAGCTACCCGCTTTGCATGTGGGCTACCTCTTGACCCCGTCGCGTCCCCGCTGCTTGTGGCTGCTCGTGGAAACGTCGGTGTTCATGCATTTGACCTTCCCTGAAGGTCCCATTCCATTCCCCATTCCACCCAATGCACCCACCCTCCTCACTCCTCGCCTCATCCTCCTCGCACGGTCGCATCCATGCCCGGACGCAAACTCCCTGCCGCATTTGGTGCTTTGGGCGTCTGCACAACTCCGGCCACACACCACCTTCATTGCCCCCACCACCACCGCCCTTACGCTGGCGGTGTCTGTCTGTATGTCTGTATGCGTGTATATGTGTGTCTCTATCCTCACCTCCTCGCCACACAGGCGTGTTGACGCTTTGGAACGCCTGCTGCCGCCACCCAAACATGGAGCGCCACGTGGTGGAGCGCGGCGTGGCACTGAAGCTGCTCATGGTGATCAACAACCCCTCCTGGCCGCCTTCCCTGCGAGAGATCTCCGCCGGCTGCCTGGAGTTCTTCCAGGAGCGTTGGTCCAACCTGCAGACGTTTGGGTCCGGTGAGCCGCACCTGATGCCGGCGGGGCTACCGGCGGAGGTGTCCGGACTCACCGTGGGTGCTCGTCCAACCGACGGCGTGGTGCCCTACACGGCGGCCATGGTGGGGCTTATTAACACGCAGGTACCCCTCATGGAGTACCGCGGCTGCCATGGCCTCGCTCGCATGACGTACACCGCGCCTTACGGCTGTCCCGACTCCAAGTCCTTCCTCCGCGAGGCGAAGGCCGTCGCCACGGCGCTGGGTGCTGTCGAGGCCCTTGTGGCGCTCATGAAGCGCCTAAATAGGCGGTACCAGGATTTGGGGCCAGCTGGCGCGCTGCCGGGCACGTTCCGCCCGGTTGGCAGCGCCTCTGGCATGGGACCGACGCCGCCAGTGGCGGCGCCGCCGCCGCAGGGGGCGGCGTCAGCCGCTACCGCCGCCGGAGGCAGGATTTACTCCCCCGGCGAGGAGAACCCCGCCATTTTTGAGCGCGACATGCACAACTTGGAGGCAGTTCAGGATATTTACTTTGTGGCCATGGCGGCGTTGCTCAACATGTCGGTCCTGCGCGCCAACCAAGTGCCCGTTGCGCGGCGGGGCCTGCTGGTGCTGTTGGGCACCAACACCGTTTTCTATAATCGGGTAGTCGCGCTGCGCGCGCAGGTGAACGCCACGCGGCCGGGCGCGCAGGGCGCTGCTGCGGGTGCTGATGCGCTGGCACGTGAGGAGCAGCTGCTGTACCTGTGCTCCGCTATCCTGCAGAACATATCGCAGGTACATGAGGAGGAGGGGTAGCAGAAGGGAAGGGGTGGAGGGGAAGGGGGAGGAGGAGGGAAAGGGAGTTGTTTCTGACCTCTTTAACCTCTCGCAATGCGTCAGTCTCCTAACCTCCCCCCGCGCCCCCCACTTCCCCCCTTACACTGCAGCACCCGCACAACCGCACCCGCATGTACAAGGCAGAGCTCAAGGGCAGTGTCGCTCTGGACAAGGTCATAGAAGCCGCCACCGATGTGGACGAAAAGACCCTCACCGCCGCGTCCTTCCTGCCCTCCATCTCCAGCGCGCTTTCCATCTCCGCATCGCCCAGCGCCATGTCCGTTGTCTCTGCAGCACCGCGGCTGGTCTCCGGAGGCGGTGGCGGCAACAAGGCCGGCGGTCGGGCCGGGCCGGCTGCGACTACGGCTGTGGCCAGCAGTCGTGTGGCCGGGGCGCTCACACCCAATCCTAGCTCTGCGCGGATGGTCAGCCCGTCACGACGAGCGCTGTCCAGCCCTAAAACTTCACCCAACGGCATGGTAGGAATGGTTGGGCGTGTGTAATGCAGTGGGTAGCAGCGAAGAGGGCTGCTTGAGGAGGCGCAAGTAGGAGGCAGTGGGAGATGGGAAGCGGCATGACACGGTCCCATTCAAAACCTATCCTGTGATCTCCCGGCTGGCCTTCATTCCATCATCTGCACACGCAACCCACACCGACGTATGGGTCTAAATGTCTGTGTGTTGTTTGACCTTTTAATATTTCGCGTCGTTGCGTTGCTTACAAAGATGCAACGAGCTCATAAGGGCGCTGCGGGCCCCTAGAGCTAAAGAAGCAACAAAGGACTGCCCCATGCCCAGGCGTCCATGCATGTCCATCCATCCATCCATCCATCGCCCATGCCCTCCGCAACCGTTCTCCCAGTGTTCTCCCTTCCCATTGCTCACCCCTCTGCCGCCCTCTTCCCATTGCTCACCCCTCTGCCGCCCTCTTCCCATTGCTCACCCCTCTGCCGCCCTCTTCCCATTGCTCACCCCTCTGCCGCCCTCTTCCCATTGCTCACCCCTCTGCCGCCCTCTTCCCATTGCTCACCCCTCTGCCGCCCTCTTCCCATTGCTCACCCCTCTGCCGCCCTCTTCCCATTGCTCACCCCTCTGCCGCCCTCTTCCCATTGCTCACCCCTCTGCCGCCCTCTTCCCATTGCTCACCCCTCTGCCGCCCTCTTCCCATTGCTCACCCCTCTGCCGCCCTCTTCCCATTGCTCACCCCTCTGCCGCCCTCTTCCCATTGCTCACCCCTCTGCCGCCCTCTTCCCATTGCTCACCCCTCTGCCGCCCTCTTCCCATTGCTCACCCCTCTGCCGCCCTCTTCCCATTGCTCACCCCTCTGCCGCCCTCTTCCCATTGCTCACCCCTCTGCCGCCCTCTTCCCATTGCTCACCCCTCTGCCGCCCTCTTCCCATTGCTCACCCCTCTGCCGCCCTCTTCCCATTGCTCACCCCTCTGCCGCCCTCTTCCCATTGCTCACCCCTCTGCCGCCCTCTTCCCATTGCTCACCCCTCTGCCGCCCTCTTCCCATTGCTCACCCCTCTGCCGCCCTCTTCCCATTGCTCACCCCTCTGCCGCCCTCTTCCCATTGCTCACCCCTCTGCCGCCCTCTTCCCATTGCTCACCCCTCTGCCGCCCTCTTCCCATTGCTCACCCCTCTGCCGCCCTCTTCCCATTGCTCACCCCTCTGCCGCCCTCTTCCCATTGCTCACCCCTCTGCCGCCCTCTTCCCATTGCTCACCCCTCTGCCGCCCTCTTCCCATTGCTCACCCCTCTGCCGCCCTCTTCCCATTGCTCACCCCTCTGCCGCCCTCTTCCCATTGCTCACCCCTCTGCCGCCCTCTTCCCATTGCTCACCCCTCTGCCGCCCTCTTCCCATTGCTCACCCCTCTGCCGCCCTCTTCCCATTGCTCACCCCTCTGCCGCCCTCTTCCCATTGCTCACCCCTCTGCCGCCCTCTTCCCGTACATCCCCCGACGACGGAATCCATCAGATCCTGAACAACAGCATCGACACGGCACTTGCGAGCAGTGTGCGCCCCAAGGTGGTGTTCCCGCCAATCTGCGAGCGCAGCAGCTTTGAAACGGGGCAGCCGCAGCGCTACCCGAGCGCCGGCGGGGCAAGCAATGGCCCGGCAAACCGGGCAGGCAGCACGCACAGCACGAGAAGTGAGTGTGTGTGTGTGTGTGTCCAGCCGGGGTTCGGGGGTACGGGTACGAGTGTGGCTGTGGAGTGGAGTGGTGTAGTGTGTGTGGGGGGAGGGCCGGGAAAGGGGCACTGCTCCCCCCCGGCATGTTTCCTGTCGCGTTAAACATCACTGTTTTCACCTTGTACCACGTTTTCCTACCCCACCCCACCCCACTGCCTCCCCTGCGTCAGGCGGCATGGCAGACGACAACGGCGTGGAGGCGGCGGAGGTCAGCGATAGCGGCGCTTCCACCTTGCGACATGTGCCCGTCACGGACTCCCGGTACCGCTTCCTCTCCTGGATCGACAACACGCTCAACGAAATCGAAGTGAGCATTACGTGGAGATGGAGCGGTCTCCGCCCGCCTGCCCGCCCGCATGCATGCATGCACCTCAGTGGCTTGCCCCTGCTCTCTGTGCAGCGTGCAAGCAGTGTCAGCATAGGGCCCAAAAGTCCCATCATGAGGGCAACTCCCCGTCCCACCCCTTTCGTCTGGCTGGTGGTCGTAACATCCTTAATAGTCTGGAAGGATGTGTTTGTTTCTTCTCATTACGGCATCCTGCATGATAATTCCCTCCTCTCTCCCCCCCTCCCCTTACGAAACCGCCCTCTTTTCGCCCGAAAATCCCGAAATGCCCTCTCCGACAGCCGACGAGCTCTTCCATGACTTTCCCGGGTCGAGGGAAGGGCGCCGGCGCCGCCTCCGTCGCTGCCGACGACCGCACCGTCTCCGCCAGCCGCGCGCCCACGCACCGCAAGCCGTTGTGGGACGAGAACGGCGAGTGGCTGCCCAACGAGCCCGAGTCCTTCAAGGCGCTCAACAAGCTGCTAGCACGGCCGCTGAGTCACCTGTGGCAGGAGATGCCGGAGCACAGGGCGCGGCAGGGCAGGCAGCGTTGGGAGCCCATAGTGTCCGAGTACCGGGAACTGCAATCTGACAAGCCCCTCACGCGCCCCGCCGCCAAGCTGTTGTCCACATTGCCGCCCAAGGACCAGGAGGAGCTGCTGGTGGCGGCAACGCAGCTAGTGGGGCTGGTGCCGGACGTACGGCCGTCGGAGGACGGCAGCCGTGCTGGATCCGGCGGCGGTGTCGGCGGCGGCGGCCTGGGCTCGATTGCGGATGAGTTTGGATTTGCGCCTCCGCCTTCCAGCGGTGGCGCTGACGGTGCCGCCGGCGGCGGCCGCGTCAACGGCGGCACGCCGCAGCAGCCGCTGCCGCCATCCAGCATGGCGAGCGTCCTGGCTGGGGAGTTCAGCATGGATATCACCAAGCCGTCGCCGTCAGCTGCGTCGTGGACTGACGGGCCGCCTCACCGGCCGTCCACGAGGGAGCGGGAGAACGGGCGGGTGGGCCTGACGGTACTGCAGGCGGCACCGGACGTGCTGGCCGCCACGGCAGCGCGCAAGGCAGCTGAAGCCGCCGCCGCCGCCGCTACGCACTTTGGCGGCGTGGGCATGGACATCAATACGGACGGCGACGGCGCCGCCAGCGACGGTGAGGGCACCGGGCGCAAGCCGGTGCCGCTCAAGGTTTGCTTACACCCCCGCAGGCCTCGACAAGTCATTACCTTTGAGGACCGCATTATTGTGGACGCGGCCTCTACACGACCTACCCTGACGCTCTTTGAGCACGTAGAGGGGTCTAAGGTTTCGGAGGGGCTTTTCCCGTCCTACATCCTGCCTAACGGTAAACGCGCGCACATGTACTACAGCGGCGGTACGCTACTGGACGAGGTGAGCGTGGAGGCCGTTATTCCGCCGCCGCGACCCTCTACGGTACCGCAGGCGCTGCAGCAGACGATGCCGCTTGCCAACGTGCTCAACCTCATCGCCAAGCCACCCGGCAGGTACGGCACTGTACGGAGCAGTACTGCAGGACATGTAGACTGCTGAACTGTTGTAAACAGCACCGGTACGAGTAGGCGGGTGGGCGGGAGTGTCGGAAGCATGGGAACGCGGACCCCTAGGCTATCTGGAACAGGGACGGAGGCGCCGGGAAGAGCCCCGTGCGAGAACACTCCGTCGCAGTGCGCACCTGCGTTGCCAACATACGCACCTACCCGCGCACCGTAACCAGCCCCATCTGTCAGGCGCCTTGCCGATCCGTGTTCCTGTCTCATTCTCAGCATCAATTTTTCAATATGCAGAGGCGCTTCGCACAGCCGCTAAATTGTTCTCTTGTTCTCTTGAAGTATATGAACACCATTTACTCGGAGCACTCCTCGGGAACCCTAAGGCATAACTCACACGTCCCCGCCCTCTCTCTCTCTCTCTCTCTCTCTCTCCGGGGCCACGACGGACAGTGCGCCGCCGTTCATCCCGTACAAGCCCGTGCCGCGGCTGGTACCGCTGCCGTCCATGCACACGGTGACTGTGAAGCGGCCCGACCAGCTGGTGGCGGAGGCGTTCGGTGACCTGCGGGAGGACAACCTGCAGCTGGTCATCCAGGCCAAGAAGATCATCAAGACGCAGACCACCACGCGCGTGGAAAACATTGAAATCAAGCCCCAGGAGGAGAGGGAGCCGTGGACGCTGCCCAACTCCATCTTCAAGAACCGTGTCAAGGAGTGCGACGCGCGGGCGTTTTACGATGCACACCAGGTGGGGCTGGGGAAGGGGTTGGGGTTGGGGGAAGGGGAGGGGGAAGGACCTTGTGGGGAAGGAAAGGAAGGGGAAGGAAGGACGGAGGTGCTGCGCGTGCCGCTCAGATCTGTGGCCCTGAGTTCATGAGTTATGGAGGATGGATGTCGCATGTATGCGAAGTGCTCAGGGTTGTGAAGGTAATCAAGAGTTTTTTTCGCCGCGTTTTGCGTTAGGGTTGGTGGGCTGAGGGGATGCGGACTGTGTGGTGTGATTTTTACTGATTCTCTTTACTGATTCCAAATTATTTTTATTGCTCTCACCTCTACCTGAATCTGGTTCCTTTGGGCCACACGCAGGTGGAGGAGCGCATGTTTGAGCGCGACTGGCAGCGCGCCTGCTCCAAGGAGAAGTTCACCAGCATGATGTCACGAGAAAACAAGGCCAACAAGGAGGGCAAGGACGAGAAGGTGGCCATCAAGGAAATCCACGACGTGCTGCTAAGGCACTGGCCGCAAGTGTACGGCGCCTACGTGTACTACGCCGCTGGCGGCACTGGCGACCCCTACCACATGTCGCTCAATGCCTTCACCACGTTTCTGGATGATTGCGGCATAGCCGACCCCGAGTCGCAGTACTGCAAACGATCTGATTGCGACACCATCTTCATTGTGTGCAACTTCCAGGTGGGTTTGGGTTTGGTTGTGGGTGCATGGAAATCGCGTCAACGCATCTCTGCGTGTCTGTGACTGAATACTGATCCCGTGTAACTGAACAACGGATTTTTATAACCACATAACTTATCTAGTTTCACGGATGGAATGGGAACATGAGTTTGAGTGTTCGGACCTGCATGCGGGTGCGTGTTTTAGTGGGTGGTGTAAAAGTGTAGTAGAGATGTCGCCACCTCTTACCGGACCCTGTACCTTGTTGTTGCTGTTGTTACAGATTGGGAGGCCTCTGTGCCACTTGAGCACCTATATCTGACGCTTTTCCCTCGTCTGCTCCTTCCTATATCTATCTCCCCTGTCGCGCGTCTCGCAGCCGGACAAGAAGAGCGCCGAAGCGGCGGTCAACATGGAAAACGCCATGATGCGATACGAATTCCTGGAGGCTATTGTGCGACTGGGTGAGAGCAACTGGGGAGCATGGGGAAAATCCGGGGGGAAGGGGAGGGGGAAATGGGAGGCGGTGCAGAGCGGTGTTTCGGGGGTTTGGGGTTTGGGGGGGATGGAGTCCGGGTGGTGACAAGCAAGTATCATCATGGTCGGGGATGGTGCTTAGGGTTTCCATCCCCTCTCCATACACAGATACACGCATGTGCCGCGTCTAACCGTCCGCGGATCATTGTCCTTTCATTGCCTTCCTTCATTACTTTTCTTATTATCTTTTCCGCGCAGCCATCGCCAAGTACGGCAAGGGCCAACAAACCGACGATCTGGGTACCGCTGTGACGATGCTCATCGAGCGGAACATTCTTCCCCACCTCGTGCCCGGGGCGCTGCTCAACTCCAACACCTTCCGTACAGAGAGGCTGTACCACGAGGAGGTACGGCAAGGATTGCGTGTGTGTCATGTATGTGCGTAAGCACAGCCCTTGCGTGCACAGCCCTTGAATGGATCTTTAGCTTTTAGCTTTGTAAAGGCGGCTGCGAGGGCGCTTTGCTGAGTCCCGAGAGAGGCGAGCGGTCGGCAGACGCTGATGTTGAAGGAGGGCAGACCGGTAGGGGCAGCACATGGTTGTGACGCACACCATCGCATCATCATAGCGTGCAGTGTTGTCCATTGCGTCGTGAATTGTCATGGCAGAGACACGCACACGCACACACACGCACACGCGCGCGCACAGGTTTCCCAGCTAAAACAAACCTTTGTGCTCTCTTTGTTCCAACTGATGACTGAACCTTCGCCGTGCCTGCTCGCCATCCCCCCCCACCTGCCTCTCCTTGGGTCTGATATAAATTTCTTAAACTCTCCCTCCCTCATGCCCCCTCCCTCATGCACACCCCGTCCCGGGCCCCCTCCAACGCCCCTCCTGCAGGTGGACCAGGTGTTCAAGAAGCACAGCGTGCTGCTCAAGGCGCTGTACAGCCGCTACCGCCTCAAGCCCGTGGGGGGCGGTCTGCGGCCCAAGGTGCTCAAACTGGACGGCTGGCTGCAGTTCGCGTCGGATGCGCAAATCATTGACAGCCAGTTCACGCTGCAGGTGGGTGGGTTGGATTGGAGGACAGAGCAGGTGGGTCGGGATGGGATGGGCTGCAAGAAGGAAAGGATCAACTGCTGGCGCCCAAAGCAAAGATACCAAGTACTGCTGGATGGCGGGTGGTGGCGAGGAGGAGTTTTGAGGAGGGAAGGGGAGGGGAGGGGCTTCTTGGGAGAGGAGTACATTTAAGGGTCCGGGGTAAGGCGTGTGTGTAATCACGCAAGGGGGGAAGAAGAATTGAGGAGTCCAAAATTGCAAAAAGAATATCATCACAATTCTTTCTATGTAGTTATTTTTGCCACGCCTTCACAAAACTTTCGTCTTCCAGTTCCCCTTTCCCTCTTGCTCCTATCATCCCTTTCTCCCCCTACCTCGACGTCAGCTGTTGATCCTTCGGTAATTTCGCATATTTCCCCGGCATTTGTTAATTCCCGTCCCCGTCCCCGTCGTCAACCCCACCCGCTGTTCTCTCCCCTGCCGGCCCCCACAGGACTCCGCGCTGTCGTTCTTGTGGGCACGCATGTACGTGATCGACGAAATTAAGGACTATGCGCGCTACACCTGCCTCTCCTTCACCGACTTCCTGGAGGCGCTTGGCCGCGTGGCGGACATGAAGTCGCTGCCCTCCTCGTCCGACCTGGACATGGCTGGCTACGACAACGTCCTCGAGTGGGCGCTAGACAAGGAGCGCATGGAAGGCGGCGGCCTGGAAAGCAAGGGCGGCGGCGGCGGTGGCGGCGGTGGCGGCGACGACGGCCCCGCTGGGCCCATGGGCGGCGGCGGCACGCTGGACATTTTCCGGCCGCGCCCTTCCGCTGGTTTCAGCACCCCCAAGACGCGACCACTCTACCTCAAGCTGGAGATGTTTCTGGACCTGGTATTTCGGCGGCTATACTGGGACCCGTCGCAACCGGAGGTACCCTTCAACTACGATGGCCTGCTCAAGCTTATCAAGAAGATCGACAAGGAGCTGGGCCCGTGAGGTGAATTTCTGTTGCCTGCTGGCAGGTCGGCGAGGTCGGCGGGAGAAGAGGAAGGACGGGGGGCAAAGCGGCCGCGACTTGCTGCGCGTGCTGGTGGACGGCGGCTGCCTGCCGGCGCGGGTGGTGGGTGGTGCGTGGTGGGTGGTCGGTGGTTGGTGTGGCTCCCCTCAGGGCTGTGTGCGCGAGCTGCTGCTGCTGCTGGTGCGGCAGCGGGGAAGCGCGGTACTAGTCCGCGGGTACTGGGTCTTTGTGTCGTTAAGTGCGGGGCCAGTTTGCGGGGCGTTGCGCAGGGTGGTGAGTTGCCCATGGCAAAAGGCTTTCGGCAGGTAAGGCCGGGGGTTGGGGTCGGGGGCGGGTGCTGGGAGCAGGAGGGGGCGGTGTGCAATATTTGGTGTACATAAAGTTGACATGAAGGCAGGGCGGTCAGGAGGTGATTGGATCCCGGCAGTCCGTGGCTATGCTGACCGCGGGTTAACGTGCTGCACAGGCGCGGTATCCTTCTTCAGGGGATGACACGGTCTCCTGGCTAAGGATGACTAAGGGGGGAAAGAGAAACCAGTAGTTTGGGATAAATTCAAATGCATTCTTGTGAAAGGGGTCTTGCATGACATCTTTGTTGGCGCTGCAGCTCACTGGGGGTGAGGGATATTTAATACGTGTATTGATACGCACTGGCGTATGTCTGTCTGTTTACCTGTCTGTTTGCCTGTGAGCTGTTTGACTGGTAGATTGTTCTCTTTGCTTTACCTGCCTTCCTAGGTGATGAACCGTTTGCAACGAAGCGGGGGTTAGGGCTGGCGGTAGAGCCGTGTTTTTTACAGCCTGCTGCTGCTGCTGCTGCTGCCGCTGCTGCTGCGCTCCCTGCGAAAGGGAGGCAGTTCTCGCCAGAAAGCAACTTTTCTTTCTGTCGCAGGGAAATAGGAGGTAGTTGTAGCAATGGTGCGGGGATGGCCGTACAGCACAATGGGGCATATCTTCGTGTGCGGTGTGTTGCAGTGGTGATCTCGGTGGTGGAGGTGTGGTGGTGTGGTGGTGTGATAACACAGGGAATCAGTCGCACGTGGTGCCGTACCAACTGCAGGACTTATGCGGTGACCTGGAAGCCCGGGGCATCGCTGCGGGTGGATTGAAGAGGCAGCTTGCAAGCGCAATACCATACCAGGGAGCAGTCTCCTCTCTCTCTCTCCCTCCCTCTCTCCCTCTCTGGGGCCGGGCACGAGCGCGTACACGCCAATCCGCCGTACGTTGCAAGTAAACGGACGCGTGACACGTGACCTTTGCCATGTGGGGCCTTTCCACGTGGGACCGAGCTTGCCCAAGCCTCCTACAAACCGAAACCACCGGCTCTCCTGCACGGATCAACGGTCAAAATCTCGGTGCTTGCGATCTTCGGCATTGTTGTTGCAGAAATCGGGTCGACGGGGTGTCGCGTGCTCTGCCCGAGTGCATGCGATGAACGCTGTCTGTTTTGCACGTGCAGGCACAGAAGCTGCTCCAGGGCGATGATTGCGTAGCTTTGCGCGGAGTTTCCTGGAGTTGGCTTCCTCTCTAATATTGTCGTCGCGTACGTAGCGTAGCGTAGCGTAGCGTTCATCAGGCAGAGGTGTTACTGTTGGGGACACGGTGGCGTGTATGAAGTGCTGCACACACGAACCTTACGGTGCGCACTTCCATCCTTGCGTATGTACTGTACATGCGGTCGCGTGTTAAATTCATCCAAATATGTAATGGCGTGTAAAGCTCTGGAAAATTATGCTGGCTGAGTTCCTGTGGCCTGACACCTTGCTCCACGCTTGCTGAACTAAATCTGTGGGCAGTTCCTTACAGCCCTGCTTACACCTGAGGCTCAGGAGTCGGGCGGACGGCGGGATGACACGCTTTGGAGAGCGCTGCTTCTTATGCTAGGAGCTGAAACGGCTATCTATCGTTGCGGCTGTAGACCACGACCGTCCCGAGCCAAAATAATGAAAGCGGCATCTTCATCTTATCCTAGTAATGCTGAAATCTAGCACCAGGCAAAACTTAACAGTCTGATGAGACCGTTGTCATGGCCAACCGTCGATTCCTTTGCAACGAAGCATCTAGATCTAGATTGTCGCCAAACCCTCTCGTTTAGCAGGACGGCTCTTGAACATGCCCCCAAACCACTTTATGCAAGGGCCGCGGATTGCGGAACGCTGCGGGCACATCCACAGCATGATCCCCATGTTGGCGAACGATTATCACCCGCCGACCCTTAACACCAGTCTGAGTTCTGGGTGCCTCCGAGGCTACAGGACGACCAGTTTTGAATTCGCACGTGGAACTTTTAGAGTAAAATTCCATACCCCTCACTGTGCTTCACGCAACGCGTTTGCCGCACAATTTGCAATGGCGGTTACAGACTTGTTTCCGCCGACTGTGTGAGCATGCAAGCGTAGCGTTTCGCAAGGTTTCGCCAAAGCGCTTCAAGTAGACTCTGAAGGTGTTTGTCGTGTGTGCTGGATTTTTTCGAGGCGACCCCGGGATGGGCAAGGAGAAGCCGTTGAAAAAAGCTGTTAAAAAAAGCTCGAGTTCCTTTGGAAAAAGCGGTCTTGATCCTTTGATGTTTTTTTGTTTTGCGGCAAGCAGCTACGTTTAGCTTCGGACTGCTTCGGATAGGGGCTACATGGCCGCCGCGGCCATCCTGCCATATGTCCTGGGTCTTCGTGGAGGCCCCTGGAACGACAGAAAATTTTTCCGGACAGTGGCACGCATTTACTGCTGCCATGTGGGTTTCATATGGGCTGCTTAGAGCTGGGGGGCATATGCGCCGACCCGATAGTCACAAGGACAACTTCAAATTTTTTTCAGGTACGGTATTCTACCCACAAAGCGTAATCTTTATACCATAATGACTTTGATGCACGCGAGGAAGCTTGGGGGATGCTCTGCACCGAGAGTCATGGGCAGTCCTGAACACAGGTCCAAGTAACGTGTAGAAACCGCAGCCAATTGTGGCATCAAGTAGCCTTAATCCGTCCCATAAGCCAGTGCCCGCAGTCATGCAGAAGGTACTTACAAACTATTTGAAAGCCGTGTTGCGGATACGAGGGCATTACTTCTGCATGCGCAGAGCTGTACGGCACTTTGCTGTACGGCTACTTCCAGGTACGGGATTTGACGTGAATTGGAAGCTGCCCTAACGGAGACTTCACGTTTCAGACAAAACACGATTTTTGCACGGATCTTCTATGTGCAGGTCGAAATAGGGCAGCGCTAATTCTAATTGCACGCGAGCCTCGTTCGAATATGACTACCAGGCAGCTGTCAAGCTCATGTTAGTTCATAGCTGAATGATGGAGCTGCTCAAGAAAAATACAGCAAAGCGGGAGCCGGAGCAGCGAACTGTTCGCATCAACACCGGCGAGCATGACAAGAGCTACGCTGGCAATTATACCAGCACCACAAAATATAACCTTTGGACTTTTCTTCCAAAGGCGCTTTTCGAACAATACAGGTGATCAGCACAGCAGGGGCAGCCATGTATGGTATGGTGGCACAAGTCGGTCAACTGCCCCATTCCGTTGCAGACGTGTGGCCAACATATACTTCACGCTTGTAGCTGCTCTCTCGTTGACGCCCTTCTCGCCTGTGCGGTAGGTCTGGAACGCGTGCCTCGGGGTTTGCAGTCAGCGGCGCTTACTAGTCGAACCTGTGACCTTGAAGGGCATGGACGACATGGACTCCGCTGGTCATTGTGCTTGGAGTGGCCATGATAAAAGAAGCAATCGAAGACTACAAGCGCTACAAGTTGGACAAAGAAATTAACAATCGTGCAGTCCAGGTTTTGGACCCAGAGAAGGGCGAGTACATCACCCGGACTTGGAAGGACGTTCGTGTGGGCGATATACTCGTCGTCAAAAAGGATGAGCAGTTCCCGGCGGACCTTCTCTTTCTCACATCGGAAACTGAGGAGGGCACATGTTACAATGAGACTATGAACTTGGATGGGGAGACTAACCTGAAGATTAAGAAGGCCCCCGATGAGACAAAAGACCTAGGGGAGCAGGACTTCGTTCAGTTTCGTGAGGCGGTTATCCAGTGCGAGGGCCCAAACCCACGCCTCTATCAGTTTACTGGGAACCTGTTGCTCGACGGCAAGACGCTACCCATCAGCCCGAACGCCATCCTCCTGCGTGGTTGCAACCTGCGCAATACGGAGAAGGTCGTAGGTGCTGTAATCTACGCGGGTACGTTGCCAACGCACACTGTGTTTTTGGGTACATGCAGTCCTGCGCCAATAGGTGTAAACTGGGATGGTTTCTATGAGTTAGCCTGTTTGCCATTTTAGGATTTTAAATGGGCTCAATGCATGTGCACGCCGGTCCTGGTAGCTGATTGTGCTGCATCAGAAGTACGGCAATCAGTTTACTTCCTCCCCTCAGGCCACGAGACCAAGATATTTAAAAATGCGGCTCCGGCGCCTTCGAAGCGCAGCCATGTGGAACGCATTGTGGACAAAATCATTTTCTTCATGTTTTTCTTGTTGTTCTCGTTCTGCATCGTGGGTTCCATCTTTTTCGCCGTGTGGACGAAGGACCACATGGAGAACCACTGGTACCTATCGCCGGCCACGGGCAAGAGCCAGTATGATCCGGACAACCCCGGATTCGTGGGATTCGCGTCCTTCATTACGTCCTTCATCTTATACGGTGAGCAACCTAACAAGGGGAGTATAAGGGGCCTGAGTTTGGGGTTCACGGACAGCTACTGTTTGCTCGGGGTAAGGGCTCGGCTCGGGGTAAGGGGGGGCTCGGGGTAAGGGGTACGTGTTCACGATGTAAGGATGGAGACCGGGGATTCAATACGTAAACCTATCGACAAATGATGTGTGAAACGGGAGCCTCAGCACCATGAAGGGGTAGCATGACCGGAAACACCCTGGCCTACCTACCTGACGACTGCTGCCCATATAGGGTACCTCATCCCCATCTCGCTGTATGTGTCCATGGAGCTGGTCAAAATTGCCCAGTCCATGGGCTACATTAACAACGACCGTGACATGTACCACGCGGAAACGGACACGCCCGCTCTGGCACGCACTTCAAATCTCAACGAGGAGCTGGGTATGGTGAACACAATTTTGTCAGATAAGACCGGCACGCTTACACGCAATGTCATGGAATTTTTCAAGTGTTCCATCGCGGGCGTGTCTTACGGCGCGGGCATCACCGAGATTGAGAAGGCGAATGCTCTGAGGTATGCACGCGGATACAGGATGCCCCATGGTCTAGTACGAGATTGGAATCTGCTGCGAAGTGTTAGATCGGGTTTGGCTTGGACTAACAGTACCCAGCAAATCGTTGCATGGAACTTTTGCATGGGTTTACCAGGCACTGGCTTCCTTTACACCCCTGCGTGCGCGGGATATGTATATGTACCCGCGACGCCTAAAATTCATGGCCCTACACAGACATAACACGCATAACGATACGAGGCGGGGGCAGAAGTGTCAGGCAAGGGTTAACTGTACGAACAGCTAATAGAAGAATGCACAGAGAATGGGGAAACGGAGAAGGATGGCAAGGATACCTGAAAATTACGCTTTACTGCTATCACGACCACCAGGAAGGGCATTACGCTGGATGACCGGGACAAGCCTGAAGCTGCGAAGCACCGTGAGCGATACTTTAACTTCTATGACGAACGGCTCATGGGCGACGCGTGGTTCACAGCAAAGGACCCTGAGATCATCGAGATGTTCTTCCGGCTGCTAGCGGTTTGCCATACGGTCATCCCCGATGGACCCACGGAACCGCACACAATCAAGTACGAGGTACGTATGCCTTTGTATGAAACAACGTAGCGACGGTTTAACAGGTCTTGGGGTGAAGGTAATGAAGTGGAGGGTGGAAAGGTTACCCGTAAAAGGTGGGGATGGCTTGTCCGCCTCCGTATAGACAGACCTAAGTAAGATCGACCGCGCGTAGTATCTGGTGCCCAGGTGTCCTAGGGAATTACTAACTTTTAGGTCAACATGCTGGACCTATGTATGCAGCTGCTGATTAGGACCGCCTTCATGCGGCCGTACCGCAGGCTGAATCCCCAGACGAAGCGGCACTTGTCGTTGCCGCTAAGGCCTTTGGGTTCTTCTTCTACAAGCGCACGAACACTACGGTTTCAGTGCGTGAGCATACTGCGCGAGGCGACCATGACGTGGAGTACGAGGTGCTCAACGTGTTGGAGTTCACATCCACTCGCAAGCGTATGAGCGTGGTGATACGGGACAAGTCACAAGACAAAATCATTATCTTCACCAAGGTAAGAGAATACCCTTCATGTTGTTTTACGAAACCTCTTCCTGGGATTGCTCTCCAAAGTCATTTTTATTACCGCACGCTACAGGTTGAAGTTTGCATTGACGGGTGGTGACGGCCCGACGTGCCTAGGTTTGCAACTTTAGAATCGGCCACTTATGTCCTATAGCCTTCATGGCTTGCTGTACGGTTGCATTCGGGGTGCCGGATAGGACAGGGCGAGGCGAAACCGGGGCTGCCAAGGGCCTTACACTACTGCCGGGAAGTGAGAGCAACAATAATAATAAGCTCCAATAGTGTAGGCAGAATGCCGGAACTATGGAGCTGTCAGCTGAAATAGTAAATTCGAATTCTCAGCAAGCCATACGGCTGCCGTACATAACCTAGCTTAGAGGCTATACTCGCTTTGCTCCTGCCGCATCTAAGCTACAAAATTTTCTTCTCTTCGCTCTGCAGGGCGCTGACACGGTCATCTATGAGCGCCTGGACCCCAAGTACGGTCCCAACGAAGCCATGAAGGAGTCCACCGGTCGCCACATGGAGGAGTTCGGGGCCGCTGGCCTCCGTACGCTGTGCCTGTCGTACGCTGAAGTCGACCGCGAGTGGTACGGCAACGTGTGGTTGCCGGAATATGTGGCGGCCAAGACATCGTTGGTGGACCGCGATGAGAAGGTGGCGGAGGTCAGCGAGAAGATCGAGCGGAATCTGCGATTGCTGGGTTGTACGGCAATCGAGGACAAGCTCCAGGAGGGGGTACCGCAGTGCATTAAGCAGCTGGCTATGGCGGGAATTCGTATTTGGGTGTTGACGGGCGACAAGATGGAGACGGCCATCAACATCGGCTTTGCATGCTCCCTGCTACGGGAAGACATGATGCAGGTGGGGTGGCATGAAGCCTGGCGGGTAACGCCGAGGATCTGGCGTTCCTTGACCGTGCGAAAATTATTTGGTTCTAAGTTTAGTTCAATCCGCTTTGGTTTATACTGGTGCCTGCAGTTCACCATAACTGTGTACGGCGTTGAGGAGGTGGAGCAGGCGGAAGCCAGGGGCGACAAAGAGGAGGCAGAGAGGCTTGCACATGCAGCAGTAGCACGCTCGCTAGAGACGGTAAGTGGGACGCAGACACGCCTGCTCGTCCTTTTTACCATTGAACTGGCTTTTGCCTCTTGCATGGAACGTATATTACGTAGTTGTATTCGTTGGGAGGTACGGCAGCAAACAGCATTTTTAGGACATGCAACCTAACTCATATTCATCGTTATAACGCAAACTTGAGGGCTACAATCCTGTTGATGTCGAGCGTTGTGACTAGGATATTGCTTGGCAGATATTTTTTGCGACAGGCTTATCCTTAAGCGATTCACATCGTAGCTGCTGCCTCGTCACTGCCGCTATCAATTACTCGCCTAAACGGGATATTGAAGCCGAGTCTGACTGCGTGTGTGATCCTGCGACCATCATCCACGTGTCCAGACGGAGAAAACCATGGACGACAACCCGACCGCCACGTTCGCAATCGTGATCGACGGCAAGGCTCTGTCGTACGCCCTTTCTAAGGAGCTGGCGCCGCTGTTTCTTCGAGTGGGCACTCGTTGCAAGGCAGTGGTGTGTTGCCGGGTGTCCCCCTTGCAAAAGGCCCAGGTGACTCGGTTGGTGCGCAGCAAGGGCGACACAACGCTGGCGATTGGCGACGGCGCCAATGACGTGGGCATGATCCAGAGCGCGCATATTGGTAAGGGGTTGCATCGTGCTCTTTGGTTCTTGCATTACACCGACATTTTATTGGTCGAATTAGTCGCCCACAATCATCGCATGGACAAGTCCACATGCTGTGAATCACAGTCGAAGAGTTTTCATATCCCACCTGTGCCTGCTTGGCGGACAATTTAAATTGCTTTGCCTGTCTATGAAACCGTCTACTTACAGGCGTGGGCATCAGCGGACAGGAGGGGATGCAGGCGGTCATGTCGTCTGACTTCGCAATTGCGCAGTTCCGTTTCCTCGTGCCGCTGCTGCTGGTGCACGGGCGGTATTGCTACAAACGCATCACACGAATGGTCCTGTTTTTCTTTTACAAGAATATGCTGTTCGGCGTCACCATCTTCGTCTTCAACGCCTTTAACAACTTCTCCGGCCAGTTCCTTTACAATGACTTCTACATGACGCTCTTCAATGTGGTGTTTACGGCGCTTACACCCGTGGTCATTGGCATCTTTGACCGCGACGTTGACAAGGCCATGGCCTTGAGATACCCGGGATTATATATGCAGGGTACGTCGGAAAACACGCGTGAGGGTTGCCAAACGTAGCCAACTCTTCAATCCATATCCCCTTTTCCGATAGGCAGACCTATCTCACTCCCAGGCGTGTGTGTATACGGCGTGCGATTTGCCGCAGATGGCATCAGATCGTCCTTTTATAGTGTGGCCTTACTGATCCCTTGCACCGTAGGCCAGCGCAACGAATACTTCAACTTCCGGGCTATCGCGCTGTGGCTCCTGTCATCGCTGTACCAGACATGCATCATCATGGTCTTCATCCTGGTGGGCTGCCGTTCGACGGTTTCGGACCGCGGCGATGGCAACCCCTACACGATGTGGCAGACGGGCCTCCTCATGTTCTCGTGCGTGGTGTTGACGGTGCACTTCCAAGTGATCCAGATCACCGATCAATGGACCTGGGCGCACCACGTCTCCATCTGGCTTAGCATGGGTAAGGATCAACCCGTGGCTTGTGAGCTGGGCATCAAGGAGTGTCCGCTAACTAGCACGGGGTTCCAGGCCGAATTCGTTGTGGGCAATGTCTACCATAGAGTTGAGGGCCCTGCTACGAGAGACCTACCTGGCACGGCCTTTGGCAGGTGAAGAAGCTCCCATGCATGGGGCGGTTGCTTGCGCGTTACTTGACGTTTAATCCCTTAACTTCTTATTCAGCCAACATGTCCGCCGCCTGCACCGACCCCGCAGCCGTCTGGTGGTTGTACCTGCTGGCGTACGGCGCGTTCCCCCTCTTCCTTAGCTCGGACCTCTACTATCTGTTCATCGGCGTTTCGGCTCCGTCAGCGCAATACTGGTTTTACCTGCTGCTTGTTCCAACCGCATGCCAGCTGCCTGACTTCTTTCTACGGATGGCCAAAAAGTGAGTGGCTCCTTATAAGTGCATGGCCTCCCGGCTTTGACGGACCCTCCCGCAGTCGTGCGGAACTTGTAACTTGATAAGGAGTTATGCTGTGTGTCAGCGCAGTTCTTCCTGGACCTGGCTTAACGTGATGGGTTCCCAATGGCCCCTGCAACCCCACTCTCGCAGGCAGCTCGCCCCCTTCGACCACACCATCGTGCAGGAAATTCAGAAGAAGATGGATCGGGAAGGCCGGCAAGAGGTGGAGGAGCTGGGCCAGGAGCCGTCCCAGGAGCCATCCATCCTAACGAGCATCTTCACTGGCAAGGCCACCAAGAATAGGGGCTACGTACCACCTTACGACCCACGCTCCAGGCATGTTTCTGAATGCAATCAAAGAAAAAAACCCGGCTTTGACGGACCCCCCTGCACCCGTGCGGACACTGTACCTGCAATTGAAAGAATCGAAACTCTAATAGGTGTACAAGTTGGTGACCACGCGTAGGCACTTCCTTGATGCGTGAATGGACTGTGTTGGATTCGGCGTCGAGCGCGTATGTTTCTAAAGGGCGTTCCATGCATGCCGCTGTGTTGGCTCTACTCCTCAACTCCAGGTTTTACGGTCTGGTCAGCTCGGGGGCGCGGCAGGCGGGCCGCATCGAGACCGGGGTTCGCAGCCCTGTGCTCACGCACCTGGACAACGAACTCACCGACAACCCCTACCGCAATCGCAAGAAGTCAAATCTACCGGGGATCGTCCCAATTCCCATGTATGTGCCTACCGTGTCGCAAGAACGAACGAATCCATCGCTTTCATCCACTGTGCGCATCGAGTGATGCACGCGGTCAGCGTGCAGCACTTAACCATATACGGGTGCGGCGCACGCGTGGTCGACTGACGGGGCGGCGCATTTGTGTTTGGGCCACGATATAGGCCTCCTAGGCTCCCCTGTATTGCGGGATGCGGGTATTTTGGGGGGAATATCGGAAAGTTGCTGAAGTCACTGCAATGCTGAGCGTTGGGAGTAATTGAGACTTCATCAATTTTTTATTTCGCATACCAGGCCCAAATCGTCATCGGGGAGCATGGCGGCAACGAGATCCGTGGATCCACCATCTCCTCCGTCGGTCGTGCCGGTGGCCGAGTCCCTGCAGTCCCCGCAACACCAGCAGCAGCATTTAGGGGCACCAACTGCAGTCGCGGTCGTGTACGATGCAAATGGGCAAGCCTCGAGCCGGGCTGTGGCCCTGAACGGTGGTGACAAGATGCCGTCCGGTGGGAGCGACGCGCCGGCGCAGAGGAGCGTGCCTTTGCCGCCATTAGGGAGCCGTACCTCGCTGCAACCTCGGCGCCTTCCGCCCCTGACGCAAGGAAGCCCCGTTCCTAGCTTGGCGCCTGCACCGGGCGCCATTGCTAGTCCCGTCAGCACGGACACATTATCGCCTCCGGAGAATGCGGGCCAGCAGGAGCGCGAGATCCTGGCAACGTATGAATTAGCCCTGAAGCACTGACGCGTCGTCGCGACCATGTGTCAGTTTTATGACTGTCCTTAGCATCGTTAAGATAATAGTTTGGGGTGCAGCGCGCAACGTGGTTGCAGTGGCGGTACCTGTGTGACGTGGTGTATAGTGGTTTTGCGTGAAGGTACTTGTCCGTGCGGCGTTGACGCTTTTCCATGCCTAAATTGAATGTATACGTTAATGGCCCGTGATGATGTTGTGTAGCGGCTGCACGCGGTGTTGTGGATAATTGGTCTGCGTGTACGCACTCTTGGGTTTTCATGACCTGTACTGGGGGCCCCACATGTTTTGGTCGGGCGGCACTAGTATTGACTGTATGCTGGCAATATGGTAATAGCGGATAGGCGGCGCCAGCTTAACGTGTGGGGGAAGCTCTCGGTACTGCAAGGCAGCGGATGGTTCGGTTGTGCATGTAAGCGTGGCTGTGTGGTTCAGGATGCGAGTACGCGGTATTTATTGAATTTTTTAACTGAGAAGCGCGTGGTTTGAGTTGGGTTTGCTTAAGTTCAGTCGCAGCCATTATAACCCCACAGAGCATTCAAGGCAGGCTGGGTAAGGACATTCCGCGGGTAATGAAGGTTGTTGATGAAGTTATGGCCGCATGGCCATTGGGTACACAGTAAACGACTACTATGACACGGACAAAGCTCGCGATGCCAGTGTTCCACGCTTCTTATGCCGCGGATCTTCTCGTGATGACACCTTGTTGTCGTGACTTATCGCCGTGGCCTTAAAATGATCGCGATTAGATACCTTATTATGCATTATGGCATTGCGTCAGTCGGGTTACCCGACGTGTAACAACCCTGCGCATTCACTTGACTGAAGCAGGTGAGACAGTTACGACGTGAGGTATCGGAAACGCACAAACCTACTTCGTCGGATTAGCACCTGCAGTCCTTCGGCCTAGTATCGATGGCACCTCTGCATGATAAGGAATCACTGTAATGAAGCTCTCGTGGGTGCTTTAGGGATCGTCACAAGCAGGATGTCATTATGGCACGCACACACATTATGGCACTGCATCAACGCTCTCCCCGGTTACTAATCACACCGCGCACGTATGCAGACCAGCGGCGCTCGTCCATGCTCTGTAACAACCTGCCGCAATAATCAATATCATGCATTTGGCCCGCTAGAACGTCTACTGCGCAGCTGGTAATGCTTTGAATGCAACCATGGGATGCATGCTTATTGCCATCGCCATCAAACTCCCATGTATTGAGCACATCAAGTGTTGAGCATAAACTCAGCGCCACACACCCATACACCTGCATAACCTTTTGTTATGGCATCATGAAGGTCCAACAAAACCTAATCATGCCCTCACCAATACACGCGGCACAGTTAGTGCTTCACTGGCGAGGGGATGTGACGGCGGGGATTACATTTATTGTACATCTCATTGCGATGTGCGAGCTCACTTATTGATGAATAGTGGTGTCAATTGCCAGCTGTTGCTGCCCCTGCATCTGATTCCCTGTTGCTGCTTAAAGAGATACTGGCCCGCGCTGTGAATTCTGTGACCGTCGTCAAGCTACACATCTGGCCATCCAGGGCCCCCGATGTCCTAAGTTTGTGGTTACTGCTAGTCAGCCGCTGCGCTGCAGTGGCTGCGGATTCCAGCCCCTGCGTAAGGCGTAAACACACGGGAAATCGCAACCAGGGGAGGTTTACGGATCCGGAACGGCGACTTCATTTTCCGGTCTGATTTGCTCAGCTGAAAAGCTGTGAAAACATTTTCTCGTTTCAACGGAACTTTTTACGCCGAGGGCCCGTGGCAGCCACCCACCGCCCCATAGCCCTTGTTTTTCCCCCCCAGGCGCTCACGCACCTGCATTTCCCTCTGAGCTGCCCTCGCTGCCTCCACCAGCAGGTGCCGCTGGAATGGCGAGGCATCGAGCCTTGAACTCAACTCGGGCGGGTCACTCCCAAGTCCGATGCCAATACTGGCGCCGCCGCTTCTGTCGCCCCTTCCACCGTCGCAGCCGCTGGCCGGCCCGGGGCTGGTGCCCTCCGCACGTCCTCCTCCTCCCTGAACACATCCCTGCATTGCCTCTGCGGGGTGCCGACATGCACCCGTATTAGCACCCGGATACCTGGGCACTTGCTGCTGCTGTTGGGCCCGAGCCGGACCACTGCCCGGCGATGCCAACGGCGGCAGCGGCGGCTTACCAGGCCGCAGCTGTGGCGGAGGCGAAGCCGCCGCTGCCGCGGTGAAGCCGTCCGGCGGCCCCGCAGGTACTTGGTCCCTTGGAGACTGTTGCGCGTGAACCTGAGCCTGAGGTTGCCCCACGTGGTCCTGAGTGCAGGGAAGACGGTAAGCCTGCGACACGGCCGCGCTCTCCGCGTCTTTGCCCTGGCGCTTGAGCAGCGCAACGAGGTTCGTGACGGCGGTGATGACGGAGGGGTGCGTGGCGCCCAGCGACGCCTCTAGTACGACGATGGCCTGGCGGCAGGCTGCCTCCGCCTCGGGCAGCTTGCCCTGGTAGCGCAGGCTGCGGGCAATGTTGTTGAGGGTGGCGCCAATGGCGTGGTGGCTGGGGCCCAGCACCTTGCGCTTCATGGCGAGGGACTCCCGAAAGACCTGAACGAACGATTTAGGGGCAGAGAGACGTACGGCTTACGGACACACACACACACACACAAATCGGCGGAGGTGTTCTTACACTAACACAAAAACAACTGAATCAATACCAGCAGCCCGACATCCAAGCCGCCAAGCAAGCAGGGCACCAATGCTCCCGAAATCCTAATGACCCAAATGAACAACCAGGTGCCCCAATAGAAGTAAACGTTGGCAGGAAGCCTGGGAAAGGGTCAGCCCAACATCACCCTCTTCCTCATCATCAGCAACAGCATCATCATGAGCAGCAGCAGCAATCTAAACCTCCTGGGCCTGGTTCCCCTTCCCCCTACTTTATCACGGACCCCTTCTCTTCCTCCTCCATGCCGACCTCTCCCGCTGGTCAGCGAAACCTCCGTCCTGGCGGCCTTCCTAACCCATCTTCCCCCCACCCCCCCACCCCCCCAAATACACACACCTGCTCAGCCGCCGCGTGTCTCCCCTGGCTGGACAGCGCAGTGCCCACGTTGTTGAGGGCTCGCGCCACCTCGGGGTGGTCGGGGCCCAGACAGCGCTGACGGATGGCCAGAGCCCTGCGTGATGGGGTTGAGGTGAGCGGAGGTGTGTGTGTGTGTGTCTGTGTGTGTGTGTGTGTGAAAAGTAGGGTTGTGAGGGATGGATGGGTGATTAGGGAGTAAGGAGGTGTGTGTGTCCTTAACTGCCATCCCATCAAGCGCCCGTTCGGCAAGCGAAGCCGGATATGGAGGGGCAGGAGGGGAGTGGTAATATCTTTAGGTGCATGGGCGGGAAGAGGAGGAGGAGGAGGAGGGGGAGGAGGAAAAGGAGGCTGGGGTGAGGCTCGATCCTGTCCGGCCTTCCCTTCCGCTGCCCAACACTCCTCCCCTTTTTTCCTTCTGCCGCTCCCCCGAGAACCTGGACGCCGGAACGTGTTATCGTATCCATCCACACACACTTGCATGTTTTACTCCTCCACTCTCAGCGGGGACCCCACCCCGTTCACCTTGCGCAACAGATGCGGCCTCCCTCCCCTCCTTTCCCCCCCCTTTCCCCCCCCCTTTCCCCCCTCCTTCCCCCCCTCCTTCCCCCCCTCCTCTCCCCCCCTTCCCCCCCCCTTCCCCCCCTTTCCCCGCTTACTTGCGGTACAGGTGCTCCTCCTCCAGGTGCCTCCTCTGCAGCCCCGCGGCGATACCCGCACTGACGTAGCTGTCCGCCACCGAGGGGTGGTCCTCACACAGCAACTCACGACGGACCTGCGGACCCAGGGTGGGGCGGAGGGGGGGGGGACAGGAGGCGGGGGCAGAGGCGGGGGCGGAGGGTGAGGCGGGGGCAGAGGCGGAGGCGGAGGCAGAGGCGGGGGCAGAGGTGGGGGCGGAGGCGCAGAAAACATCGGGAGAGGAGGGAAAGACGAACCACACGCGATTGAAGCTGCTGCCAGGGCAAGATAGTAGCAAACGTAAAAACTGACCGAGAGGAGGGAGGAGGAGAGAAGGGAGGAGGAGAGAACTTAGATGATGATGGTGATGATGATGGTGATGATGATGATGATGATGATGATGATGATGATGATGATGATGATGATGATGATGATGATGATGATGATGATGATGATGATGATGATGATGATGATGATGATGATGATGATGATGGTGGTGGTGGTGGTGGTGGTGCAAACGTCGCGGGAGGCCACTGCCGAAGTGCCAAGTGCCCCTCAGGCGCGGTCACAGGAAAACTGAACAAACGGGAAGGGTCATGGAGAGGGAGGGGCAGGTCAAAGTAAACTAAAGAACAGGTTGCAAGTAAGTGCCTCACGGAAATTTCACTTCTGCGCGAGGGCGGGGGGAAAGTGGGCATCGAGTTGGACTCCGTTGCGGATCAAGATGAGACACGGAATCCGCGAAACCCCCCCTACTGCCCCCCGATAGATGTCCAGCCGATAGCTTTCCGATACCTGCTTGCTTGCATCATGTGCTGCTGTCTTACCCCCCTTCCTGTTGCTCTTGCACACACACCCAATCTCCTCCACCCTGGCCCCCCAAGCCTCTCCATAAAACATCCCCCCCCTCTCCCCCCCAAGCACACACGAACCTGAAGCACCTCCTGGTACGCCGCCTCCGCCTCCCGGTACCGCCCCGTGTTGCGCATCACTCGAGCCAGGTCGGACAAACTGGTGGCCACGTCAGCGTGTCGGTCACCTGTGTACGACGTGGGTGCGTGCGGGCGTGTGCTTTAATGGAATACTGAGCCGCGGGCAGGAACTGGCGTGCGTGTGGTTCTGTGTGTGTGTGTGTGTGTGTGTATTCGGGGTGGAGTGACCGGAGGCGAGTGCGTGACGGGGGTGGGTGGGTGGAGGCTGCGGCAGTGAGGGGGTTGAGTGGGTAAGTAGGTGGGTTTGTGAGGTAGAGACGCCGCACGAGGGGGAAAGGTGAGGGGGGGAGAGAGGAGGGGGTTGAGAACAGCGGGGAGCCGAACACCCTTGACGCGAGGGAACGGTCCTGGTAGCTGCATGCCTACGTGCTAGGAATGCATCATGCAATTAAAACTCTCTTTCCCCCCCCCCAAAACACACACACACACACACACACACTCTTTCTCTCTGGCCAGATCCTGTCCAGCAGCATATCTTCATCGTTCAGGCCCACCCCGCATCAGAGTTCCCCCCGGCCGGCAGGCCCCCTCGCGAGTCCTCTCATCCTCTCACCCAGCGCCGCCCTGCGCAGCCGCAACGCCGCCAGCAGCTGCCTCTCCGCCTCCGAGTGGCGGCCCACGGCGGACAGCGCCACCCCCAGTCCGCTGTGACAGGCAGCCGACTCCAGGGAGTCAGCGCCGTGCAGCTGCTGGGCCTCGTGCAGGGCGCCGCGCCAAGCCGCCTCCGCCTCCTCGTACCTACCAGCCGTACATGGCCATATATCGCCCGTAAGCGGTTATTAGTACACTCAAGTGGTCGTACGCGATATCGTACACTATCGTACATGACTTCACTGGTGGTATCCGGGTGACGTGGGTGTCCGTACGTGACGTGTGTGCGTTACGGCATGGTGGCTATTTCCGGGCATTGGAAGATGGGACAGGGGGTTGGGACAGGCGGTAACCTGAATCTTGCCGGGGGAGGTGTGTGCGTGTGTGTGTG